GCTCGCGAAGCAGTGGCTGTGTTTCCAGGCATCGGGCCAGGGTCCATATTACGGCCAGGCGGGTTGGTTCAAATTGTTCCACCAGGAAAAGGTACCAAGTGCTTTGGACCGATATCTGAAAGAGATTGGGAGAGTCACAGGGGTCTTGGAAGCTCACTTGGCTCAACAGAGGCGAGAAAACTTTGGTGACGAGGGAGATGGGCCATGGCTTGTTGGCAACAAGTTGTCTTATGCGGATATTGCGTTTGTTCCCTGGCAGCACACAGTTGCCAAAGTCTTCGACAAGGAGGAGTTCGACCAGAGCAGATACCCGCTGGTGGATGAGTGGTATCGCAAGATCACTTCTCGAGCCGCGGTCAAGAAAGTGTGGGAAGACGTCGAGGCGAAGAAGTGAGGACGATGGAAACTATTCGCAGTACAGGCATTACTGTATGTCTTCCATCGGAGTGGCGGCAAGCCTCGGCCTTTCGGGCTTCCAGTCTGGATGAAGGAGATGAATCATTTACGTACTTGCTGCGTCGGGCGAGCGTAGAACTGAAATTGGTTTGTGGGAGCCTTGCCACCCTAGTTCACGTAAACTTGATCGGAACTCTATAGTGAAAGATCTATACTGAACGTGTTGGTGTACGCCTGACCCTTGCAGGCCGATCTCGAGAAATCGGCATTGCATTTGAGCACCATCTCCCGGGTCACGAAAGCGATACGCTGCGGTAGATTGAGATATAGACAAGTACCGTTGTACACGGGAGGATAGAGGACACTCCGAATGTAGTCGACAATTTCGTCAAGAATGGCCAGGTAAACAGACCGTCACCAGCAAAAGGAGAAAGGCCGCCCGTCGGCATTATGGCCGCCGCCCTCCCGCCGGCGCCACGGAGGAAATAGATAAGGCGGCGTCGGCCAATGACAAAACCGCCCTGAGTGGCTGTGGCCGAGGACAGTGGGCCTTTGGAGATGTCCGCCAAAATAGATCTGAGTATATGCCTCTTTACAAAATAAGACCCTGGCATATGTTCGCGGGAAAACAACAACAAACCGCTTCTCGTGCGGTAAAGGAAGCCTGCATCACCGATTGGATTGCCTTCTACCAATGCTCTTGTCTCTTCGCAGAGCAACTTTCGGATAGCAGCGACGGCTGAGCAGTTTGCCGTGGTTTTGATACAGAGGTTCTGTCTTTGGGAATGGCGGCCGTTGAGATTTTCAAGTTCCCCACGTCGTCTCCGGCAGATACCACGCCCTTGGACAGGCTGAAAGACGCGGGATACGACTCATCCCAGATCCTGGCCGTGGTCGGCAAGACAGAAGGTGTGCACCTTTCGGGCCCTGTCGACAAAAGGCTCAGAATCCTGTGATGTGGCCATGGCTTACGAGGACATCTGGCAGGAAATGGCTGTGTCAACGACTTCTCTCGAACGTTGGCTTCGGCGGTGTGGGAGCCACGGATCCCCGACGACGCCGTGACTATCTTCTCCGGCGGCACCGAGGGCGTGCTCAGCCCGCACGTCACTTTCTTTGTGCGCGCAAATCAAGGCGTGACCACCGGCCTCATCACCTGCATCGGGCGCACGCGCGTGCTGGAGCCTCACGAGGTGGGCACGTCCGAGCACGCCATCCAGGTGGCGCAGACGGTGCGGGAGATGATGCAGCAGGCGTCGCTCACGGCAGACCACGTCCACCTGGTCCTCGTCAAGTGTCCGCTGTTGACCTCGGGGAAGATCGAGGCCATCCGCGCGCAGTCGCGCGTGCCCGTCACCACCGACACGTACGAGTCCATGGCCAAATCGCGGTACGCGACCGCGGTGGGGATCGCGCGGGCCCTCGACGAGCTGCCGGCCGCCGTCCAGCTCCAAGATGTCCTGGCCTCGCAGACGACCTGGAGCGCAAAGGCAAGCTGCAGCAGCGGCGCGGAGCTGGAAGACTGCCACGTCCTCGTTCTGGCGACGGACCCGGCTGCTGCTGTTGTGGCGGGACAGGGCCATGGCAATCTGCACGCGCTGTCGCAGTACATGGCGGACGCCATCGACGCCGCGGCCGTGCTCGACCTTCTCGACAAGGTGAAGAAGGACAACGGCAAGGTCGTCCAGGTGTTTGCAAAGGCTGAGGCGGACCCTCGCGGCCGTGTCCGGTCGTCGTGGCGCCACACCATGAACACCGACAGCGACATCCACAGCACCCGCCATGCGAGAGCCGCGGTTGGCGGCTTGATCGCCGGGCTCGTCTCGGACTGCGAGATCTACGTCAGTGGAGGCGCCGAAGGTCAAGGGCCGTCCGGCGGCGGCAGTCTGTGCATAGTATATCGAACTGAATAGCTATTTCCTGACTCTTATCTGCCTCTTGCATTTCAGGTAGTCCTCCACCCAGCAGACGCCCGTTGAGACAACCTAAGACCTTTGCACTCTTGAACCATCTTCCAGGTTAGATTTGCTTTTCCCAGGAAGGCTCTGACCCCTTGTCATTTGAAATGCATCTTATATGCCCTCTATCGGGCTGAAAAGACACCCGTGATGCAGTAGTCCACGAGACTGCCTTGCTTGCTTTGACAAACTGCCTCCCACTGCATCCCAGTGCGTCCGATGGTTCTCTCGAGTCTGTTCATCCTCTTCATGTATGCTAGCCAAGAACAAGCTCCTCCATATATACCTCTTTCGTGCTCATGTTCGCGTTCATCGTCCATTCTCCCTGTCCCCATTCTAGCGGGACCCCCGCTCACGAATCCTAACCATCAGCGGATCCCTTATCCTGGCAAAGAAGTAACTTTTCGAGACGGGGATTTCGGGCAGCTTCTTCTCGCCGCTCCCCCCAAAACCGCCGCCGTCGGTCACCAATTCGACGTCAAAATACAACAATAGGGTTCCGACAAGTTTGACCAGCTAAATCACAAAAGTCCCCATCAATTGGTAAGCAAGCGAACTTCAGAGGGGAATCGAGGTTGGTTGGCAGAGTCACTCACCTCCATCATGGCAACGTTCTTGCCGATGCACTGTCTCGACCCGTGCCCGAAGGGCATCCAGTACCGCTGCATCTCCTCGGGACTGATCCCACCAGACCCGTTGATCCACCGGTCGGGGTTGAACATCTCGGCGTCTGGACCAAAGGTTTCCTGGTTCAGGTGGACGGGCAGGGCGGACATTCCGACAATTGTCTAGTTTTTTCCCACCAGAAAGTCAGAGACAGAATCCAGTGCTACTTTCGATTTGAAAGGGAAAACAAACCTTGGCCGGGAAAAATGTCCCAGCAACGACGCGCCCGCCTTCTGGCACGTAGCGCGGGAGGTTGATCGTAGCAGGAGGCGTCAGACGAAGACTCTCTTTGATCACGGCTTGGAGGTAGGGCAGTTTGCCAAAGTCCGCATATGTCGGGGGTGTCTCGTCGGTCTTGTAATCGCGTTCAGGAAATGCTGCTCGCAGTTCCTTGGTCAGGGCTTCGTAGACAGCCGGGTGACCCAGAATGTGATAGAAGGTATAGCTCAGCGCCGACGATGTCGAGTCGCTACCTGCAACACTGCGTAATTTTAGTTAGCACGGACAAATCTAGTTAGGCGAATGCGGCGAGCTTACATGCTGGAGAAAGCTTCGGTCCGCAAATCGATAGAATCAAGCATCTGACCAGTCACGGGGTCCTTGGCCTCGATGAGTCTGCCGAGCAGATCTTTCCGGTCGCTGACTTTCTCTTGTCTCCGTTCGACACGGGATCTCGTAAGCTAGAGGTAATGTTAGCCACAAGCATCTGCTAAGGGGCTTCGTAGTTGCGTACCTCCTTCAACCTTTCACGGCCCGCTTGCAGACTCTGCAGCCATGGAATCGGGAGCCAAGTCCATTTGGTATACGGAATCAAGGATGGCATCATTCCTATTGTAGACCCAAACTCCATCTGATTGTTGATGAGACGAATATGCTCGTCCTCAACTCCTGTCTCGAGCATGCCAAACCCCTCGCTAAAAGCCTGGCATTGGAGAAAGATAAATCAGCCACGCTCTGAGATACGCACAGCCATACATACCAACTCTCCAATGACATCAAAGGCAAAGAAATGGCACCATTTGCCCAAGTTTATCTGGGTGCCAGAGGCTGCGAAAGTTGACATCTTTCCCATGAAGATCTGGAGTCGCTCCTGGACAAACTTCTCCATGGACTGGAGGGCATTCATGCTGTATCCGTGAGACACAATCCGTTTGCGCTGAGCATGCAGGTACGGGTCTCTTTGACCAAATATGGTCGGTCGGAAGGCGGTAAAGGCACTTTGAATATACTTAGCCCTGCACTGCAACGAGCATTTGCCAAACTCACTCATAATATGTCGTCTGTCCCAATTAGCCACTGATATCTTTCTCAACCTCGACTGGTAGACTCACCTTTAAGAAGTCTCTGCCTTGTACAGTATTGTAAATCTCCCGGATTGCCGACTTGTCAGAGATAATCACCTCGTTCGGGGCGATGCGGACAATCGGTCCATATTTCTCATGGAGAGCCAGGATTGTTTCATGGAAGTTGCCGTTGTTGAACGTCAGCAACTTCCAGAGAGGACTGAGGGACGCCCAAAATGGACCTTTGACCTTGGCCAAAGGCGAAAACCATCGTTGGTAGACGATAAATGAGAGGATGCACACCAAAACACCCGCCACGGGAATCACCCAAGAGAGCTGACGCCCAAAATCAACGACGTGGGCAGCCACCGATGTCGCTTTTCCGTGCATTTTGAGGTTCCCCGTCCCGTGTGCACTTTGTTATCGCTTCGTCCTAGTGGTTCCTGTGCTTTTAATATGCCGAGACCCCTTGTAATGGTGCCCTCCTTCTCCTCTCTTACGGCGTCGGCTCCCAGCCGCGGCTCCTTCGGATTCGTGCCGGGCGGATACTTGCAGCTTGAAGGCCCGGTTTTGTCGTCGCGTGGTCTCCAAAAATGTGGGCAACAACTCCAACAACTTGGAGTCTCCGCACAAGCCTGTTTCGTAGCGTGGCAGCTGGCGGACGGCCTTGTGCTGTTTCGTTGAAGCAGCTATCCGATCATAGAGGCTCAAAGCCTGACCAATCAGCGGACAGCAGGTCTCTCGGGAGACCCGTCCCAAAGAGCAAGTCGTCAAAGTCGATAAGATCCGAACTGAGTGTCAATTGCGGCTCGTCCTGCGGTCGTTGCCATGGGGTTCTGTCTGCCGATAGCAACGCCGGGTCCGAACCATCGGGTTGATGCTGCGTCAGATGGCCTTGGCCCGAGAGTTGACCGGGAAGGGGTGTCTCCCGACCACTCGTCTGAGTTTGAATGCGCTCAAGCAGAATCAGATACCTCGCTGCAAGGGTACTGGTACCGCTGGCCGCCTTCAAGAACTCCATGCCCAACTCGAGTGTTTCGTCGGTCCCCGTTTGACCCAGCGCATTCAGCTTCCATCGCTCCATGGTCTGAAGTGTCAAGAGAACCCCGATTGCGGTAAAGACATCTTTACATGTTAGCTGAGAGTCAGTATAGAGGAATTGAGACTTACAGTGGAGATTGTACCACAGGGAATTCAGCAGCCCGCGACGATACTGAGCGTAGATCACCCTGATCGTCTCGCGGGCAGCCAAGATACAACGGTTGCACGAGGCAATTGCAACGTCTCGGTGGAAGCTGTCCTCGATTTCCTGTCGACTGAAGATAAGGAAAGACTGGCGATGTAGCAGCAGGCGAACATTCAGAAACCTACACTTAGATCAGTTCTTTATTCAACATTAACCGTATGGCTTGCGCACCGAATGAACATGACATTACGCTGTCGCTGGAAATCAGGCCCGTCCGGGTAGTTGGGCTCCTCTTTCAGATGAGGTGGATTGGCATTCCACCAGGACACGAGTTCTCCGTCCAAAAGAACAGAGTGGCCAAAGATCTCTGTAAAATGGTCCTGCTTGTTGGGGGACGGATTTGTAGAAGTCCATGGTTTTGTCGACGATGAGTAGAGTTTGAGCAGGACACTGTCGATGATATGTGCGAGTTTGATCGTCTGAACGAAGAAGGACGTCAGAGACGGACGATTTGCAGGCTGCCGAGGAACGATTGAGTCATTCATGATATACTGATCGTCCACTGGCAACGGGAACTCAACATCTGACGCATTTCCAGTAGGAATGGACGGCGGCCTGCCAAATTTCATGCTCAAAGTGCGGTCAATAACGAAGCAACCCCACCACACACGTTTGCTGACTTCTCTTTCAACAGCCGACATAGCAGGCGAAGGGTTTTGATGAAGGCCAATGCTGATAGAGGTTCTGATCATTAGTCCGCTTAGGCTCCAGCACTCGGTCAGTTCCAAGGTGCCTTGAAGGTAGTGGCACATCAAAAGAAGTGCCTGTACAAGCTCTAAATTACCCTCTTTGAAGATGTGAGCAAACACTATGTTTCGAGCTCTTGCGAGGAACCGTGTTGCCGAGTATGATGCACTTCTCCCTTCAATGGGATCATGGAACTCGCAGCCATGGGCAAAGATGAGGTTGAGAACCGCCAGCCAGGTGGCTTTCGTGTCAGAGTGCTCCGCATCATTGATCCACATTCGTTCATATTGAGTTCTGAAACTTGGTTCGTGAACAAAGGGGTAGAGACGGTGGACGTGGTTGAAATACAGGTCCACAAGGCTGTCTGCTAGATCTCTTGAAGGCAGTCCGTAGGTGTCTTCGCAGTCCCTGGGAGTGAGGCCAGGATCTAGACTGTGGGTTTGGGAGCTTCTCGAACTCGAAAGGCGGCGGCGTTTGTTCGCTGGTGTTAGAGCTTGACGAGGGGCATTGGTCGTTTGCACCTTTGAAACGAAAGCAAAAGTCGACGACTCTCCGAAGAATGGCTCGGGATCTTGAGATTCTGAGGGAGTGGTGCCCAGCGGAGTCTGGGCGGTGACGACTTTGTTCTGGATTGTGACATCGGCAACAGCGTCGTCGTCGTCAAAGTATGGACGTTGCTGGACTTGTTCCGGGCCTTCACTGAGGACTTCGACGTTTGCTCGCGACTTGATGTCTACCAGTGACCTGAGCCTGGAAAGTAGTTAGACAATGCCAAAAACGTGAGCATCTACCGACTCCTTACTCATCAAGGCTAAGCTCGTCAACCATAGAAGGGTATAGGCAAAGGCTCCCGCGCAACTGGCATGGCGAGCATTTGGGGCGAGTCCCATCACAACGATTTTTCCTCTTCCGACAGTTTGTGCATGCTCTTCCAGACGCAAGTCTTTTCTTCAGTGGCGGGTCCGCCATGTTGGAAGGCACAGAATGGCTCGCATCCGGTGGCAGGGAAGCGCAATGCTGCGACTGAAGGGATTCTTCTGCTGGTATGGGGGCCCCTCCATGCAGTAGCTTCTCATTCGCCTGGTAGTCCGGTTGTGGTTGGTGTGGCGCAAGGGAATGTGATGGGAGAGAGAGCAAATGCAAAACCCCGCACCCAGTTGAGGTTGGAAATCCGGGGAATACACGGCACGGGGCCCATGCACGTGACGCCACAATACAGGTCGCCCAGGATCAAGAGCCGGCCATTACCAGCTTTCTAAATATGCTGTCTGTGTCCCTGCTCCGTAAATATGGGGAGATACACTGTGGCCTCTAAGATGACCACCTACACGCAACAAATAATGCTTGAAATCGTTCAATATACTCAGTATCTCAGCGCTCAGCCTGTCTACTAGCTAACCTAAGACACAGCCGCGACCAGCGAGTATTGTATCGTTGATCACAAATCCCCAAAGACAATATCTAAGATGCCATACCCGAAACTTGGCATGTGCAGGCAGCGAGCTATCATGGCCACAAGGCTAGATATCCTTGTGGAACTGCGGCTGACCGAGCCGTTTCCTCCACTCTTCACCTTTGAATATCAGAACAACAATCCCCATGGATGTCACCGCGGTGATTAGAGCAAGCGTGATCCAAGCCCACTGGATGGTGATCTCGGCGGCGAACGGGAGACTGTAGATTGTCAGCCTGGGTTTTTCAAATTCGGAAAGGAAAAAAAATTCGACAAGCACTTACGCATAGAACCCAAGGGGAAACGCAAAGGTCTGGCGCCAGAAGTTGTACAAGCTGCTGATTTCTCCCGACTGCGGCTTGTAGCAGTCGCTGCAGTAGGCGTAGCTGACTGTGGTCACCAATTGGAGACCGAAACTGGCAATCGCCATCCCCATCACAGGGCCCATCCAGTGCGTCTTGTGGTACAAGCAGACGCCGTAGACGATGATTCCCGTGGGGCAAAGGAGAAGGCTCCCCAGAGACGCGGGCAGCCGAGCTTCTGGTTTTCTCTCTCCACCGTGTTTCTTTGCGTATCGGTACATGAACCAATCTGAAAAGGGTCCGGACAGGAACTCTCCAAGAGCCGAGCCGATCAAAAGCGGAAGCCCCAGCATGAGCCCAATGGCTCCAGTCTTGAAGTGATAGATCTTGGTGAAGAGAATGGCGACCGTCACTGCTGGGAGGATTGAAGAGAAGGCGAATGAGACGATGTAGTATAGACACGTGAGTGTCACCGAGGGATAGTACATCATCTCAAACGGCCGCACAAAATCTCGCATGTGGACTCTCCGGTCCCGTAGCGCATTCCTTCGAAAGCTGAAGAGCATCTGCATGTAGGTCCTCTCCTCGTGCTGTGCGAGCACCCTCTCAGAGCGGGAGAATAGGGTTTCGGGCATGGCGAAGAACATGAAAACAAAGGTGACAGAGTTGACGATGGCGGGGAAGTAATATGCCCAGCGGACTCCAGCTGTCTGTACCAGGTAGCCTCCAATGACCGGGGCGACGTGAGCACCGTTGGTCAAGAAGACAGTAAAGACGCCCATCTTCAAGCCCCTCTAGTTCATCGTTAGCAACTTTCCGAACTCGTCTGAATGCGGCTTAGGACGGTACCTCATGTAGAAAGAACATGTCGTTGACGGTGGCAGCTCCAAGCGCCATCGCCGCACCGACGCCAACGCCACTGAAGACCCGGGCAATAATCAGAGTATGCCATGTTTTCGCAACCCCGCTGCCGACCGTTGCGACTATTCCGATGAGCGTCGAGATGAGATAGACCGGTCGTCGCCCATAGACATTGGCAAGCGGAGTCCAGAACAAAGGCGAAATGCCCACAGAGATGATGACAGAGGTTGTCTGATACGACGCCTGGCCGACAGGGATGTGGAAAAGCTTTGCAAGCGGCACCAACCCAGGATTGACAACTGCGGAGTTGAAGGGCCCTAGCATTGCGAGGAATGACGCCTGGAGGAGCACGAGCCACTTCAGCCACGATGGCCAATTCTGCAAAGCTCACATTAATATATTGAATCCCAAGGAGTCGTTCTTTTCTCTTACCAAAGGGTCGTCGCGAAAACGCGTGGGTTGTGGGAGAAGCGGAAATCCATGACGATCGCGTCGAACTTCATCAGGCTTCTCTGAGACTGCATTTTCAATCGCCTGGTCAGAGCCTTCTCTGGAAACCACAACGCGGACTTTGTCGTCAGCATCCATCTTGTAGGGAGACAATTGCGAGGGCTTCTGTGAATCTGGGGTAGGAGTGTAGCATCTCAAGACACACACATGCATGCTGTGGGGTATTATATCTCGTGGTCTCGCCTCTCCCCAGAATCCCCCCGACCTCGACAAGGAGGGCTCTGTCGGAGTGAGCCGCGGACCTTATAAAGTGGCGCCGACGAACTGGAGCCCCGGATCGAGACATTTCCCTGTTCGGGGTCGAGACCGTGTCCCAGTGGCGCCTCGCACCGGAAACTGCCCGAAGGCCATTGGGGGCCGGGAGGGGGAGTAGGCTGAAGGATACATCCATGTACAAAAAAAAGAATAAGAGAAATAGCAGGAAGGGATAATACTCTCCAGCCCTGAGGAAAAGTTCGCGGCACTCGTAGTGAAAGGTTGCTCGCCCAAAATGGTGCTCCAACTCTCCTTTGCGTGCTGGGATTACGACCGGATGAAAGCTATTGAAGATGGCAGAGTGCGAGCAGAGGGCATTGAGCTCACATTTCTCAATTACCGGGTCGAGGAGACGTATGCTGGTCCCAAATTCCTCTCACAGCGGTTGCAGCGAGGGATATAGAGTGAATGACTGACACGGTCTAGGACAGCTTCTTCCGCCAACTTCGATTCCAGGAATTCGACCTGTCTGAGCTTTCCTTGTCCTCTTATGTTCTGACCCTGAACCAAGAGAACCCGCCATTTATTGCCCTGCCGGTCTTCCCGTCGCGCTTCTTCCGGCATCAGTCGATGTATATCAATTCCAAAGCCGGTATCAAGAGACCGGAGGATCTGCGTGGGAAACGCATTGGAACTCCGGAGTATCAAAGTCGGTCACCACCAACTATCCCCCAACTGCCATTCGGGGGAGAGAGGTCTAACCGTCGCTAATCATTTTGGTGAATCGCAGTGACAGCAGCAGTCTGGCAACGAGGCATCCTGGCTGAGGACTTTGGGGTCCCTCTCTCCAGTGTGCACTTCTACACTGGTGCCATCGAGCCATCGGAGAAGCCCCGGCATTCCAAGGTGTCGCACAGTTACCCTGCCGACATCAAAGTGACGGCGATCCAGCCGGGCCAAAACCTGTCACAGATGCTTGCCGATGGCGAGCTCGACGCCATCTTCAGCGCCACAAAGCCCTCCTCGTTCGACACGTCACCGGAGACTGTAACACGGCTGTTTGACGACTTCAAAGCCGTCGAAGCGGAGTACTATGCACGAACCAAGATATTCCCGATCATGCACGTCGTGGCCTTGAAGCGCAGCGTGTATGAGGCTAATCCGTGGATCGCAAAGAGCCTAACGAAAGCCTTCGCCAGGAGCCTGGAGATGGCATATGAGCCCTTGAAGGAGCGAGCGGCGTTGCGGTACATTCTGCCGTGGTTAGAAGACCATGTGGAGGAGACGAAGAGACTAATGGGTGGGGATGATCGCTGGTGGAAAGATGGCTTCGAGGCGAACAAGCATGTGCTGGACAAGTTCTTGCAGTATTCCTTCGATCAGGGGCTGGCGAAGAAGAGATTCAACCCTGAGGACTTGTTTGCCCCGAGTACGCTCGAGGACTATGTACTGTGACATAGATGTAGCACGCCGAAGATTGCGGGCCCGTGTAGATCGCGAATGATGAATCTCGTGCAGCTTTTCCATGCCGTCTACCTTTTGGCAAAGCTTTAGGACAGACAAGTGGGCTCTTCGTCCACCGGTTGCCCTGGCACTCGGACCTTTTCGACCGAAACAAACGTCCGGACTGTCTTTGCAACAATATTCGGAGGTATCGTCCGTGTCATTCTGAGAGGAGTTTTGTTTGCCTTGCTTGATTTGTCAAGGTCATTGTGTACGAAGCTCCAAGGCAAAGGGCATTGGCCCTTACTGACGTGATGAAGCCTTGCAGGTCCGTAAGGTCTTTGGCTCTGCTCCGCTGACAAATGATCAAAAAGGGGGTGGAGGAGAGTGGTCAGGTGATGGTCTCAGACGCAGCATCGAAACGCCATATTAAAGACCAATGGCATGCTCAATAGGACCGGTATAGATTGGCTTCTGGCTCGTACTAACTAGTCGCGAATTAAGAAATGGCTTCAAAGCAGGATCCTGAGAGAGCAAAGATCCAGAAATGGCTCGAAGAAGTAAGTATAGTATCCTATGCAAGAACCATTTCCTCAGCCTTGTCCTCCCATGTCCCAACCAAATTCATATCAATATTTCTCCCTCCTAGCATCGCCCTCCAATATCACAACACCTCTTGTTGCTTCTCATTGGACTGATAGGCGGTTAACTGACGGCCACAGTTCCACGCCGCCTCCGCCACCCTCTCCGCCTCGCACTGGTGCAACAACTTCTTCTCGCCATCCATCGTCCTGCAATTCGGCAACAATCCCCCCGTACAAGGCCTGGAAAGCGTCCGTGACACGTTCTTTCCGCCGCAGCTCGCCCGCTTGGACCTGATGGAACATTACGTCGAGTATTTCGATTATGTGGCACCCAGGATCTACCAGGCCGCGCGGATCAAGTATCGCGTCAAAGGCGACGACCCGAGTGGCAAGGCGGATGTAGAGATTCCGGGCTTTGCGACGTTCTATGTCAGGGAGAGAGGAGAGGATGATGGAGCATTGGGTGACGGAGCGAATACGGGAGGACTAATTTGCTACCGGATGGAAACGTTCATCGACACGAGGCCGTTGGAGAAGAGGATGCAGGAAGTGCTTGAAGGTAACGAAGGCAAAGGCGATTGAGGAGGACCGTGTGAAGCGAGCAATAACCTCCAGTAGGCGCTACCATAATCAGCCAGATACATGATTGCATCTCCAAAACAAGAAAAAAAGGCTTCATCACAACATTACCGGTGCCGTCAATCATCACTCTTCTCGCTCCCACACCTAGCTTCAATCTTTCTCATTGATCCGTCTGTCCCAATCCTCCCCAATCTTCAGACTTTCCACCACAGCTACTCTTTTCCCCAGTCCCGTCCTCTCTTCCTTCTGCCACCACTTTTCTGTTGCCTTGTGAGTTACAGATTCATCGTCCGTATCGATCAGGCCACCATGGCCACCTTCGTCGCCAATTACAATGACAGTCTGCTTGACCCAGCCAGATAACTCTGAGACGATCTCGCCATCACGACCGCAGAGAGACTCTTGAATATACACAACCTCGGGCGAGAGGCTGCGGAGGATATGTTTATGTCCGTTGGGTGAGGTGTAGGGCAGCACCATTGTATCTTTATCCACAATACCCACAGCTTGATTGTATAGAGTCTTGAAGAGAGAAGTCGATTCGTCCATCGGGTTCGGATCCACCTGAGTAAGGATGCCATCGCTGGGGAATTCCCCTGGTGTCTGGGCAGGAGTGTGTGCATCTGCATGGCTAATGTTTGAGAATGAAGATGTCATGGATTGTGAGGGCCGTCTTGTTGCGTGGCTGAGTGGGTGCATTTTCAGTTCTGGGGCGTAGATCAGGACAAAGACTCGTGTTGCGTCAGGTTCGATATATTCCGGGAGATGTGAAAGGATCGACTGAAAATCTGTTAGCATCTAAATGTCGTGGGCCTGGAAATACAAACTTACCGCATGTTCAGCATCCGACTCGGTATCTGGTTCCAATGCAACGGCTGATACTACCACAGCCACCGTTTTTCTTTTCCGGTTGGCGATAGATGCAGACTTGGGCAGCTCGATGCTCCCCGAAAAGAACTCGTCAGCTGTTCCGCGCCTCTGGATGCCTTGTTTGATCTGACGGTCATTGTCTCGCTGTTCTGCCTCCTCACTCCATCGTTCGTGGTCCTCGTAGCCTTCACCACCTCCTCCACTTAGGGTGCTTATAGCAGCACCAACCATAGCTCCCGCCGCCGCTGTTGCGGAAGCAAATGGCTTGTTAGCCCAGTCATATGATTGAGCTTGACCCTGGCTGCGCGATCGATCGCCTGAGGGAGTAACTGATCGACCGAAACCCAGTGCACTGGACATGCGAGCGACGATACCGGTCTCTTGTTGCTCCTCTACTGCAGTTGAGCGAGTACGGTATTCTTCTTCTGTCCCGCGCCATCCTTGAGGTGGAGGTCCACCTTGAAACCCTCCAGGAGGAGGGGGTCCCTGAAAACCCCCTGGTGGAGGCCCTTGGTAACCACCCGGCGGAGGAGGTGCGCCGAACCCTCCAGGCTGCTGTGGGCCAGGTGTCATTGGCATGGGAGCGCCTCCTGGAGGAGGAGGTCCTCCTTGGAAGCCAGCTGCCATTGGTGGTCCGGGAGGTAGAGCGCCGCTCATCGATGCATAGCCTGGTGGAGGAGGCGCTCCCTGGTATTGTTCATCTTCACTCGATTCCTCGTCATCTTTCCTCTCACCCCATACCCATGCAGCGAGACCAATGGTTGCCGCCGTAACGGTGAGAGCAAGGGGAACCCAATACCCAAACGTCGACCTGCTGCCTGAGTATCCGTACCCGCCAGAGGAGGTCGTCTTCCGTTTGCGCTCCGTCACGGTGTACGAGTAAGACATGGCTGCGTCGGAACGTCACTGGAAGCTCAGGATTCGGACACGCCTGAAGGGGGAGAGCTTTGAGCTCGACCGAGGGTTTGGGCAACGACGAGTTTGAAAGGGTCCGCGTAAGGTGGAATGATGGATCGTCCTTTTGTTTACTTTTCTCAGCCGAGGCTCGCTCGTTCCGCAACACGGCGAGTCAAGGGCGTTTTCGAGAGAGCGCAAGATGCCGCACCGCAATAAACTGCGTCCGTAAATCTCATGCAGGCGGAGACAAGAAAATGAAAGGGCGAAGAGGGAAAGAAGGTAGGTGAGGTGGTGAGCTGAGCACCTCGATTCAATGAATCCGCGTGGCTGGAAGTTGCATCTCGTCCCCAGCCCACAATTTCCCCACACGGCTCACTTGCGATCGCAGCATAACAAACTATTGTTCCTGCCCACTGTTCGACCAAGAACCAGGGTTCCGCAAGAGGATGCGACTTCAGTACATGCATTGTCGCTAAAGAGCCCTTCGCTGATATAGTATAATGGCTAATGCCTCGTCCACCCGGCGGCGCCCCCCTCGAGCTCAGCCTACAACACCAAAGTCCGCTACCACCTCGCCAACAACCACGCCAGATGAGCCCGAGGACACAACGTCCCGTGTCATCTCCCCCCTCGATATTTTGCGAGTCATACTCACCTTAATATTCGCCTCTTGTCTGCTCTCATACTACCTCACCTCCGGAACGTCTCTGCTGTTCAAATACGAACCATGGTTCCTGAATCCATCTAAGCTGTCCCACTGGTGGACCGGGCCAATAGCCCTCACGCCGGATCAATTGGCACACTTTGACGGCAGTGACCCTGCGAAGCCTATTTATCTGGCTATCAATGGGACGGTCTTTGATGTTTCTGCCGGAAAGCACACTTACGGACCAGGTGGGAGTTACGAAGTGTTCGCGGGAAGAGACGCTACCCGGGCCTTTGTGACTGGATGCTTTCTTGACGATCGGACCGGGGACCTCAGAGGCGCGGAACTGATTTACATACCCATCGAGGACGATCCAGATGAAGAGATATCGAGTGGGGCAAGGAAACTGCGCGCAGAGAAAGAAAGACGAGAGGCAAAGAGAAAAGTCTTGGATGAAGTGAGAAGGTGGGAAGAGTTCTACAAGAACCATAAAAAATACTTCGAGGTTGGGAAATTGGTCGGCGTCCCAGAATATACAGGTGAACCACCGAAGCTGTGCGACCCTGCAAAGAAGGGGAGGCCGAAGAGGAAGAATATGAACTCCAAAAAGGAAAAGAAAAAGGACGCACCAGGAAAACCTGTACAGTAGAGCGATGCTACGGTTACGACAGACACGGCAAGAGTTCGACCACATGATGGTATAGACGAAATCTTCTCAGATTTGGAGTCATGGATTGTTTGTGTTTATCTGCACTTTGCTGGGACTGTAGTTGCAAGCTCCTCAGTTAGCCAGATTCACCCGAAGACCCCATTTGAGACAGAACTTCGCAAGTGCCAATCGTTGATGGTGACAATGGTATTCGTCCTCGTCCAGCTTTTGTTGGACATGTGCGATTCCCTTTCTGCAATGCGAGTCCGTAGCTCCGGTCTATCGACCTGGCATTTCCCGTCCCTGTCCCATGCAATATCATCAACATCATCTGACGGCGAAGAACGTCCTCTCAAGGAAGTCTCGGCTGTGTCTTTCGCCTTCCATTCTCTGCTCAAGCATCAACCTCCATCTTTACTGTCGAGGCATCTAGTCGCCACCGGCAGCCGCTCTCGTGTAAATGCTGCCCTTGCTGTGTGCCACCACTTTCCTGATCACGCCTCTGTCCTCGAGATCTGCGAGCGCCTTTCTCGCGAGCGACCCATTGATCTTCAATCGGTCGACCAGCACGGCGACGGTGATGAGGCGGTACGATTGGACGTCCTTGTTGAGCTTGTCGGAGGTGGCTTTGTCGAGGACAACTGCGTGGTTGGCCTTATCCTTGACTACACGTCGGCCAGAGCAGAGCGATTGTTAGCAAGGAGGTCAAAATCGGGACCGCTATGAGGTACGATGAGGCCCGGCCAAGGGGAGGGCAGAGAAATGGGCGAAAAATGGGCGGTGGAAAACGTACCCTTTCCCTTAGACCACTTCTTCTTTTGCTTCTTGCCGCCGGAGGATGCTGCGGGCGCCTGAATAAGTCAGCAATGCATTTCAAGTTGATCGATCGTTGGTTTGAAGATGCGCATACCATTTTTGCGTTGTTTGATGGTTGATAGCAGAGATGAGCGAAGAGTGGAAGTTCTCTGTCTTTGAGTGATGGACAGACTTGTTGCGCCCCGCAGGGTCCCGATTCGGCAACTAGGGCAAAGGTCTTGGCACTCTTGAAGGCCAAAAATTCTTACCCAAGTGCCACAAGCGTGTCCAACAGTTTTACGGTAAAGGCCTACAATGTACGGAGTCATGGTTTGAGACGATTTTGGTTCATTCAGGGAGATGGTCCCCTAGATCTAGCTGCAATCATCTGATTTCTCCATGGAATCAGGAGCTGAATTCGAAGTCAAGACTTTTCCGGGTATCTCAATCCCCTCGCTCATGCGTACCACATGCAGAAACACGTTTCAATGTGCCATCTAGTAGAAGAAGCCAATGACCTTTCCAGAAACATGCTTCCGTCTGGCCTCTTCGTGATCCATGATACCCGCGCTGGTAGTGAGAACAATGTAGCCGAACTGACGAGATGGCAGCAACTTGACAACCCACTTCTCGAGGTCACGGAGTTGAACGTTGTAGCGTGGGGAGATGACACCGGTCTTGTTGAGACGGCCATTGAGTTGGATAACAATTTTGCCGCTGCGGTGGTCGTCGACCTCTTCGAATTCGCCGATGTAGCCTGTTGACAAAACACAACCATCAGTCGATGCTTGAGATGAAGTTTGGTATGTTGCGACCGAATAAACATTAATCAAACATGGATGAAACAAGAAAGCAAATGTGTAAGACTCAGTCGCAAAAAAAAGTCAATCTTTCGGGCACTTAAAGGGCAAAGGTCGTGGGGTGCAATGCGTTGAAACCGCCGCCTAGTTATCAACCCGACAAATTTATGTGTGCAGTGTACCAGGATCCTCCTCTTTGCGAACCAACGAGAACGTAGGATGCGAACGTACCATGTTTCTGCATGACGGCCAGGAACTTGATGATGACCTTGGAGCTGGGTCGGATCATGACCTGGCGCTTGCCGGCCTTTTCGGCGTTGTTGATGCTCTTGAGAGCGTCATTGAGCACAGATGTCTTGACCATTTTGGCGGTATTTGAGGGCGAGGGAGATTCTCAAGTTCGTTGGGGGCCGGGGAACTTGAGGTATCTGCAAAGGTGAGGAATCTCGTTAGTCTTCAGGAGCCTTCGAGCCAGAAGAGTGCCCAGCGAAGGGTTCTTCAGCTCGGGTCGCGAAAGATGGGCGTATCCTAAACCGCAGTGACCCTGGAAATGCTACAATCCAGGAGTTGCAGTCGGATTGCTCATCCTAGGCTAGCTGAAGAAGGGCCGCACGGTGTACATACCTCGTGGTAGAGAAAGATGTTGAGAACGTGAAGTTGTCGTTGTCGTGGTGTAGAGAAATCTTGACTGCGCATGCTGCAGATCGATTGAATTTCGGTTGTGCACCGCGCCAAGAGTGCTGGGCACTAACCCCAGTTTGGGAGGTTAATGAGGCTCGATCACAGCCTCGCCACATTAACAGCCGACATTACAAGGCTATGTTGGGAAGGGCCCTTGAACATCCGTATTTTGCTCGAAAGAATTAGAATTTGAGTCACGAGGTCACCCATGGATACATTTTTGAACACAAGACAAATCCGCAGGTCGTCCCATTTGTGCAGGGTGATGAGGTCTGTCGCCTGATGAAAACGCAGGGGAGGGCCTCTCCAGGCACTTGGTGGCGGGATCAGGGCTCTATGTAGGGAGTCCAATCAAGGAGCTGAGCCAAAAGTAGCAATCTCTGTGACAAGGGATCCCGAGCAGGGCCTCTTTCTTCTCGTAATCGAGAGCTGTGTCACCTGTGGTTGCACAGTGTATCTGCTAGCCAACACGGCCTCTTGGCTGACTCTTTTGCAGCTGAATTCGGCATCATGTATTGGGATTGACGATTATTGTGAGGATTAGGAGTACCAAAAGCAGCTGATGAAGTCGTTCAGGAACAGCCTCTGTCTCCATGGAAAGGGTGTTGCCGAACTTACCAGAATTAAAACCGGAATAAAGACGAGCACCACCACCCCGCTAGTGACAATCTGCTTTTTCTGAGCCATGGCGCTCTGACAGGCGAAAAACCTCCACGCTCCTGCGAGAGTGATGGCCAATCCTATGACTAGCGTCACCACCGTAAGCGGGATCCCCAGGTTATAGTCGCTTAGCTTGCCCGGGGGGACTGGGTCGTGCTTCAACCTGTAAAGCTGAAGAATTGTGATGGCGAAGTTGGCGAAGGCCGAAGACGTTCGAACGTAGCCCAGAAAGACCCGTTCGTTCGCAAGATGATCCCTGGCGGCGCGAAGGGGTACGTGATGAATGTACGTGGGGAAGAGGTGTCTCGCCCAGGCCCACCATTGGGACTTGTGGTTTTCTGTCGACACCGTCCTGGAAGGAGCGACACTGGACGATGGATCTGCCTGAGTTGCATCCCTTCGCAGCATATTCAATTCATGTTCCTCAGGGTGGTCCCCGCTCCGCCTCGCCGTGTCGGTCAAAGTATCCCTCGCAGTAGCCATGGCTCGGATGTGTGTCGCATGCAATCCATATCGTGGTCGGTAACTGAGCGATGGCGGAGGATATAAGTTCTGCCATCCAGGCTAAAACTATATCAGGAGTGATCAGGCTCGGCTGGAGGCTTTTTGTGCTACTGCTTGATGCGCACCTTGATTCTCCGTAAGAAACATAGTACCCTCTACGACGGAGCATTTGATCAATGCAGCAATATCTCCCAAGATTTCACAGGTCTCACATGTTTGACATTTATGAATGATTGTGTAAAAACGTATTGGAAACATGTATCACTTCTCACAGAACCAATATGTCTGGACTTTTGGAGCTATGCAATTTACAGTTCGGAAATGGTGCTGACTGCGCGGACTATACCAGCAAAGAAGGAGGAGTAACCAACTCCAGGGTGAAATGGAACCAAATAGCCTGAGAAAGAGGAGTGTGAGGCACAGAAGAGATAATGAGAAGTACGAAAGAAACACCAGATGAGGAACAGAATACAAAGCCGCACCAAAACAGATGTGGCTTCGGAGCTAGACTGTGAGTCCTACAAAAAGACATGATTTGGAGTCGAGGCTGGATACGAATCGATACCGGCGTAAAATATTGCTCAAATCGGACTATCCTAGGCACAGCGAGGTATGCCAAGCGTTCCATACCGCAAACCACGGGCAAATCAGGTGGAATTCTGTTTCATGATATGCGGAATGGCTCGAAAGTATAGTAACCACGAAAACTGCTCGGAAGTCATTCGAATGTTATTCGAATTTTTCTAATCGCTTGCGTGTGGGCCGCTCGAGAACAGGCTCTATGCGATGTGATATGACTCTTGGATTGCCGCTCCTTTCATGTGTCTGGTCAGGGGAACATGTTGGCCAGGAAGCGGTGAAGCTCAAAAATTAATGGCGCGCTCCTTGGAAACAAGCTTCAAGGCAATGGCATCCTCTTCATGAAGTGTGTTCCATCCATACAGAAGCCACACACTACGAGGTCCACAGGTAAGCCGATAGCGAGTAATTGCAATTTCGGGACGCTCTCCTCAACTGCCAAAGACGCGTACGTGATAGCTCGCCCTTGAGACCACTCCTCGGCTAGCAGAGCGATGATACGCTTCACTAAGTGAGTGGGACAGTGAGAATGTTCAAAGCCACGTCCTCCGGCCTCTAGTCGAGGCCAAGTGACGTCCAGGATCAGTTGGAATGTAGAGGCGGAATGCCATGCGAGACTGAGTTGCAGCAAAACTTCACCCAGACTAAACGTATACACGTCAGAGGTGTTTGACGTGGAAAAATTCAGAGTGTGGAGGATTGATAGCATCGTCTGCACCATCTTCTGGACGCGGCCGACGTCCGATTGACACGACGGCGTCGGCAAGTCTTGCATCGGCTCTTCTTCTTGCAGCGTTGCAATTATAACCCGACAGAGAAAGTAGTACAGAGCATTCATTGCATCACGGTGTGTCGGAAACGTCGGGAAGTCAGTACTCCCCGTCATTGAACTGTCGTCACACGGGGAGCTTTGGCAGTCCCATAGCTCTGGCGGTAGCTGAGCTCTATCGAGCCTGGATTTCCATACTGACAGCCGGTCTCGCTGAGTCTGCAGGAGGCCGATCAGATGCGGGCCCCGGACAAAGCCTGTTTCCGCTTCTTTGCACTCTTCTGCCCTGCTACGCCTGTGAAGCAGCATGTCCAGATGTTCATGGGCAAGGCGTCCGAGGTGCTGCGATTCATCCGATACATTGTGAATCCGCGCAACTGTGCGAAAGACGACCGCTCGCTTCCGAAGCTCGATCGTCTTGATCAGGATGTCGTATATCAGATCATCCGGACTCATACCCAAGATGCAGGTCAGGTACAGATGCTCAATCGCACTTGGTGAGGCGAATTTTGCCTGGGAGCATTCGTCGCTCTCCCCTTCAATAAGGAGAGGGGGACGCCGCGAGGTCCGAAATGATACAGAAAGGCGGTGCCACAATTGCAGTGCCTTTTGCCCTTCTGGCGACTGCAGGAAGGCCGTCCGGTGCTGATGGACGAACTGATGAGCATCTTCTACGGCCAGTCGAAATCTTAGGTGGTCAGTCGATGCGTGATGATAGATGGCGAGAAGTACTTTCGTAGCCAGCGCCATTGCCCAGCCAGCTGGATCTTTGCCAGCCTCTTTGGAGTCGCAACACGTAACTGCGAGGTCGTGATATTTTCGTGCCTGATGGTGGTGTGCTCTATTTGCTATTGGGCTGAAGACTGATCTTCTAGAATCTTTGTGAATGTGACGCGACTGAATCCGTGCGTCGAGCATGGCCAAATTAGACGCCGAAAGGCAGAGAACAGCATAGCGTATTGGAGCGGAGGACATTTTGGTGTCGACCAAACACCTGAAAGCTCCTGGTAACACGTGGCGAACATGACTTTCGAAGTGCTTGAAATACAGACCAGTGGTGTCTTCCTCAACAAGTGGAGCAACAGGAGGGACTGTCGTTGATCTTGTTCTTGCACAGCTTAGACTGGACCCCGAATGCGGCCATTTGTTCTGGGACAGGGTTTCAGAGACGTGCGCTGATCGAAGTGTCGACGTCTTCCTTGAACAGTGTGCTTGATTCTGGCCGGCATTATAATGGCGGAAAGAAATGTCCAATCCATATTCGCAAGCTAATGAGAGCCTGTGGCATGCCCGACACACTGGCTTTGCCTCGTCGCACTATGGAACGTTAGAAGACGTACAATGAATACCAACGAAACTTACACGCTTTCCCCTGCGACGGCATGCCTTGCACCCGCTATGGCCACGACGGATCTTACCAGAGCGCGGTTTAGCGGCAACTGTTCTTGCAGCTGCCATAGCTTGGGCAAAATCGTACCGGAATAGAAATGAGGAACAGATGGGCGGGTGATGATATCAAGATAGAAATGGCCCCGCCAAAAATCCAAATGAAGCCAAATTTTACGCCCAAATACAAGACGGTCATTTTCGCTTCGGATTGCGACGCTTAGGCGAAGTGTTTTGTCCCCAATCATTGAAGCCAAGGTGCTCGTTTGCCAATTGGAGGCGGCGAAGACCGGAGCGCCGTCTCAAGGCCCCATCATGAGAGATCGGCTTGGGGAGATGCAGATCGTTGTGACGTGTATTCTACATATCAGAAGTCAGAACTATTTTGTTCCAGGAATGAAAGATTCGGTCTGCCTTGACCTTTTATGGCAATATTTTACGCCACAAGTCCCCTGATGCATTCTCCAATCCGCTGAGCATGACTTTGGGTGGGCTCCGACGACGAACCGCTCCCCGCGTGATGAATATTCTATAGAACGTGGCTCTGCTGCCCGTATTTTGTTCCCAGCGCGAGTATACATCAAGGCAACATCCTCCGAAGCATTTCACCGCCTTCTCGAGTCGAACTTGGCTCAAGACATCGCCAAAATGGTGCTTGGAACATGGAAAAAGTATGTCTCGAGCTCATTAATTCGCCGGTCGTCGCAAACACTGGCAGTCATAGAGAAGACCGCCTATATCTATGGGGGCGAGCTGCATCCTCGCGAGCCCGTCGATTCAGGCGTCTACGCCTGCTCGATTGTTCAGGGTGAGTGTATCTCATGGTGTTGGCATACTAGTACATCCGCTGCTCTGAGTACTCATGATTTTGGAAACAGGTTCATCTTCCCCAGAATGCCAAGTCTCTGCTGCCACGGTGCCACAGGCGCCGCAACCTCGCGTTGGCTCGGCTTCGACGGCGCTGAAAGGCAAGGTCTATGTCTTCTCGGGACGCGGCGGCACCGCCATGGCACCAATCGAGGAACACGGCGCTTTCTGGAGCTTTGACCCTACCACTCAATCCTGGTCAGAAATCACGCCGCGAGACCCTCAGTCACCGTTCCCTCCCGGTCGCAGCTACCATGCTCTTGCAAACGATGGCAATGACATGATATATCTGCATGCTGGCTGCCCGGAGAAGGACAGGCTAAGCGATCTGTGGTCGTTTAGTGTGTCTCAGCGGAAATGGCATCAGCATGCTGCAGCTCCGGATCCAGCCAGAGGCGGAACCTCGATTGCTTTTGCGCGGGGGAAGCTGTGGCGCATGAACGGGTTTGACGGGGCAAAGGAGCAAGGCGGAACTCTCGACGTCTTTGACCCTGGGAATGTTCATTGGAACACAATTTCGTTTGCTGCAGACGGCCGAGAGGGGCCTGGGCCGCGGAGCGTTTGCTGTCTGCTGGCATTGAAAATAGGTGGCCGCGACAGTCTCTTGACCATGTTCGGAGAGAGTGACCCCAGTAACTTGGGACACCAAGGCGCTGGCAAAATGCTGGGAGATATATGGGTCTTTGACATTGAATCTGGACATTGGCAAGAGGTCCGGTTCCCGGACGGAGAAGACAAGCCCATGCCCCGTGGGTGGTTCGCGGCCGACGTGGTCGCCGACTCCAGTGTCATAATTCAAGGTGGGCTCTCGGCGTCAAACGAACGACTTGACGACGTTTGGCTGTTGGAATTTGAATGAGTCGATTCCACGCAAAAGATAGCTGCCTCCACACGACATGTGAGCCAGAAGATGATCCTGTATCCTCCGCAGGGTGAACAAGACCAAAATGTCGGTGCGACCCAAATAGTATTTTCTATTCTTCCCGAACGACATAATTTGTTTCCCTGAAGTTTGAAGGTCGCAACATCGCTATTGTATCCTTGGTAGCAAAAGCCTGCAGCGTCAGTGCAAAGCACGGCTTTCTGCAGTCAATTGGATCTCGGCACCTGGGACTGGAAGTATGTGGGTGGAGCCGCTTGCCAAACAAAGCAATATTTTACGCCAGGGCGCCGGCCGTCACACGATTTCATGGCCCGGTTTTGACACCATTTTATGGGCGCCTGGTCTGGGTGTTTTCAGAGCTTGGGGTCCTCGTATGCGGAAACGAGCTGGAGTCTGCTGTACTTTCAAACGCTGCAAAAGGGGACTGGAGGATAAGTTAAATCATGACGTCAGTGACATTTGAATTTCCGTCGCCCGCGCATCTAAGGCACAGTAACGAATGCCAAAGTACACGCTATGGCTCTCCAAAATGCTCAAGATTTCCGGCTGGTCCGAGACTCCAGTGCTCCTTGCAGCTTCGACAAAATGCAGAGCGCGGCGACATAGACGCAAACCGACTCCGCGCCGTCAATATAGTTGGCGAAGGTTGCGCGACGAACAGATATGCAGCGCTCCCAGTGTGATAGCGTGGTCATAAAGGTTAAGTCTGGTTGGCATTGACAGCCGATTTGGAGGTATGGTGGAGGATCGTATCCTTTTCGTTGCAGAATCGGTGCTGGACCATTATCTTTGAAGCAGGCTCATGTCTTGCTCACCTCTGTTGCTGCTGCCAGAGATGACGAGGGTAGGCTACCACGACATATCTTGATTGGGAGCTCACAGAACCGGAGGTGATTCTTGGTCGTCGCAGCCAGTATATAGGTGCGTCAGCACCAACCGGGGTTTGTCTAGACCGCTGACCCAGTACAAACTCTGTCCATACTCTTTGGTGATTCTCATGCTCTGAGAGTGAGGGGAGTTCTTTTGTAGCCCGACAAATTTTAGGTATCTGTCATCCTTCTCTTGTGTTGCTCTATCGTCTGGAAACTCCAGTCTCACGATGAGACCGTGTGACAGGAAGAGCTCGGCGTTCCAATGCTCCAGTGTACTGTCAAGAACTCTGGCGAGAGTCGTGTTCTGGAGATTCTCTTGCTCTATTGCTCGCCTCGCAGATCGCCAAGTATAGAAGCCCATTATAGGACCTAGGGGACCCACGATGAAGGATAAGGTCACCCCAACAAAAATACCGGAACTTATGGCAGAACGGCGACTGGTACGGGCAAAACGCATGCAATGAACCAAGTCTGTTGTGAATATGTGCCATTCGCTGGGTGAAACACCGAAATTTCCAAGCCTTTCGTTGAACAGAAAATCTGGTCGTAGAAGTTGTGACGTTGAGCTTGCTATGATGATCGAGAGGTAGCCTCCATTAGGCATTGGAGTTCTGGATTGGATAGATCCGTGAAACAATGATCGAAGCCGCTTAAGCTGAGGGTCCTGTGATCTTGCGTGTAATTGATAGTGACCGAAAGTATTACTCTCCTTTCACCGGAGTACATGCAGAGATGGCGAAAGATACGGCCCGACCGAGACCACGATGAGTTTATATGTCGGACTCTTTTGTACAATGGCTTGCGAGGGCGGGTTCTGCTAATGACCTAAAACTGGACTTACGCTGAAAGGCAGAAGCGCCGCTCAGCAGAACGATATCATTGCGACCAGGACCTCGTAATTTACCACGTATTTTCCAGCGTAAATTATTCCCACAAAAGGAGATTGGCTAGCCCAATTCACGGATCACACGAGACCGAGCCCTAGATGTCTCAATTAACCGAAAGGCGCAATAGATCTCCGAGATGTAATGCCTCTCTCTACTGACACACTTTCATTCTCCCTTCCATCCAACCTGTAGAACCTCGCTCCACAAAGGAGCCGTATCGCTGGCTAGCTGACGTACATTGAGCAAGAGAAACCCTGGATCCCTCGGATCAAGCCGTGTGTTCGATGTGCACAATTCCAGTCGCTTTGACCTCCAGTGCCGCGCCATCAGCAAGGACGTCCTGCTCCTGAATTTCAACGACACGGTCTCCAAAAGCTGCAGCAATCTCTTCCAGAGTCTTCTGCTTGGTCTCTCTATACATCTGTCAGCACGCGACGGTTTGGCCGATGTGATGAGGGACGAGCGTACGGGAACCAAAGATAGATCAGGACGAAGTACACTGCGCAGGCGCTGACGAATACATAGTAAAAGTTCTCTTTGATGTTCTTGAAGGCGCTAGGGCCGGCCTCGGTCACTGAAGCAGCACATAGTCAGTAGCTGTGCGGTCGGCCAGCAGGATTGTAACAGGGGATACGCACGGGCAACGTTGGTGATGTAATGTGCAGCAGCGGCAACGCCCATCCACTTGTTTCGCAGGGAAACTGGAAGAACCTCTGCTCCGTAGTTCCAGGTGATGACCCCGATCAATCCGACTGGCAGTGCAACTTGGTCAGCAAAACTTGTGTCTTGCCGAATCATGGGCCGACCGCACTTACAGTAACCCACGGCAAAGAGGTAGATGCCGACAATCGCAAAGGCCTTGCCGACCGTGTTAGTCGTGTTCTGGAATTCACGTTGCATGACGGCAGCGTAGATTTCGGTGACGATGATCCAAGCCACACCAGTCAGGAGCATTCTAGATAACGTGAGCAACGACCAGGCGGAGGAACTCCTATATCCACTCACTTTCGACGACCCCAGCGATCTGGAAGGAAGAGAATCGAGATGGCGCTCGCCACAAACCCGATTGTGGCCCAAACGCCCGAAAGGGCAAGCCTTGTCCTGCTTCCGACGCCCAATCCTTGATAGAGTGTCGCTAATGGAGCTGTGAGCAAGATACAATGTCCTGCCCGGTGACTCGAGACACTTACTTTGGTAATACTATAGCGGGGGAGAGAGCATCAGCGAACTGAATCACAACACACTGGTCCCGAAAAGAGAAGGGAAACATACCTGAATGACGTTCGTGCCAGTGAGAGCCGTCAGAGTCTGGACGCCGATTGACCTAGAGGGACCATGCATGTCAGCCACCTGTGGACCCGAGGATGAGCCAGGGCCACGAACACCAAGATACGGTGACGATAGAGCCTGAAAGCCTCCCAAAACGACGGGAGTTTCCTTTCCATCTCAAATTGAATCTGGCTTTTCATCAAAGTAAACTCTTCCATCACCTCATGGGAATGTAGATCTTGGCGAATGCGGCAAAAGGCTATGCGGGCTTCTTCCACCTTGCCTTTCTGGATCAGATATCGAGGCGAGTTCGGCATGAACGTTGCCAGCCCAATGAACATAATGATACCCCATGGAATCTGTAGGGCGAGCGGGAGGCGCCACTGTAAACTGCCATACGGGGCAAAGTTGCAGGCGTAGCCCACCCAGTTAGCAGTCATCATTCCGCAGGTCAAATTTGATCCTACTAGGCCACCAATCAAGCCACGGTACCTTGGACTACTGATTTCGGAGAGATAGACAGGAACAGTCGAACAAAGGGCCCTGTTGGTACTGTCAGCCTCTTGCTCTCTTCTGGACTCGTGCCGCGTCCCTGAGTAGAGGTCGGGGAGGGAGGTGTGGCCTTTACCCGACAGCGACGCCGGTGATGACGCGCCCAGCAAGGAGCATCCCAATGTTGACCGCCGCAGTTTGAATGATACAGCCGACGGTACAGATAGCGCACAACAGCTGCATGAAGCCAATGCGGCCCAGCTTGTCTCCAATGAAGATCTGCACGACGGCACCCACGGCTTCGCCAGCGATGTAGATGGACCCTACCTAGCCAGACGTGTTAATATCGTCGACCCAACCACCTCCGGGACCATGGGTGCTCATCACTTACCGAGCCGAGCAAGCCGGGGTCAGGATGGTTCATGTATTCGAGCCAGCTCTCGTGGGCAATAGCTGTGGTCGGTCCCCGTTAGTCGTCTGCAATCCTCAGAACGCATTCGGCTCTGACTGACTCGTGGTCACGATTCCCGTGTCATATCCCTAACCGTCGACCAACTGGTTAGCCAATAAATACATAGCCATAGCATGCTGCAGTAGCTTACGTATAGGAATGTCCCCAAGGAGGCGAAGAGGGCAATGCCAAACGTCTGCCAGTCACCAAACATGGTGGCTGGAGGATACCCGGGCTGAAACAAGATGGCCTTCGATAGAGAGGACAAATTAGTGACTCCTGCTGTCAGGTCGAAGTGGGCGTTTGGGCACTTTTATCTTGGAGAGGTTAATGTTAGCCCCACAACAGGTATCGAGACCTGGCTCGACTATATGCCCAATGTTCAGAACAAACCAGAACTCTGGTCAATCCGGAGCTTTGGTCGGAGAGTCAACCCGACCTCCCTCTCCCCAGGGAGCCCCGGACCCCCGGACCCCGCGGTGACCGGACGGGGCGGCGGAAAACTTGGGGAAGATCTTGTTTCTCACCGCTTCCGTCACCTACTTATTCTTAATTAATTGTTCCGGCGGCGCATCATTATGCCTAGGAGAAGACTTGGACGATGTCAATGAACAGGGAACAGCATCTGGCCAAGAACCGGAGGAAAGTGTCATCTCGTGTGTTAGATTATGGTGGTAGCAAAAACAAAACAAACAAAAAAAAAACACATGCGTTGGGAACGATTATGGCACTTGATACACGGCCCAAGCACTGTCTACCCTCTGGCTATTCATTTGCGTCTACGGCCATTCATTGTCCATAGATGGCATCAAGGCACCGAATCCAATCTCGTCTGCCCCGATCGGTTGAAGTCCTGGAAATCCTCCATCCTCAAGCGTGGGCATGCCCAAGAACTCGAATAACGGGCCGAGCTGGTGCGTCGTATTATGAGCTGCGATAAGATTGCCCAGCCGTTGTCTCAGACCGTAGACCGTATGTCTCGTGTCGTTGAAAATGTTCAGTCCAGTGCGGCCGTCAGGATTGTTCTTGGTGTCGAGCACGAACTGTATGGTGTCGGCGTAGTGCTGAGCACATTGCCACCGATGTGACATTTGGCGTAGGAGAGCGAGTAAGGAGAGGAGGTCCGGAGGAGTCGACCCATATGTATTCTCATATCCAGCTGTCCATAAGATGACAAGAGCCCGCGCAGCACACCACACAATAAAGGCAAAAATAGGCCCCAGTTGATCGGTTTCATGAGGTTGGAGCCCACTAGCCAAGGATTGTAGACTGCGGATCGCCTGGCGACAGCGGCCGCAGGACGACGGATATGGTCTGAAATAAGGAGAGGTCGTGGGGGGAAAGGCGGCAATTGCATGCATGCGCATAACGACGCTACCATGGCGGCCCCGACAGTCAGCATAGATGTCTTCATCAAGGGTAGAGGGGCAGGTTGGAAGGGGAGGGGTTTGGCATACGCTTGGTAGGTGGCATGCACCATGATCCACATGGGGTTGAACTCAGGCGGCGCGTCTCGGACAGGCTGGGGCAAAGTGTCGAACCAGGTGGTCAGAGCCGTATCTAGGAGTCGAAAGCTGCTCTGCCATTCTTGACATCGTGCGGGAAGGGAAAAGTTCACCGGCTGGAGAAGGAGTTGACTGGTGCGGTCGGACAGGGCGAGCACCTCGATCTGGCAACGCCAAAGATCCCTGGTACCGTCGATAGAGGGTCGGAGAGGCGCGGTCGTGTGAAACCATTCGGCCGTCGAGGTCTGACCCCAATCTTTGTCGGGGACGGGAAACTGGACCGTGATGCGTTTCGCGTCAATGCCACATGGGCTGCCGTGAAAGAAGCTCGAAAATCGATCAAGGACGTATGCCGACCAGAAAAGACGTCGCTTCTCTTCGACTTCGATACTCGGCTGATCCACGCATTCGTCGGGGTCTTCATTTCGCACCATGGGGTGATTTGGTTCGAAATTCGCGTCGCCGGCAATCTTGGCTAGTCCCAACTGCTTCACGGCGGCCACCAACATAGCCATGATACTCCATGTCTGAGGACCAGGACCTTGACCACAAGCATCCAGGGCCAGCAGGGCCAGCGCTTGCGTCGATATTATAGTGCAGTTGTCTACGTTGTGCAGGAGGATACGTTCTCTCGCCCTCTTGACGTACTGCTCACGACTCTCGGCCAAAGGAGTGGACTTGTTCCAGAAGGGAAACGAGATCACCACAATCCCGCAGACGAGTATCTCACGGTCAGGGCGAGTCAGATTCGCCATGAAAGTGGGCTTGTAGAAAAGCTTGAACGACGGATATATGACCTCAAAGAACAACTCAGCGAGTTCTCGCACCACTGAATCCGGGGGCAGGCCATTGTCGGGTTGAGGTTGGGGCTGCGGCGGGAGACCTGGCCATGTGGCGGGGAGCGGGTCGACTACAGGAGTCGAGGTGAGTGAGAGGACTTCATGGGACTGAAGAGTGCGTGGTGTCTGCTGAGCCCGAGAATCGATGGCCTGGGCGTCGAGAGGATGAGGCGCAGAAGGATGAGGAGGAGCATCTGGTCGATGTGGATGTGGTTCACCCAGGAACTCCGTCCGCCCACGGGCAAGGACCGCCTGGAGATCTCGATGCATCCTGTCGATACAATCTTCCAAGAACGCTACACGCGTTTCGATGCCCTTGCCGTAGCCTGGACGTAACCCGGGTTGGCCCTTCTCTCGATAGACACAGTCGATGCCTTTTTTCCACTTGAGTAAGCAAAATGGGCGGCCAAACGTCGAGACCATGCATGCAAACCTCTTCGCCGACACGAGTCACACCGTGGGCGAGCGCTGTCACATCGTGACTTCCTGGCTTTGCAAGCCTCGCACCTGTTCAGGAAGCATCATCCATCTGGACATCCCCAGGAGAAAGAACTGCAGAGACCTAGGGGACAGCGTACGCCTTTGAGAGGGTCTTCGCCCGTTTCGGCGCAGGGCCATCTTCGACGAGCATCTCTGCGGTCTGCAGGGTCTCTTGCTCTGGGCGATCATGCCTCGACATGACAGGAGTATGTTATTGAAGAGCAAGATTTGGAAATGAGTGGTTCAGCAGGGGGGATGGATTAGGCTGCAACAACAGACCATGATCATTTTCGGTAGCAGGAAGAACATGTCGGCTTTTCTTTCGTGGAGGAGAGAGTCAAAGTGTCAGTACAGGTCTAAGGTGAATGCTAGATCCAATGCATGCAGGCGGTGTCCTTGTGTCTTCTAACAAACCCCCACCTCCCCGCTAACCGGGGGTGGTGCGGTTCTCAGCTCATCATCCACCACCCCTCTTCTCTTCCTCCATCGTAGCCACCATCTCTAAGCCTTCCCCGCCCCTCACCGAACCATTGCCTATGCAGAGCTCGGTTCCCCCTTTCCTGGACATTCGCTTATTGCCGAACGAATGAACCAGCTCGCATAACTGGAATGTGTCCGACATCCAGGTGCTTGGGTCCTATAGAAATGGGTCTACAGCGTGTTCTACATTTGCACTCACCTCACCTTTCAGAGACATGTCTGTGACAGATGAGAGCCCGGTCCTTTGATTTGGACCCATTGTGCTCGAGCAAAGAATGCCCATGCCATCTCCCGAGAATTTTACAAGTTACGGGAAGAGGCGAATCCACTTGGCGACTCGGGGCTCCGTCTCTCGCATCACGAGATCGGGGCCAGAATCCCGCCTCCGCTGCTTAGAGGGCGCTGTGAACCTTCGCAGGCACACTGATAAACTCATCTAGGAAAGCTAGGCGCAATGATGCGCCTTCTCTCAACCGAGGGTCGGACCATGTTGCCCAAATTCTGGCGAAATAGCAACTAATTTTCGGCGGGCGGATTGGTGCCAAGACCTCCGGGCCCCAGGGGGCTGGTGGACCCCCACGTGACCCCTCAGAGCACAGGGTTCTCCTAGACCAGGCGATAATGCCGTGAAACAACATCCACCAAGAGAAGCTCGCCAGCAGCTCTATCAACCCCTTCTTGCTTGGTACCTCGCTCCACAGGAGGGAGGAATCCTTCCACCTTCGACCACGAACCTCTCGGATGGCATGTTGAAAGCGCCAAGAGCTGCTCGGATCGGAAAGAGAGTAGGGTCGATGGTCACAATAGATGACTCTGGTAGCCAGGGAGACCAAGAATACCACCAGTCACACACGCCTAGATGTACAAGTTGTCGTATACACTGCTGCTGTAGCCTATGAGAACTTCTCACTTTCCGGAATTCCCCCATAGTCTCCTGATCGAATTGGGTAGTAATGCTAAAACTCAACTATGCTCGGTGTTTCCTGGCAACCGCCGTACTGCTAGTACAGTATAGACGCCGTACGAGTGGGGAGTCATGGATCTACATTTCGTTATCCAACTACTCTATCCAACTACTCTGTTTTTCTCCAGGGTTCAACCGTCGGATGTTGTTCGAGCATCTAATGTTCGGAGTCTAGTTTCCCTCCTCCCTCCCCCCCCCCCCCAAAAGCAGACAGTGTGTAGCGCAATGATGTCCCGGTACGTGGTCTCCGATGGTGCTCCGTCCCTTGGAAAGTAGTGGGCAAAGCGCGCTACAAACTCATCGAGTCCCGAGAACCACCCCGCCGCTTCGCAGTGGCGGCTAGGGTAGGTCCGTGAGAGAATACGGGCCGCCTTCGGGGCGCTCAAAAAATAAATGAAAAATTATATAGGCAGCAAGTGACTTTTCTGGCCCTCTTTTCCCCGGTCCAGGTATGATCGATTCAATGGACAAAGTTCGTTGTCAGATCTGCATGCTCACAACCAACCCAGAAAAGGCCCGGAAAGAGAGAACCTTGGATTTGCATCATGTTGTCGACAGACCCTGCCGTGCTCATTGGACTCCTATGCCTTAGTATTGCCGGCTTGACGGGCGTTGCGGCCTTCTTTTTCATCCGAGCGGTCTACCGGTACCTTACGGACCCATATGACCTGAAACGCTTCCCTGCTCCCAGCATTGTCGCCGCCGTTACCCCCCTCTGGTGCTTCAAGCACTCTGCAGTTGGGAATAGATTTCAGGCGTTGGACGATGCCCACCAAAAGCTCGGAGAAATGGTTCGGATCGGTCCCGACCACGTTTCCATCAACATGCTCGAGGCGATCAAGGACATCTACGGGCACGGGAGCATGGGCAGACTGATGAAGGCGGATTTCTATGATACACTCGCAGGCGAATACCACAACATTGCCAACACTCGCGACAGAGAGGAGCATCAGCGGAAGCGCAAATATATCTCCAATGCATTCGCGCTGTCGAACATCCTGGAGTTGGAGCCCAAAATTGCCGGCACTCTTTCGCTGCTGCTGTCGAAGCTGGACCAGATGGCATCCACAACAGAGCGCTCCCGAGCGCTTGATGTTCACGACTGGCTCAGTTTCTTCACGTTTGACGTCATCAGCCAAGTCGCCGTTGGCGAGACATTCGGATTTCTGCAGAATGGCTCAGACCAGTTCCGGGGCCAGACGAAATACGGCAAACCTGGGAAGTGGCATGTAGTACCCTCGACCATAACCAGTCAGCGCGCGGCCTTTCGGTTCAAAGTGGCGCTCGGTCAAATGTCCAAGGCGTGGTACGATTTTTGGACTCGAATCCTGTGGTTCTCGCGCGGCAAGACCGACGTCGACATGTTCACGGCCGTCGCCATTGGCCAAGTCCGTGAGCGCATCAGGAAGGACAAGGATCTGGAAGCGTTCCCGCCAGATTTCATGTCCCGACTTCTCAAGGACAAGGAGGGCAAGCCACGGAACCTCCCCTTCATGGAACTGGTATCGGAAGCCATTGTCCTGCTCAATGCAGGAAGTGACACCACCTCCTCCGGTCTGACGAGTGCAATCTGGGAACTCGCCACTCACCCCGCAGCCCGAAAGGAATTGCAGAAAGAGTTGGACGGTGCCCTTGGGGAGGTCGAGCTGGACAACGGTTTCCGGGTCGCAACGTATGAACAAGTGAAGGACCTCAAATACCTTCAGGCATGTCTGACCGAGACGCTGCGCCTGAATCCGCCCATTCCGTACGGCCCTCCGCGCCTCATCATCGACCCCAAGGGCGTCATGGTTGCCGGAGAGCACTTTCGGTACGGCACCACGGTCTCGGTGCCCACGTACTCCATAATGCGTCACCCTGACATCTTCCCCGATCCCAATGCCTTCAGACCGGAGCGCTGGTTGGAAGGCGATGAGATTCGGAAGGAGATGATGCAACAAGCATATATCCCATTCAGCACGGGCCCTCGAGCGTGCCTAGGCCGTAACCTGGCCACTATAGAGCAGCATATTGTCCTGGCCACCCTTTTCCACAGATATGACCTCGAGCTTGTCGACAAGAACTTCATTCCGCATTTGAAGGAGGGTTTCAATCTAGATCCCGGTCCCCTACCGATTACTATCAGGCGTCGCAAGAGGAATCACTAAATCAGGCTGAGATGAAGCCAGATTGAATGACTACGTATAAAGCCAATTAGCTGTTGGCGAAACGCAGTTGACAAAGTACTTCTTCAACCTTACGCTAGTTGGCCCACGTACTGAAGATAGAAGACAAATAAACAATGCACGCCCCTCCCCTAGACCCTCAAGCAAGCGAGATATGACTTTCCGGAGCCAGAAGCATCGAACTGTGAACTGTGAACCTCTTGAATGTGTCCCCTCAACCCTGTACGGCCTGGAAGCAGCCTGGTGTTCCGTGACTCTCTTCATGCGGGCTGAACATCTCCGGCATGTCTTTTGCTGGACCTTACCCGAGCCGGAGGCGGTGTCACTCCTTGGGGGTGGAATAGAGATTAGTTCTCGAGTAGATTTCCCACGATCTCGGTGGCTTCTCCTCGCTGGGAGTATTATATTCGAGCTGTCCCAAGAGGGTACTCACTGAAGTTATTGAGGACGCGGCGTTGAGCTGGCCCTTTGGACCTGACATTCTGGGCGTTCGGGTTCAAAAATCGTGAATTCATGGCAAAAAGCAAGAAGCCCAGCGCCGAAGAGAGCGGTGCATGTCCATATGTCGGCAATATCATGGTCGCTTCTGTCGCTGCAGGTCAGGAGGATGGGAGGAAACTGTCTGAGCGCACTGCAGGTACTAGCGCAATCGATTCACCAACTGTATGAAGAACAACCCGCATTTCGATTTCAAGGGCCGACTATTCATTACCTGAGCCGGCGGGTGGAACACTCCCGACACTTTTGGCGGGGAATCAATGCTCCGCCACTATGAGGCAAACGTCCGTCCTCCGCCGACAGGCCCAAGGTCCCAAGCGCTCTGGGTTCTACGCGCACATTTGAACCGTATTCAATACCCTTTTAAAACGAGCAGAGGGATCTCTCCAACCTTGTCGGGTCAAGAGTAACCAGAATTCCAGAAAGTGCAACCATGTCTCTCGGCAATACACTCACCCTCAATACCGGTGCTAAGATCCCGTGCGATACATCTCCCTGTCTCTAGGATCCTTGCCGACACTGCTAATTGGTCCCTTAGACAACGAGGTTATGGAACCTGGCAAGCCAAGCCTGGCGAGGTCGAGGAAGGTGTTTTCCAGGCTTTGAAGGCTGGTTACCGCCATTTGGTGAGTTTGACGATCGGAACACCATGTCTTCCCTTTCCATGCGCTGTGATGCGGCATGCTCATCTACAACTAGGATCTTGCGAGAATGTAAGAATGGCATTCCCGGGTTCGTGCCAATCCTGCCAGGCGTGGCTAAACTTTGTTTCCGTGGATCAGATATCGCAACCAGCGGGAAGTGGCACAAGCACTTCAGAGAGCCTACAAAGAGCTCGGGCTCGAGAGGAAAGACATTTTCATCGTATGGCTTCGCGATTCTCCTTCTCGACGTTGGATCCTGGCTCTAATATCTGTATACATGCCATCAGACCTCGAAATTATGGAACAGGTATTTCGGGCACGGCAAATTACACCTGGCATCAGAGACTGATCCGTGGCAGTGCCCATCATCCCGATACGGTACCTGTGGCGCTCGAGGACACTCTCAACGAACTCGGCCTTGAGTATCTAGATGTTGGTCCTTTCTCTTTGAGACTCCTTTGCTTGTGCCTTGCTTCCCCCAGTATCGAGGTTGACGGGAGGATCTCTCGAATATCCAGCTCTATCTGATGCACTGGCCCGTTGCCTTTAAAACAAACAAGGATATCTTCAAATTATTCCCGACGACTTCAGAAAATCCGGACTTTGTCGAAATTGACGACGACATCTCTATTGTAGACACGTGGAGAGGTATGTTGGGACGGGTTGACTACAAATTTCACGTGCTGAATCGCGTTCTGACATGCTCCTAGCGATGATTGAACTCCCAAAATCCAAGGTCCGCGCCATTGGCGTGTCAAATTCACTGATTGAATACGTATACTCTCCGCAAGAATCCTTCCCTACTTCTGTGAATGTTTCCAGAAGACTAACAAACGTGGAATGTGTCCTGGAAAACAGATTGAAGTCCTTATCAAGGCGACCGGCATCGTTCCGGCTGTTAACCAGGTCGAGAGACATCCTACATTCCCAGACCCTGACTTGTGTGATTATTGCGCAAAGAAGGGGATCCTCATCACATGCTATTCGGTACGTATCAGTCCCACAGTTCTGGCTATTATTGAGCACATCCAGGAAAACTCTGTCTGACTGAATGATTCTTTCTCTTTCCAGGCTCTTGGAAACAACCTCCAGGGAGTCCCGCTGGCGATTGAGCGGCAAGAGGTCAAGGATGTTGCCGCCGCAGCAACAAGGCGCCTCGGTCAAACTGTGACACCAGCACAAGTTGTGTAAGTGGGAACTCTGCATTATTCCACGCTCCACTCTCACTCTCCCTCTCTCTCTCCCGGTGCCCGGAAACACCCTGCTTCGACGACTAAGTGCTTACACAATTTTGTGTCCAGGCTTGCGTGGGCGGAATCTGGAGGACACATTACGATCCCCAAATCCGTGAACTCGGCCCGCATCAGAGAGAATTTTGTTCAGGTCGAACTGGCTGCTGAGGAAATGGAAGCAATCAATCAACTGGGGAAGCAAAACAAGCGTTTGAGCGTGCCATACAAGGTCCTCAAGCCAAGGTGGCCCATCAATATCTTCAAATCTGCAGACGAAGTCGGTGCCCCGCACCAGGTAAACTGTTAGAATAAATTCCGTCACTAGAGCCCCTTCGTAAGGCACGGGGAACCTAAACAGATGTCCTAGGAACGAAAGCCACATATCTACAATGGCCGTACAAGTTCAGAGGAAACGAATTTAGCTATTCTGTAAGCCCGGCCTCGCAGAGATCTACGGCAGGGCTCTCCTGTAATGTCCGCAAAGACACGCGCCCCGGCCATTTGTTGGGTTCAAAATGGGGATGGATGTTTGGATAGCCGGGGGTTGAGTGAGGGGTCTCAAGACGGTGCAATGATGTTCCTGAGAAGCTTCGGTGTCCAGGACTTCGTTTCTCCAATGAGTGTTCCGAAGCCTCTACTTTTTGTCCCTGGTTGGTGAGGGGAGCAAGAGGTTTGCCCAAATTTCTTGCTCGAAGCTCGGAGGCTTCTCCGGGCCCACGGCTATTGGGACTCGGAGAAATCGGTATATCTGTTCAACAACCAGACGTCAAGGCGCACGAGAGAACCTTTCTAGGAGGCGCTACATACTCGGGAGCCTTTACGCCGAGGAAGTCATTCGCCGACGGAATCACTCGAGAAAAATTGGCAGTGTTGACGGCGAGGCTCCCTGTTATATGTCTGGTGAGTTCTCCAGTTGACGCTGCAACCACTAACTTCCGCCCTTCCTGAGTACGCTGATGCTGGATTTGTCACCGGTCGATATTGCTTTCCTGTCATTTTGAAGACTCCCAACAAGAAATGAAAGACCTCAGCCATAACCGACTTCTGCAAATCGTGGCGAAAGCTGCCCGGGAAGGGTATGCAGTGCCGGCTTTGTGCTGCTACAATGTCGAAGCAATTATTGCCGGCGTGCGTGCCGCCGAGGCCAAGCGCTCGCCGGTCATCATCCAGTTATTCCCCTGGGCCGTGACGTACGCCGATGGCTTGCTGGTCCACGCGGCGGCAGAAGCGGCCGACAAGGCCAGTGTGCCCGTCGGGGTGCACATGGACCATGCACAGACACCGGAGATCGTCACGCGAGCGGCCGACCTGGGCGGGTTCGACGGAATCATGGTGGACATGAGCCACTACGAAAAGGAAGAAAACTTCCAAAAGACCAGAGAGCTGACCCGGTATTGCAACGACCGAGGAATCATCACGGAGGCAGAGCCCGGCCGGATTGAAGGCGGCGAGGACGGCGTCGGCGACACGGCCGACTTTGCGCTTCAAGGCCTGTTGACCAGCCCCGAGCAGGCTGAGGAGTTTGTGGCCTTGGGCATCCACTGGCTGGCCCCCGCGTTTGGCAATGTCCATGGCAAGTATGGACCGAAAGGACCCCAGTTGGACCTGGACCGGCTGCGAGCGATTCACGCCAAAGTGGGCGACCGGGTGAACCTGGTGTTGCACGGGGCGTCCGGGGAGTATTTTCACCAAGAGTTGTTCCGCGACGTCATTGCGTGCGGAATCGCAAAGTGCAACGTCAACGATGCCATGAATGATAGATTTGTCGAAGTTCTCCAAGACAAGGCGGGCAAGGCGCCTCTCACCACCATCATCGAGGAAGGGACTCTAGCCATGCAAAAGGCGGTCGAGCAGCACATGGATTGGATGAATTCCACCGGCAAAGCATAGCGAGCCGTGGGAGGATGGACGCGAAAACAAGCGGATTCAATATGGTCGACGACCTTCGAGCCCAGGTGCGAACTACGACCACAGTCATTAGATCAGATTTTCCCGGCTTCTTTTATAGTCTTGGACAATGTCATCAAAAGAGAAGTCTCGTCTGAGACCCAGCCCGCGTGCCTTTGTGCTGTTGTGTTCCGTTTAGCCACGCGTAGAGAATCGACTTCAGTTTTGGGTCTGTTTATTGTCAGGGAAATGCTGGTTTATCATGCCCGCCAACACGAGACGAAGAATCTGTGGGCCATCATGTCTTGAATCGAGACACCAATATCAGGATGATTGTGGGTAGTATTACTCGGTCTATGTATCTACTCCGCTCTCCGTACTCAGGGCCTCTGTGCCTTTTTCCGTGAGAATAAGGGAGGTCACACCGGGGAAGGCCAGCTTATCAAGGCGGGCTGATGTGGCAAGTTAGCCGAGGCATCGATCATATGTGAAGTAACGACATGGACACTACGGGAGCTCTCCTGACTCCATAGCGATCGTCACAGATCAACTTCTGTCGCTCTCCAGGTAACGCCGGCTGCACAAGTCGAACCTAATTCAAGCCATGGTGCTATTAAACCCTCCTAACCATGCTGTCAATGGTGTTGAGGCCTCGTCCATTTTGGGCACTCGACGGACCTCTCAAGTTTGGTACTTCGAATTTTGATCTTTTATTCTTGTTGCCCGCTAACTCAACTTCCAATAGTGACCGATGCCGACTGTATGCCCGTTCAAAGCCCTCAGTCGCTGGTGCCGAAGCGATCTAGGTCAAGGGAGCTGCTAACTAGGAGACAGGAGAAGGATCAAATGTGACGGTCAGCGGCCCAGGGTACGTATGCGTGGACTTGGTGTCTCACACAGGCCTCTTCCAGACAGATTGACTGAATTTGAAGGACCTTCTAGTGTGGAAAATGTGAGAGGGCCAATGTCAATTGTGCCACTACTGCAACGTTGCGGCGAAAGACAACACGTCGAGGGTTAGCCAAAGCCCCAATAGGTCTCCAAGTTCATTTACCATCAGTGTGGTTGTAGGAAGTGGAGAAGTACTAATGTAGACCGCAACAGTTATGTCGAGCCGACACAGACTATCATCGCAACTCTGGAGGGGCGTCTAGAAGAAGCCCAGGCAGAGCTTCATCGAACTCAAGCCTTGAACCAACAACTACTGCACGAAGTCCAATTTCTCAAGGCCCAATTCAAAAAAGCCACTTCTGCTTCTTTATCTTCTTCTTCTACAGGTGTTGTTACTCACCAGGGCCCAGGTAGCTTTCCATGTTCCACATCATTGCCACCACCACCACCACCACCACCACCACCACCACCACCACTGTCCTCCACCGTGGACGTCTCGGGCGGCGATGCGTGCGAGGACTCGATAGACGAACCCGTCTTGCGACACCTTGGGCGTCTGGTCCAGGACGGGTATGGCTCTTTCTTCTTTGCCGGTTCGCCCTCGGGAATCCATTTTGTCCTGTTGGCCCAACGGCAGTATCAGAAACTATTTGCTACCCAGGAAGTGTTTCCTGAGTGGATGTTCCGACTAAATCTGACCCCTGTCCTCCCCAGCCAAGGCCGGGGCAGTGTCTATCCTGCAACATTGCCATCCACTAGCAACGTCTCTCACTCCAACACCAATTCGACCTCATCAACTGGGTTTATGTTTGGCTCCCTCCAGGGGCCGGATTACCCCCGAGATTTCTACTCTCGCCATGTTAGCACGTTCCTCGGCACCTGGTCGTCCTTGTATCCCATTTTCCCTCCCGACCAGCTCGCCGATGTGGATATGATCGGTGATGTTGTCCGGACCTCCATTGAGAATGGTCGTCGAGATTTACCTCGCCGATTCAGTTTGATGGCGATTGTGGCCTTGAACGCTTTGGCCGATCTATACATCAAGAAGACGGATTCTGATGCCATCCAATATTCCGTCAATGCACACACGCAAGGGAAGATACGCCAATTTCTTGCCGATACTTATCTACAGGTTGCAACCATAGGCAGCTTCTCGAGTCTTCAGGGAATCCTCGTATATCTCTTATTCCTTCAATCCATCCGAGAAAACTCGTTGGCCATCCAGATCAATGGCGTTTCTGTGAGGCTAGCCCAGTCTCTCGGGCTTCATCGACACTCGAGACGTTTCAAGCACTCTCCAGATGAGACGGAAATGCGAAAACGGGTCTGGTGGTGTGTCTATATTCTCGACGTGTGAGTTGCCCCTGCTACCCGGGGAAAAAGGTCTCTAGGTCGAATTGAATCCTAACTGGCATCTTTGTAATCCTAGTCATACATCCATCAAACATGGGCTTCCTAGATTGATCCAGCAGAAGGATGTCGAAGTCGACACATTTGCGGATGCCGATTTTCCAGAGATGTCAATCCAGCAGCTCCCCTCGAATAATACACTCGGCGAACCACAAACTCTCTACTGGTTCATCCAGCATATTCGCATTGCACAGATTTTGGGTCGTTGCCTGGACGAACTCTACAAGACACACTCTCGTAGAGGGGGGCCGGCAAAGATTGCCCGACTGGAGCTGGACCTTCAGAGGTGGCGCCAGAACCTCCCCTTGTCGACCGCCACGCCTCCACTTGGCCCAGATGTCCCGAGATTATCTCCAAATGAAATCAGGGGAGGAGACCTACTTCCAACGAGGTGGGCTCTCCTCCTGGGGGAGCTGGCGACTATTCTGATTCACCGACCGGCATTGACGTTTAACCACCGGGTCCCGCAGTTTGCCAACAGCTTACAGGCATGTGTCCATGCCTCGGAAAATATCCTCTCCATCTTTAAATCGGGAGCAGACCAACAACAACTACGGCAGCTGTGCTTGTTGCTCCAACCTTGGCCGTCAGGAATTGACTTGATTGCACATAGTGCACTCATGCTCTTGTACAGCCGGTGGGTCGGACTCGACGAGCTTTCCATTGCCAATTCGTCACACCGCTTGGACGCGGAGCCTGCAGGACTTCCACGCAGGGAGCATCACTCCTATTCCTGCGGCACCACGAGCCTGAGCAAGTCCGTGGACGGAGTGCGAGCAGCAATAGACCTGGCCTCCTTGTTGCAAGCTCGATTTCGTGATACACAACTCCCAAATGATCCGGCGTCGTCGTCATCGTCATTATTGGTGAACAACTCCAATGGTCACGGTCATGGCCATGGCGCTCCCCTAGCCAGAATGACAATTCTCCTCGAGTCTCTTCTGAAACTCACCTTACAACATGAGTCTCTCCATCTTTTTGGCGCCGCTCCCGAAACCCTGCTACCTCCGGGATCACAATCGGTCCTCTCCACCGAAAATTTAGCATCCCTGTCATCACCAACATCAACACATGTAGATGGTCTCGGTCCCCTTGGTTCGACCTCGTATCCCTCGTTGATGTCGCCGTCGTCGTCATCAGCACAACACCTCGTTGCGCCCCAGCCTGAATATCCGGCCGACGACAGCTGGAATGTGCGCCAACTGAGCCTGCTGAACACCATTGACGACTCCCCCAATTGGATGGCGTGGGATTTGGAGGCATTCAATCAGATGGATCTTGACCCCTGGACCGATTTCCCCCTTTTATCATGGGACTATGGTACCTACGAGTAGTCATCCTTCTCCAAAGAAGGAGCAAACAGACAAAAATCGTGACTGCCGAGTTGCCTCCTACTAAAATTCGAATCCATGACATTCGTTCGCCTGCTCTTCCTCTTCTCACACCCCATCTGGTCTTTGGCTAGTCTCCTCTGCCGTGTGTGGCTGGCCACCTACAGGGGCCTTTTCCAAATGCCAGTTGAGCGACGCTACGTGTAGCCTTCTAGGCTTAGACGGCATCCCCGAGTTTCGGCATTGGAACGACATGGGTCGCACGTTTTGGACTTCGGCACTTGCGATTGGAAATTCTGGCGAATACAACGAAGTCCTAGATCATGGATCCCGCAGTTCTTCAGCCCACCGCCCCACAAGGGGCGCAGAAACAGCGGGATAGTGTCTTATTCCGCCACTATCTCCTGCTACCCCTCAAGTATACAATGGAGCGCAGCGGCCTCGACTTTGACCATGTGAGATGGCGGACGTGACCGTGGTTGTAGATGAAATTTTTTTGTACGACCTTCGTCGATCGATTGCTATCCAATCTTGCAAACCTGGTCCTCTCTAGAATACAATGGGTGAAGAAGGAATTGCTGGCCGCCAGACCAACGGGGTCACCAAACCACTGGTAAGTGGGCAGCTCAGCGCATGCGCTTCACTCTCCTTGCATCAAAATTGGCTGGCTGTGGGAGTTGCTACTACACAACATGATGACTGACTGACTGTTTCTGTTTCCTCTTGAACTAGGCACGCGTGAATGGGCCGCGGATCAAATCTGTCGCGCCCCTCCACGTTGGACAATTTATGTTCGCCCGGGTGGAAACCGACACTGGGATTGTTGGTTGGGGGGAAGCTGGAATCTGGGGCCATATCCAGGCAGCAGCGACGGCCATTGAGCGATTTGCGGAATATCTCGAGGGCAAGGCGGCGTTCACGATCGAGCACCACTGGAATGTGATGCACCGGTTCAGCTACTTCCAGGGCCTGGCGATCAACGCGGCCATCTCAGCCATCGACATCGCGCTGTGGGACATCAAGGGCAAGGTGCTCGGAGTGCCAATTTACGAACTCCTCGGGGGAGCCTGCCGTACCAAGGCGCGCGTCTACGGGCACATCTACGAGAAAACGATCGAAGGCGTGCTGGCCGAGTGCCGGCGAAAGATGGACCTCGGATTCACGGCGTTCGGGCACATCAACCCGTTCCTCGACGAGGGTAACGATCAAGTGTACTTTAAGACGCACGTCAAGAAGATGAACGACGCGATCGACAACGTCAAGCGCATGCGGGAGGTCGTCGGCGATAAGGTGGACCTCCTCATCGAGCTCCACCGGCGCCTCACTCCCGCGGAGGCGGTGACCTTCTGCAACGGCATCAAGGACACATGCCCGATGTTCGTCGAGGACCCCATTCGGCCGGAGAACGCGGACGCCATGGCGCGCGTGGCGGACCGCATCTCGGTCCCCGTCGCGACGGGCGAGCGCTTCTGTACCATCTACGAGTTCCAGGCCCTGCTGGCGCGCGACGCCGTGGAGTTCGCACGCATCGACGTCGCTGTCTGCGGCGGCATCACTGGGGCCAAGAAGGTCGCTGCCATGGCCGAGGCCCATCACGTCCAGGTCGTGCCGCACAACCCGTTGTCGCCCATTGGCCTGGCCGCCTGTCTTCAGGTCGCCGCGGCTATCCCCAACTTTGCCATCCAGGAGTACGCGACGGGGTTCGAGTCCGGCTCCTTCACCTCGACGACCACCCACCTTGGTGCCGATATCGTCGACCTGGTGCCCGTCCCCAAAGACGGCTTCGTCGACATCCCCAGCGGGCCGGGCTTGGGCGTGAACGTCGTCGAGAAGGCGCAGGAGATCCGGCCACCATTGGTCCAACCCATCAGCATGAGGCCGCATTTTGATGGCTTTGTCGTTGACCAATAGATAGATAAGCCACAAATGCTCTATACATATAATCGATTGGTTTGCCGAACAGAATAATTCCCGGTCGGTACTTGACTCGTTCTGCGAAGAGAGGCGAGTCCGATTGCTGGCTCCGCAGTGACTCGACTTCCAAGACCTCCGTTGATGCGACGATTATGAAAGTCCATCAGTTCGATTAGAATTACAGTATTCTGTCTGACCACTCTATTTGCTTTGGGTCCTAACCAAACAAGACTTGTTATATTCATTCATCTTCAAGAACACGGGGGACTTCCGTCCCGTCTGGCATGTCGCTAGGCCCCTTTCTGACCCCCAAGACCGAGTCGCGAGACCGGTACGAGGTCCTCGGTACAGGTCGCGTTCTCTTTAGCGAGGCGGAATAGCCTGTTATCCCGCGCCTCTAGTGCCACCTAATACTATTGGCTTTTGGGCGGGTGGAGAAGGCGGAATAAGAACTTATTCCGTCCAACCTGATGGTAGGAAGGGGGCGACCTCACTCAACTTTGTCAAAAATTGAGACCTCTTCGCTGGAAAAAGAGGTCTCTCAACCAGGCTCGCAATAAGCGGGAGGAAGGAGATACCGCTCCTCTTTTCGCCAGAGGCTAGACTATCCCACCCCAGGGGGAAGCGGTTTGATCCTCAAGGGTCGGATGGAGGGCGGCCCATGCAAAGCTTTTCTTTGGGGTGCGTGAGTGGCTTGCAATATATAAAAGCAAAAAGAAAAAGGGGGAGGCCCTTGGTGGTTCATTTCCACGCTGCCTTTGAGTGAGCGACTGACAGGCCTGCTTGACTATTCAACTTTGAAGGCCCTCCAGAATCATTCCACTCCAGGTTCCTTCCTTCGAGTCATTATCAACTCTCCCCACTATTTGGTTCTGTCTTACATATACATCACTTATCAACCCTGCCTCACAGTATAGAGACGTATCGACCAATCTCATGGACTCAAGCGAACAGCGGCTCGAGCCCGTGACTGTTGCGCCTGAGGCGGTTCACGACATGGAGCGCAAAGGAGCTGGACACGTCGAACTGCGCGAGCAGGGTCGTCCTGATCCCAACTCGGATTTCGTCGAGCTGCCTCCCGACGTCAAGAAACGGCTGATGTGGAAGGTCGACTTGCGGACGATCCCCATGCTCGTCTCCCTCTATCTCCTAGCGTTTTTGGATCGGTCAAACATCGCCAATGCCAAAATCGAGGTGCGTCGACATGCTGCCCGCTCCGGGACCTCTTTGCAGCAACCCAAAGTGCGTTTTGTAATGCTCACTCACTCATACTGGGACCGTGTGCCCTGCAGGGAATGCTGGAAGACCTTCACATGGCTGGAAATCAGTACAACGTGGCCTTGTCCCTGTTCTTTGTCACCTACATCATTTTCGGTCAGTGAGGAATCCCGTCAGACTCAGCCCTCCCTCCCTCCCCTCTCTCTCGCTTTCCCCATCGACTGGCGTTTTCATCGGGAGACTGATCGTTATACATAACCCACATACAGAGGTTCCTAGCAATGCCGTCCTGGAAAAGTACTTTGCCTTTCGTCCGTCATGGTGGATTGGGGGACTCACAATGGCATGGGGAGTTATGATGACTCTTCACGGCGTGGTCAACAACTATGGCGGACTCCTGGCAGTGCGACTCGTCATGGGCGCCCTCGAGGCTGGTACGTGTGCTCTCTTGGATGGACATCAATTCCATCCATCCTCCTCCACTGGCCCTGACCCCTACTTCATCCGTCTTTGGCACCCCCTCCGTCTCTGCAACTTGAGCAGTTGCTGCATACCCCCTCTCTGAACCCCATCCCGGATGGAGTGTTGACCAACGGACATGGATTGACCTACAGGCTTCTTCCCCGGCGCGGTCCTGCTTCTCAACAAGTGGTACACGAAGTTCGAACTGTCGGCGCGGCTGGCCATCTTCTACGCCGGGGCCGCCATCGCTGGGGCCTTCTCCGGGCTCCTCGCCTACGCGCTGGTCAAGATGGACGGCCTGGCCGGCGTCGCGGGGTGGCGGTGGATCTTTATCATCGAGGGCATCGTGACCGTCGCTGTCGGCGTCCTGGTGCCCTTCCTGCTAGCCGACACACCCGAGAAGCACTGCAGCTGGCTCACCGAGGACGAGCAGCGCTATCTCACCGCGCGCCTGGTGTCCCAAGACGGTGGTCAGCACGTCCACTCCAAGGGCCGCAACTTCAGCTGGGCCGTCTTCTGGTCCGTCATCGGCGACTGGCAGCTCTATGTCATGGCCGTGGTGGCCTGGTCCGAGTCCATCCCGGGTTACGGCTTGAAGTTCACCATGCCCCAGATCATCAAAAATATGGGCTACACCTCCAGCAATGCTCAATTGATGTATGACCCCGTCCGCGAGGACAAACCCTTCTCCCTTCCCCGAGAACCCCTGGTTTCGTTCTTATGTTCTACGCCCCGTCTGTTGCGGTGCCACAGGTTTTTATGTTTATGTTTATGTCTATTTCAAGGTGCATGTATGCATGAGTCAATATGCTAACCCTCTCCCTTCTATTGCTCAAACCAGGACGATTCCCCCTTATTTTTGTGGCGCCATCAGTGCTTATGTATTTGGTCGCTTGTCCGACAGATTCAAGCGGCGATCATATTTCCTGGTTATCCCGCTGGTGCGTCGGTTCCCTAGTGTCCCTTTTGGTCAACTCCTTGCAAGGAAGCTAGACCGGCATTCAACTCTTTCTCTTGGCTTGTTTCTGTGCCTCAATCATGACAACTGACTGACGACTGTGTTTTTCCCGTCTCCAGGTCTGCCAAATTGTCGCGTACAGCATCCTGGCTGCCCTATCCACTTCGATTAAGCACCATATCGGCGCTTGCTTCTTTGCCGTCATCCTCGCCGCCGTTGGCAGCTATCCCCTGACGCCCGGGAATGCCACGTGGATGTCCAACAACCTGGCCGGCCCGTCCAAGAGGGCCATTGGGCTGGCCTACCTCTTCACCTTGAACAACTGCGGTTCCGTCGGCGGGTCCTACATCTATCAGTCCTCCGAGGCGCCCTCGTACCCGACGGGGTTCGGCTGTTCGCTGGCCTTCTCCGTTGCCGGGATCGGCGCGGTGATCGTTCTGGACGTCGTCTATGCCCGGATCAACAAAGAAAAGGAGCGGCTGACTGAAGAGGAGGTCCGAGACATGTACACCGACGAAGACCTAGCAAAGATGGGAGACCGGTCGCCGCTGTTCAAATACACGCTGTGACACGATACCGTAGACTTTCGATGGGTGGTTGTTGTAAGTATGTGAGGAACAAAGGAGAAAGTAAGCACGGACCAGCAAGCTATAACACCTTAAGACGGCCGTGTGACTGTTGAAACAGCTTGCAACACCGGGCCAGACCGGACTGGCCGCGAAAGAGGCAAGTGAAGCTGGATCTAAGCACAGCTTATGGAACCGGCAGAACAAGACAGTAAATAGCAAAGCTAGCGTAATTGATATCTCCCTTGAACCAGAACATGCGAGTGTCCCGCTCAGTCGCATGTCTTCTGTATCTGTCATCACGTGGGACGAGTCGGAAAGGTGTTGTCAAACCATGTGTTACGTTTGTCTCAGGGCGTGTGGTACGACTACTTCAAGTCTAGTTACGACCAGCGATGGCCAGGAATCGACTCCTTAAGTCAGATTCGACTCCCAAAGGATTTGCAATTCCTGCTTGAAGTTAGAGGAGTCGATTCCTAGTCAACTCCTATCCTGACATTCTTGAGACGTGTCTAACTATATTAGAAAGGTGGCTAAAGGATTAGAAAAGATAAGCGAAATAATGCTGGCGATACTCTCTCGTCCAATCTTCTCTGGTAGTAGAGGAGCTAAATTCAGGTCTCAGTCTATACTATATTAGATTTGAGGAGCGGAATAACCCTACTCCACACAATCAGGGGGCTGATTACTTAAGGAGTCGACACAAGAAGTCGATCCCCCCTAGTGGTGGTAGTAGGGTGGTCGGAGTCGGATTCGGAAGAGTCCATTCCTGGCATCGATGGTTACAACAGACAGAAAGCCGTGCTAGCGCTGCAAAGATACCTTCTTCAGCCGACATTGAGCTATACTATCTTATTGGCCTGACGCCGAAGTCATCAGGCTGCAATGCTATGTGACGATCAAGCCGATTCGCAGGTTTGCGTCTACAACGTGGTCAGTCGCTGCCTTACTTTGGGTCGAGGAGACGTCCTCACCAATGGTCTGCAACGCGAACACAAAAATAGGCCCGACTTCCCACGTGTAAGCATGCGAACGGTCTTCAAGATCGCATCGTGCCACGTCTCTGAGAAGCCATGCCAGCACAAGAACGAATTTACTCAAATCATGTCAAACGCACCTCGCAAACTTTTCACCAGAATGGTCGGTTCCACCTTTCGCCGCCCGAAGGAAGATCAAAGTCCAAAAGGCAGAATTGTAGCGAGACCGATTTATGTCCTAACCCGCTAGTACAGCTGTACCGAAGGCAACCATGACTTTGATCGTGGTAGAATTAGGGCCATAGAAATCGAATGGTGAGGAGTTTGTACTACAGTGTGAACTCGCCAGCCGTCTGTCTAATTTGGGAGCCTCCTCCTGCTGGGTATGCGTCGACATTGTCTCTATTTTGACAATGCTAATATCACCTCGTTGTTTGGCCTGCAATTTTTTTTGATCAGCCCGCTCCCCTGGGATATGTCTAGACGACCCTGAACAGCCTCAGATGACCATACAACCAAGCTTGGTGACTGTTCAAGCGCACAGCTCCTTGTTGAATATCTGCTGGGACCCAGAATTCTCGACGCGCCGGGATCTGTGCTATAAATCAGAAAACGAATCTTACCTCAAGTCCATTGCCGACTGGGAATCAGAAAGCCCAGTCGGAAGCCCTGGCTGGCTCTCAGATTTAGAGAATGCAATCAGAGGGTTCATGCGAGGACCTGACCAATCTGACTCCTGTACTCCAGAGGCCGATATTGTGCTTGCATTTTGCCACAAATCGACGTTCAAACAGCTCCTCGGAGAAACAGAGGCCATCTACAGTTCGTTACCCCAGAATGCTTGGTTAGATGAAAGACACTTCAGAGAAGGAAAAGTTCAGGCGAGGACGCAGAGAGGCGCTCTGACAGCGCGCGAGTTGTACAATGCATTGAACGCACCGGTAAGCCGACTGGGATCTGGTCTACAGCGGCCTCACTTAAAGTACGCCCAAGCTAAAGTTTAGCTAGCGCTTTTTCCTATGCCGAGAGTGCTTAATCGAATCCTGCGAGGCCGACAGCCAAAGCGGAACAATGGCTAGCACTCAGAATTCTGCATATGCGACCGTTGACGCCCTCTTGGATGAAGGCGATCCGAAGCAACCAGATGCAGAGCGGAGACTAATGTGCGTGAAATATTCCCCACTGCTGCCGTGGCTTCACTCACAGACACTGACATTCGAGCAAGATTTGTAACTGACCCTGACGGTTGGGTCATCCATGCACTTATCGGAACAGCATCAAGGCTCCAAGCATATGCCCTTCGAGATATCCTCTATAGACATCTTGCTGCTCAGACGTTTATTGGGGTGACTTTTGTGGTAAGTATGCCAAATCTGACGCTATCACTTGCAAGCAAGTAATGAAGTTGGGCACTCACACTCTTGTCGTGTAGTTGGCAGGATATCGCATGTTTGAGCTTGCATTTCACCTACCATATTATGCCTGGAGGGACGCAGAAGCTCAAATCGAAGATCACCGACAAGATTCTAATGGCCGACCAATGAGACAGTCCCACGACGTCTCTTTTCTTAACTGGCAAAATGACGGACAACTTTCATTCATACATCAAGCGCAAACTTCTTGCGTGGTTGCTGGAACGGATATCTGGAGATGGGTGGGGTACTGCTTTGTCGAGTCTTACTTCGACTGTGGTAACGAGGCTAGGGAAACCGTCATGACATATATCGAAGAGGGTGAGAGTGGGGGGCTTTTCATGGATCCTTGCACATATGGATGCTTTCCACTCGAGGACAACATCAAGGATCCGCGGGAGTGGTTTCTGCTCGTATTCCAGTGTCGTCTGCACCAAATCCGAACTGAATGGCGACAAGTGGTCAGGAATGTAGCCCAAAGCGTTCAGAACTATGAGGTACCGGTACGTTACAACTTGGAGGGCGGCACGAGGTCTGGTGCTCAGAGATCGCTTTCACAGCCTGCATAGCCAGACTAGTGATAGATTTCTTGACCACTAAGCTAACGTTATTTATAGTAGCCCCGTATCTTCGCTGGCCCAGCCGATTAACATGCTCGATAGGAACGCTCTTACGCTCTCACGCGGCAAAGAACCAGTCGCTATTTCAGAGGAGACAAAGAGCAGAGAAAAGAAATGCAAAAGCTAGTCCAGTGGGCCGTTGACGCTAGGAGACTTTTGACGCTTTTGTCACCATGTCTAACACGGACCGTCGATGCCTGCGACAAGTTTTGCTTGGAGTCTGCTACTTATTTCCTCGACGTCCCTGGAGCATCTACGATTAACATGTCGTTTTGTGCCCTTCGGTCAATTTTTGACGACCTGAAATCCATGAAGAAAACACTTGAGGATACAGCGCACTCTTGCAATTGCTTTAGCCAGAACGTGAGTTTCCTCCGCTTTCACATAGTTATTTGAATTCCAAAGCTTGCAACTAACATTTCACCCATGCAGCTTGAACTTAGATTGGGCAATGACCAGAGAGAGCTCGCAAAGGAGAACAACTGGATGGGATATGTCGTGATGGTGAGTCTATAACACTGGTAGACTTGAATGGAGCACAGGCTTAGTATCCACTTCAACACTGCAGTTCTTCACTCCACTGGTTCTTACACAAGGGATGTTCTCCATGGATAATCAGATCAGACAGGAAATCTTTCCCTTCGCGACTCCCAACTTTTCATCTTTTATGGGTATATGTATCGTTCTTTTGACCTCGGTACTGGGGCTTGCATACGCTCAGCAGGTTTTGTATTCGTTAATTTTGAGGGCATGGTTGGGCGTTGGTGCCTCGTTTCATCCGGATGAAACAAAAAGATGGCTTTTGGAAATGATTTCGGTTCCAGGAATGCCTGCTTTGACACGGCTGAGATGGAGGAAAACGGAAGATGTCGAGCAATCGGCAAGCGGAGGTCCTGTACCCTAGGTACTGATTGCAATTAGCAGAATTTATCCATGGTAGTGTTCGTACAAGTGTTCCTGATTGAAACAAAGGAACTCTTTTGGACTATGGTCATCAGTATTGCCTCCTTTGGCAACGTGCCTGTTGGTACACCAGGGCATCCTTACCAGTCTCTATACAAATTCAGCCTTTTACAGCCCCGTAGGTATCAGTGCTTGTCGATCTAATGGTCACCGCCGATCCACTTATCAGGACATACACCACACAGGAGGCACTGACGATTTACGTAGCTGAGTACTATGTTCTATATCGTATGGTCCTATTGATAACGATTCAACGCTTAGAAAGCAGAAGAGTTTCGGCGTAGTTTCGTGTAAGGGAAATTGTTACTTTATTAGTATCACATAGATAAGCGTGACATAGTACTAGTTGACAACATTACCCAAACGTCCTCACACCTATTCCCTCCTTTCCTATGTTTCTTGCCCGAATCGGGGGGAAATATAATGTATCTTAGTGCAAAGGTGACGACAGGTTCGTGAAACCCCTGATATTGCCGCCCAACAAAAGTAACGACCACAGCTCCGTGATTCCCAGCCTGCTCAATCTGGCTCGCTCTGAGCTCTATAAACACTCAGATAGATGTATGTCGGCCCTGAAAACATTGCTAGTGTTCAACACATTCGACCTGACAACGAATCCCGGTATCGCAAAGAATATACCCCCCAAAAAGAAAGCCCCAAAAATATCAAAACCAATCATCCCCATTTCCTTTCTACTCCCTTCATATTATTGAGTTTGGCGGCGGCGAAAGAGCCAGCACGGATAAATTAAGGAGGGACCAGACAGAACCTGCTGTGTTGTGTAGCGCCAAGGTATGGATCTTTAGGAGCGGACAAGAGCCGTGGTTGAAAGCATAAAACGAGTGTTTGCGGCCCAAATCGCGTCCTGACGGGAGTCAAGTACGGGAATTGGATGTCTTTATACCAAAGCGGCATATTGGTCGCGGTCTCCAGCTCTGGCGGCTGGGTTTGGGCGATCTTAGGGAATGACTGTTGCAGTGGAAATCGGGGTGTTGGATAGCACGCATTGGCTTCGGGCCGAGCTGGCTTCCTTTGGAATTCGCGATAAGCTCTCCTTGAGCCAGGAATCGAAACCTTGGTCGCTGAAGAGCACGGTCGTAATCGAACGAGGCTGTCATCGGGCAACGGCATCTGTTTGGATGAGCAGAAGTTGGAACAATTGAATTCAATCCCCAGACTCCCGAAACCTGTGCAATCATTACTTGGAGACCTTCTCAGTCTTGCACGCCGGGCAGCGTGCATGCCCACAGCTAGGACACGCGTTAACCTGAACCCGTATTGCAGTCGCTCCACAGGAGCTCTAAGGCGTGCGTTAGCTCAGGACGGTTCTGACTATATGAGCGTAACCCAAGGTACCTTACACAGGTCCAGACAAATAGCACCGGCTTCTTCTTAGATTTCGTAGGAGGCTAGATAATGAGCAATAAGTTAGGGACAAGTTATCTCCAACAGAACAAGGGCGTGCAGGGAAAGAGCGCATGAAGAGCTCACTAAGCGCGCCAGAGACGGACCATTGCAGAGCATTCTCCCCACGCAGCTTCGAGAGGTTCTAAGGCAGAAAGTCGCTGACAAGGAAGGAATAAAACGATTCAAAAGAATGTGAGAGAGCGCTAAGAGAAGACACTCATAATTAATGAACGGCTCCAGGAGTGAGGAGGTGCGTGCGCGCACTAGGTGTCCTCAAGATATGCAGCTATCATGCAGCTGTCCCCCTGTGGGGCCTGAGTAATCTCGGAACCCACCAATTTCCCTCCTACAATGCTCTCCTTCGTACTTGTTTTCTCTAGAATAACGAGCCTGAAAAAGCTAATTTAGATGTCTACAGAGTCAGCCTGGGCTGCAGAGAACCCAGTCCCATCATCGCCACCAACAAAACGCGTAAAATCGCGCAGAATAGGCCTGGACCAGGCACATACGGAGAGGCGCGTTCTGCAATCTCGGACCTCGTCCATCACCCACGGCGTAGGCCGATATATGGGTCGAGTTCGATGGACCAAATGCACGGATTTCTCGCCATCAACACAAACGAGATCTCAGCTCAGGCGCCTCTATCTGCTAAATTGGAACCTATGCGTCGATTATCCGTACCAAATGCCAGGAATCTGCCACGCCAGCGACCTGGTTATCGATCGACGAAGGCATGATCTCGTTCAAAGGACGTTCCGCGCATTCGATCAACAATAGCTATGTATGGTTGGCACCTTCCTAATTTCCCCCGTACGAAGGTCGGTTCGTGACACGAGGATGTCAAAGATTTCAAAAGGGATCCGTATCTGTGAGACTCTTACGATAAATCTCTAATAGAAGAGTCCATCCCAGCTGTACAGGCAGTAGATGACAATTTGTAAGTTGGTGGAACTCCAATGGGATAACTTTCTGCTTTCTTACAGTTACATTATCCGCTCCTCAATCCATTGGGGCCCGATAAACAAGTGGGACTTGGTTGACACGTTATAGGTTGGAGCGCAGGAATATCGTGCCATGCGAGAGGCTGGAAAGAGTTTTCCCAGCCTACACTCTGCTCTCTGATGCCAGTCAAATCGACATTCCATCCAGGGAAACCGGGAAATCTATTTCCTGTAGGCTCATCAAACCTAAAACACCGACCGCCGTCCTGGCATCTTTCTACATATCCATGGGGGGCGGTTGGGGTTTAGGGACTGCCAAAGGGTGAGGTTGACTTGAAATTTCCCCATGGCTTGAAGAGAAGCTAATTTTGAGAAGGCAGGGCTTTCTTCTGCGTCATATTTCAGGACAGCCTGATAAACCTTGATACTCCTTTCTTGCCCCTTTCAGTTCCGCGACAACCAGCTCATGTCTCGTGATATCCAGCCCAGGTATCAGAATTTGAGGCCTTGTTGTTTGGTCTTCTCCTTCGTCGAGTCCCCATACTCAATGACCTGCAGTGGTGGCGCGGTAGCCATTGGAGTTACGACGGGCCTGGATCGGGCCTTTGTAATCCATCCCCTTGTCGAAGGGAATGCTGTTGCCTGAGCGAGGCCGGCGCCGGTGATGCCAAGGTAGGACGTGAGATCAATCGACGAAAGCGTCTCCTTTGACGGAGCGGTCAGCACCGGAAGCCACCCAACGCTGCAGGAAACATAACTCACCGAGCCGGACCAGAAATACGAGCAGATCGAGTAGCCCATGATGTTCGACTCCGCCGCGGTGGTTCGCTTGCAGGATATATTCCCGTTGTACTGGCACTCGGAGAAAAGCGAGTACACGGGCGGCTGACAGACGCACGAGGCATAGGACAGACTGGATGAAGGCAGGTACCTGTCCGAGCAAAGCCTCGTTTCATAGTCGCCCCTCAGACAGCTCTGATACAGCCTGCTGCATGCGCCGAAGTCGTACGTCTGCGTGATGGTAGGGAGCGGAGGAGTCGTCATTGTCGAGTTGACCCGGTCATCGCACTGCGAGTGCCATTCATCTATATTGGCTTGGAAGCTGCTGTCGAACCTGTGGCTGGCCAGGCACCTTTGTACATCGCTTTCACAGCTGCTAAGTGTCAGCCTGACATTTGCTAACCGTCGAGACCTCTGTTGGTCGACCACATGGGGGAAGAGACTGCCGAGATGGATAGTCACTCCATCGAGAGACAGACTCACTCATAAAGCGAAGACAGATACTCCTGCGTGCAAAGGCACTCGAGCTTTGCTTCTTCCGAGTCCTTGCCTCCGCACTCATCCCGAAGTCTTGTCCACTTGATGCAGCCCGAAAGCTCTTTGAGGCCGGAGCCTGGAAGACAGAACTCAGCAGGCGGAACGAAGCCTGAATTGCAGAGACGAACAAACAGGGTGAGAAAGGTAAGTAGAAGCATCCTGACCGTTCCTAGACTTATGAGGCCTTGGGGTCTGTTATGATAGAGAGGGGGACTCGATGACTCTGGTGCAAGGCCACGATGGCACCATTGAGGTACTTAAGGCTGGGAAATGTGTGACAGAAGCCAGGTCGAGCTGACGACACCCTGCACTGCCCGGTGGCTTTGTTTTGGTAGTTTTCACCTCATCGGCGGGGAGCCAAGACGGACTGTCTCTCGATATTCAGCCTTGGGCTGGTGACAGGCTATCTGATTGGCTTGGGGCTTGTGATGTCAGGATGAATGCCAGCCACCGCAACGTCTACGTGGCGGCGGCGCGCCTCGGGACGACGTGTTTCTCGATAGGATCCCGATGCTGACGCCAATGTCAGCTTGACGGGCTGACTTGGGCACAAGCGATTCAAGGCACAAGGCGGCTTCGTCATGGCGTCGACCGTATACAGCGTTCGAAATCTTTTTAAACCTACGCTCAGCCATGCCCAGCCTGTGTACCGAGTACTGCCCAAGCCGGAGACCGACGGGCATCTAGGGAAAATCATCATCGCATCGTCCCGTGCCGATGTCCACACAGGTCGACAGAGCAGCGTATGGGACAGGGGCAACCACGACCATGGACCCTCCTCCGAACAACACCGCAGGAGCGAAGTCATGGAAGTCATGGAAGATCTGTCCCCCATGGCTGTCGCTGCTCCTCTCGGTCAACATTGCATTCGTCATAACCATCCTGACCCTCGATTCCATCTCGAAGCGCAACCACGGCTTCGTGGGCCTAGGAGATGCCCCGGGGTTCCTTGCGCGTGATCCCAGCCTGGAGCAGGCGATATGGGCGCAGGGCATCTTTTACACAGCGTTTCCCGCCTTCATCATGACCCTGTTCCAGATCTCGTGGCATGGATCCGTCGCCGAGGTCGCAAAAAGACAGCCGTACGTCGAGCTGGTGAAGGGAGGATCGGCCCAGATAACCATTCTCTTGGAATACACGGATCCCTTCGCGCTGACCTGGTATTCGGCGGTCAAGAACAAACACTACCTGCTTGCCGCGAGCATGCTCTCCTCGGCCACTCTGGCGTTCCTGGTTGTCCCATTGACCTCGTTCCTTTTCACGACGGCGCAGCCCCTGCTGCACAGCCCTCTCCGCTTATCGGCGGAGACAGCTTTCAACACGAGCATCCTCGGTCAATACCCTTACTATCCCAGCCTGAGGTTCATGGACACGGCAGCAGCCATCCACATTCAAGGAGCCAGCCCGCCTCCGTGGACTGATGGGACGCACGCGTTCCCGACCGTGGCTGCCTTGGACCCCTTCAGAGGAGGCAATGTGACATTCGACAGTCTGGCGTATTCAGCCCATGCCGAATGCGTGCACCTCGAAGAAAAGTCGTACCGCAGACTGATCCAGGGGCCCGAGGACACGGGTCTGCCTGCCATGACCATCACCGTCTCCGCCAACGACCGCGGCTGTCCGATCTCGACCAGTTCCAATTTCCGCTTGAGCCAGGAGGCTCCCAAGATATCCATCAATAGCTGGACGACGACCACTTGTCCGCCACATGCGGGTTGGAGCCGTTTCAGTTTCCTGGTCGCTCGGGTCACAGAGGGCCAGGAGATTGCGAACCTTAGCCTCATCTCCTGTGCCCCGACTTATCGGACGAGCAAGGGAAATGTGACGGCGACTTGGGCCGTGCAGTCCGCTGCTCCAGCCGTGACGTCTTTCCAGGTGGCCAACGTCTCCGAGTCGAGGTCCGACGCCATTTGGAGATTCTTCGAAATGGGCTTGCAGTCTGTCGGCTGCTACGACCCCAGTGCTGACGTCGACACAAACGAGTTTGGGAGACAGGTATACCGTCTTGCGAGCCACAAGTCGTCCGCAGCGGCATTGCTCCCGCATATACTCATCGACTCTGCGCAGACCATGTTCACGACCATGTATGCCACCTTTGCCAATCTATATCTGCTCCAACGCACCGACGCGCCGACAACGATGGTGGGGACAACCTTTGTGCGGCCAACCCGCCTGATCGTCGTATCCCCGATTGCATATATCATTGTCGGCATGTTGCTTGTCACTGCCGGCTTGACTGTGGCCCTCTTCCACCTTGCGAGCCAGGATTCGATATTGGATGGTGAAGAGCCCATCGGACTCTACGGCGCCGCTAAGATCCTCTACGAAAGCATCGACATCACCGAGACCGTTCTCGAAAGCAAGAACAGGGAGGAGGCACCTACCAATATAGAACAAGTTGCGCCGGTTGTCCCAGACAATCCTCCAAAGAAGCTCGGAGCCTATGACTGGAAATACGAGAGAAAGCTGGTGCGGTACTTGAGTCCGGGCGCTCAAAAGCAGAATTCTCCCGGCGCTTTCTCAGTCATACGTTTCAAGGTTCTTTGGAGCATCGTCCGCAACATGGGTCCGCGCTTTCAAAAGCACAGTCCTCGCCGCCCTCCTGTCCCGGAAAACCGGCCCCAGGGAGATGCAGATGGCAATAGCCTGAATATCCTAGATCCGAGGGAGCAACACGAAGGTGACAATACTCAAGATGGACAGGAAGATCAAAATGGACAAGAAGATCAAAGCGGCCAGGGAGATCAAAATGGCCAGGAAGGAGCCTGAGAAGGGACAGTGACGGACTATACGGACCCAATATAGGAATTGGGAAGACGCTGGGCCCAGTCCTGCCTCACCTGGTAGTGAATAAAAGACACCCACCCCCATTTCTCACTGCCTGACGATTCACTGATCAGTCAGTCGCTTCTCAGTCAAATAAAGGCCATCTCTTGTTCAAGTCACAGCGTCACCCACTGTGCTTTGTCCAGTTCCGGGGCAGAGACACCAGCCGCCATGTCCGCGCCTCTTGTTGCAACGACCACCGTCCGCATGAAAGAGCCAGATGCGGACTGTGTATACTTTTGCGAGAACTCATGCCCGTCGAGTTACTCCGGTTGTCTGAGTGACGACGAGGGCTCGTCGATGACCGAGCAAGAAATCGCTGAGTATATCAAGTATTCAAACATCAACTTGTACGAGAGGTTGAACGGCGTCCGCATCCCTAGCTCGTACGTACCCGGCGACGACGATGATGATCCTCAAGGACCGAGAGACACCGCTGGCGACGAGAACGAGAACGGTGGGGTTCCAGCAGGGATTCAGGAAGCGCCCGCGTCTCTGACCTGTGCAACAGATCTCAAGGCCCAGTACGAGACTGGATCATCCGATGCTGATTGCCCAAGTGAGACTGACCTCACCTACCCGTCCAGTCCAGGGTCGGGCCTTGCAGCGGAACCAATAGTTCTCGGTACGCAGGTTCTTCCCAGAGCCCGGTAGTGAGACTGACAAGTCAATAGCAGGGCGATACCACTTCACCTTCTATCAGCACTGCGAACCCGGCACAGTGTATTGCTGCTCCTCCCCTACCTGTCGAAACCCTCGCAACGAGATCCCAGTGGGTAACTACTTCGGCATCATACGCGACGAAGCTATGATTGAAGAGGATGACCAGCCTGCCGACTACAACCGCGTCGCGTATTATTGTCTCGACTGTCTCGACGAGGTTGTGGACCGCGAAGAGCAACTGGAAAAGGGTCAGAAGATGGTTCCTCAGCTTGTCGATGGCGCGCAGCCGGACAAAAGTCTGATCCTCAACAAAGCCCTGGAGATGTACCCAACCCTTGCGGAGAAGGACTTCTTTTTTGTGCGCGTCCCCTCTGAAGAAGGAGCGCCGGAAATCGAACTCGGAGCAGCCTCGAACTCGAAAAAGATGATTCGTCTGCGTCGCCAGAAGCAGCTTGAAATCCACCGCATTGTGCAAGACCTGAGTCAGCGACGGTTCACGGCCCTCTACCGACTGTCCGAGAGAAATACCAAGGTCGATCCATCTGGCCTCAGGATCTTGGGTCCGTTGGAGTCGCAACCATACAGAGAGCGATACAAGAAGCAGGGACTCGAGTGGATCAATCGGCTCGAGGGGTCCGAAGTCAGAAAAGCCTGGAGTTATGAAGGCACGCCAGCCATGAACCAGTCTTCCGTTCCAGATCTTAGGACTGGGGATTTGCCGGTGTGCTACTGCAGAGAGCCTGCTGGCCAGGAGCCCATGCTGCATTGTCAATCCGCATCGTGCATGCTTGGGCCTATCCATTTCCGGTGTTCCGGTCTCGATCAGTTGCCTCTAGAGACAGAGGAGTATTGGTGCGACTACTGCATCAGGAACACCACAGATGACACAGAGCAAGTCTCTGGGGATGCAATGGTGGGGAATTACACTTCCAAGGGGGAGAATGATATGGATGAAACGGATGTGGAAACCGAAGATGGAGCTTCTGGAAGCACCGCTAGCGGAGACGAAGAGGAGGACAATGAAATCGAGAGCGAAATTGCTCCACCTGCGCATGGGTTTGTTGCTGTCAACCATGTCTTCCATTAAGGCAAATGGCATGAGTGGCACTGTTAGGAGACACCGTTGGAACTGGTGGATGTCTCACGATGGTGGAGAGGAGGTCCGTTGTTGGATAACAGCGCTGCAATAACCGACCAAGGTTGGATGGATTACGGTGATGGAAGATTCAAGACCTGCAGGTCAGATGCTGGATTGTATTTGTATGCTCAGAGACAGAGGATGAGAGGCTGATTACTTGTCCGAGACTCAAACGAGATGAGGAAGTCGGTTATCGTCTTATGGATTTCGCTGTGTTGACTGGTCATCGTCCCCGGTGTGTCAATCAAGGCCAGCAGTGGAAGAGTCTCGATATCCAGAATGAGAGCACTGTGACCGTCATGCTAGATGTCAGAAGCTGCCTTCCATGAGATAATTTGGCCTCCAGGATTTGTCCAGTGCCATTGTCGAGAAGCCGTTGCTGGAAAGGGCCAGCAAGTCGATCGAGGCATATCTTTCAAGGTAGCCGCATCCGTCTGAGGGAGTTTGTGCATATCAGGCTCTCCGATTCGGATCATTGTTCAGGGTTGCGCCATCCACCTGATCTATTCGAAGCCATGCCACAGGTCACACAAGCGACAAAGATCTTGATCCGATATTGGACGATCCATTGAACGACTGGCTGCCTCTTGTATGTACCGTAGTGTCCACACTGATGTGATTCCGGCGTGTCATTAGGCCAGTCTGATGGCTGCGTGTCGACTCTCGCAGGTCCAAACACCCTTTGAGCATCGACGTTGGCCCTTGCGTATCGGGATTCGAACGCACCCAGCGTTATGAGAAGTCTTGCTGTTTCTAAGTTGTTCCGACGACTAACGATAACAGGGCGACACAAGCGCTATTCACTCATACGGGGGAAAGCTGGGGATTGTTTCGAACCATTGAAACAGACACGTCGCAGGGAAATCGGATCCATATATTTATAAAGAAAAATTGCTCGTGTGCTTTGATCTCGATCTGTTATGACCTCGCGGTCTCATCCTATGGTCTTTCAAGATTCATCAAATTGCAAATCAATCACAAGGCCGACCTACCGAGCAACATTACCAGCCTTTCCACTCCCATTCGAGCAAAGCATGCGAGATGTCCTGCTTCCGAGCTGGCCGCCAGAAACACCCAGATGTTGGGACTAACGAGCAAGTCAATAGAAATTCGGTCCCGACCGCAAGCAGAATTCCAGCGTAGTCAAACCTTCCACTGTCTTCAGCAGGAGTGAGTTAAAGAAGCGCATTTACCCGAACTCCTGGGACACCTGTCAACGAAAGACCTTAACCCACACACTTCATCTTCAACGTCCTCCACAAAGGTCGGTGTGGAGATGATTTGACTTTCTACCGGGTACGCTTGGCCACCTGACGAATTAGTCGTATTCATTGGATGCGTATTGGAGGCAGAAGTGGGCAACCAAGGGGAAGTTATTTGGCTAGAATCTGGTGACTCTCCAGCCTTTGTACAGCCGTCTAGGGCCGGACGCGGGGTGTGGTTGCAGGCTGAGCGGTCTGCCGTCGAGCGGATCATAGCGCCTTCGTCCTAGAGAACAAACTGCTGTACACGGCGTCAACGACGGGCTGTGCGCTGATCTGCCTACCGCCAAAGTAACGTCCGTTTAATCCTTTGATGGCATTCTCTCCCCCTGAGACGCGCTCAAATTTTAGATAGATGTCGCCTTGGGTGTTGGGGTCGAGGGCAATGTGCACAACGTGGCCGTACTTCTCTTCGCATTCCGCGCGCACGTCATCTTCCAGTTCTTTGATCCAGGCTTCACCTTCTTCCCTGTTCACATAATGTATTAATATGAGGTGCAACTCGAGGACCGGCGCCCAAAGGAAATGAACTTACTCAGTAGGATCAAACATATTGCGAAGCAAAACACATCTGCTTGCCTGGCTGACATTGACGGGAAGCGGCTTGCTTTCCTTTTTGGCGGGCACCGCAGCGCGCTTCGTATCGGTCTCTGCAGATGTGTCATCTGTCCTAGCGAGCTTGCGCATCAATGCATCTCGGCTATAGTTGTTGAAATTCACACCAGCGACGTCTGTATCATCCAATGCACTTGCGCCACCCGTCCCCTTTTCGTTGTCACGGCCACCTGCACGATCAAATGTGCCTCCCGATCCTCCGGCGTGAGCGCCGCGGCCACCGGAGCCCGAGAAGGCCGAGCCCTGAAAGCCAGGCGAATTTTGGCCTTGAAAGCGTTGTAGGAGGTTGGCAGTCGATTCGGGCGTGAATTTGTCGTTGCCGAGTCCAACTCGGATTGGGCGGCCTGCAAGGTCAAAACCGTTCATCTTTTCGAGGGCCTCACGTGCTTGATTCGGGTCACGGAACCTAGCCAACATTAGTACACGGCGCAGTAAGACGCGGGGATGGGACTTACTGGACAAAGCCATAACCACGGCTGCGACCACCCTCGTCCTTTTGGAGTTGCACAAACTCGAGTTCACCAAATGGCTCAAATACGTTCTGTAGATCTTGTTCAGTAATACTGAAGTGGATGTTGCCCACATAGAGACGATGGAAAGGGATGCTATTGTGATTGCTGGTGGTAGCCTCTGGGTTGCGGGCTTGTCGATTCTTTTCTGCTTCAGTGAGTTGTGCAATTATGGGAATGCCGAGGAGTTTCTGTCCGGTCATTTGGATGGCTAGTGGGACGGACTCTTCGTTCTTGAACTCGACATAGCCGACACTGTAGACGTGTTAGTGCAAGACTGTGCCATACGGAAAGGGGGTTCCATTACCCTTTAGAACGGCCACTGACTCGATCCTTGACAATCTGGGCCTCTGTAACAGGACCCACTTTCTCAAAGAACTGGATCAATTCCTTGGTACGCAGACGAGCGGCGAGTTGCTGGACAAATACGGTTCTCCTGTCACGCTCATCCTCAGTAAGTTGTGGCTCGGGAGTCTTGCTCTTGACACGCTTTCTGGGACTTGCCGAGCGACGTCGTTCCCTGTCGCGATCGCGTCGGTAGTCCTCATCTTCACGCCTGGATCGTCCACCCGGTCGATAATAGCGATCGTACTCTGGAGATCGAGAGCGTCTACGATGATGGTCGTCGTCACGTTTGGACCGTCTTCTATCGTCATCACGGTCACGGCTGCGGCTTCTCCTCCTGCTGCTTCTGTGACTGCCGTTAGCACTGCCATGCTCGCTCCTGGGACTCTTCATTTCATCATCACGGTCTCGACGGTGGTCTCGGTCTCGGCTTCGATCTCGTCTCTTGCGGTCCTTGTCGCGATCGCGGGAGCCATCACGGTGTTTGTCTCTGTCGCGGCGATCGGAGCGGTCGCTACGATGACGGTCCTCGCTATCGCGGGGTGAATCTTTGCCTTTGACATCGTTGGTGGCGGTCGAATCGAGCAACGCCTCGACATCGAGCCCTGACATTTTGAGGAGGAGTTGGCGGAATGCTTGAAAAAATGATCTGATTGACGCAGGATGGAGTAGTAGTTCACTTGGATGTGGTCAGAGTCGGAATCCGAAGCAGGGCGTGCGCAGGCAAACCCTTGCAATGTGCAGTGTTCTGAAGCGCTCAACTAGGGAGCTGAATTCAGTATCAGTGGATCTTGTACTCAAGAGGCGAGTGCCCAAGCGCTCGCTAGAAAGAACTGAGATCGACAACAGGCGGCAGGAGTGGTTATCTGCAGGATGCTGCGTGGAACAAGAAGTTTCTCAAGATGCGCCAAATTCAAGGCAGCACAGAACGAATCTGGCCTTGGCAGGTAAAGTCTCATCACAGGCCACGTGGGACAGTTGTTGGTTCTGAGTCACGTGCGACACATGCTGACCCTGCCGCTTTTATTACAACAAAGCCTCACGCCCAACTCACCCGCAACGTCGTGCAGTATACAATCCTCAAACCATCAGGCTAATACAAGCCTACCGTATCCGAATGGTGTCGCTAAGCTCTTTGAAAGAGTCACGAAGCTCGCCCTGCATTATCCCCGTTACATAGCATTCGCCAACCAGATTGTAACAACCTTCTCCTTCGCTTCTCCTGATTAAAAAAGGCACCACACCACCTCGCAGGATGCAAACTTGATCACCGACACGGCCTTCATGCGGTATTGTGGCACAGCGTCCCTCTTTAGTCAGTGCAAAGCGCCATCCAAGGACTTTGTCACCCAGTAGAGAGACATAGGCTGAGCTCTGCTCGACTGACTCGGGCTTAGGTTTCTTGTGCAACTGTCGGAAAGCCTTGTAGGAGTCACGAAGCTCACAGTCTCTCGCCACGCTGGTGTTGTGGCTGGGGAATTCCGCCCCTGCGACCGGCGTCTTCCAGCTCCATTCGCCAAACTCGCCTTTGGAGACTCTTTTTCGGAGCGAATCGACCATCTTGTCGATCTCCCCGAAATACGCTTTGCGAGTGTGAGGCTCATTTGCCGAGGAAGTGGTCTCCGATATCTCGTCCACGACGCAGCCCAGAACCGAAATCTCGTCAGACCGCCGATGGTGTGTTATCGTCCCGTTGAGGCCTGCGCAAGCGTCGAATTCGAGGCCTCGATCTAGGGAATCGGCAAGACTCCCAGGCCGGGAGACAGTCCAATCGGGCAGCCACGATGGAAATCGAGTAGACTGAGCAGTGAGCCCTGCCCGATGGAGCAGTTTAATGCCCTGGCCTTGAGCCAGGATACCTTCGGCGACTTTGAGGGCTACCGCTTCAAATTGGGCTTTGTAGTCAGGTTGGAACTCATCACGGTCCCCGTCCTCGGCCATACCCACCAGGGCAAAAAATCGATCTCGCGTGAGGGTGGAAGCTACGTGGCGGTAGTTTTCGAGAAGAAGACACAACGGCCACCGCTTGCCCCTCGCTTCCCATTCTCGATGCTTGCCCAGGGTGAGGAAGGGTGTCCATGGCCGAAGATCGAGACTCAGAGCTTCGTGCTCTTGTTCCACAATCTCAATGGCGGCAAATAGATCATGCCATTCGATCATCCATTTCCCACATATCACCTTGACCGTGGGCGCGATCACCATTTCCTGCACGATCCACACTCGTCGAAACCAAGACCTGCTGAACAACGCCCTGACTTCAGCCCATATCGCTGCATCTAGCGGTGGCGTTCGACGGGTTTTCCATGAGACGTCGACCGGTGGAATGCCCTCTGGCCAGCCCGCCTTTGGATTGCCCTTGACAACATCCTTTGCACGCACTTGCAGCAACATCTCGATGGCGCCGTCGCCGTCGCCATCGGCGCCGATGAAAGCCAACGTGGATGCTGCATTCTGGAAAATCTCTGGCAAGAGAAATATCTGTTCCGCCTTCTCCTCCGGGTCGGCTTGGTTGATGCAGAGAGCGTCTATCCAGAGAATTGCCACGGTCTTCGGCAGGCGCAACTTTTCCAAAGCGATCTTCAATGCTTCGGTGATCTGGATCGAGCCTTCTGGGGTCACTAGTACGTGCATCTGTTGTTCTTTGTCACCCCAGACATACGACAAAGTCCGGTATATACCTGCATCATGGAATGGCACACTGTAGATGCACCCCTTGAGCGGAGCACCATGCTTCCCTGGAAAGAGCATGAATAGTCTTATGTGATCCTCAGGCAGTTGATGGTATTTATACCCGATTGTTGTGTGCCCTAGAAATAATGTGAGTGCAGAGATAGCTGGCACTTCGCCATGAGCTCCGCGCTGGAATCCATGATTGAGTGTTGCCATGGCTGTCGCATTGGTGACGACGCCATTATCCGGTGGCACTGCTTCCGATGTTTGGTTTGTTGGTGTTTGGGTTGAGGTCGTGGTGTTTGAAGACCGTTTCCCCCAAGGCTGTGGTGGGGGCATTTGCTGGCCATTTGTCATGGCCGGCAGAGGCATTCTAGCAGGCTTGTTAGCTGTCCCACGTTGAGCCTCAGTCGGTCTCCCATTTGGCTGAGAAGATGGTTCGACGGGCGCCTGCTGGTTCACATCAGGCCTTCTCCATTCAACGTTGGCCCAGCCAGGCGACACACCATTTTGAGCAGTGAACTGATGGTTCTTCCGGGCCCTTCGTTCAAATGCTTGCGTTCGATCATCACGTCTTTCTGGATCCGCATTCTTTTGATGGCCTGCGGGTTGGGACCTAGCGGCAGTATGCATTGGCCGAACCGCCCGGGCGGGAATAGAGGCTTCCAGCACATGATCGCCTTTGAATTCAAACTGCCGTGATTTGACAAGCTGCCAGGGGTCAACAATGAGGTGAAACTTCGGGTCAGTGAAGACATTGCTGATCTGAATGAGGACGAGAACATCGCTGATCTTCTGACCCGGGCCAGACCGGTCCGGCAAATGGCACTGTTTCGCCTAGAAAGTACATCAGCTTCTAAGACCAGCGTGATAATGCGGACTGAGAAAATCAACTCCCGATGTCCATACCTTCTCGAGCTTGTCTGAGCTCCATTGAAAAAGGCCGTTTGCATCCCCGGCAGAGACCACGATCTCGAGGTGGTAGTTGGGATACATATGCTTCCACCGTGCCGCATCCGGGTGGCCATTCGCCGCTAGAAAACTCGTCACAGCCCCGGAACCATTTCGATCTCTGAACGTGAACGAAGAATGTCCCGCATATCTTCCGAGGCATTTGAGCCCCGACCGTGCTTTGAGCGGGCTGGTCCAGCCTTGGGTAGGGTTGTACGCCTGCCCAAGTGACACCTGTAAAAGCCTCGATACCTACGATTGACCCTCGATCAGCGGCGCAATGGCAGGTCTGGCAGTGGAACTTCTCCTTACCATGCATTCGCCCAGATACTGAAGATCGCGATGCGGAGGCTGCTCATCGCTGGAGACCATGCTGTGCTTCAGAACAGAGTCCTCCTCATTGATCCGTGTGAATGTGATTCGTGGTATCCGTTTGTCTGTTCTGCTCGCCCCGCTCGGCGTCTTACCTCGAGTATTCCTGGCACCACGCTTGCTTTTAGTGCCAAACCGTGTAAATGATTCATTGTCGTCGATGTCCTCCCTTGGGAAGTCGAAAGGCGACGGCATTCTGAAGACATCACCAGACAGGCTCATATATTTATCTTCTTCTTGGTCGCCGGTGTCGTCCTCAGCCAGGGAGCCCATTGCAGCTTCATGCGAGAATCAGCTATATTGTCTTTCAAATGGAGAGTGGGTTGTGATTCAGCATACCATCAGAGTCAACTTCCACGAAAAACCCCTCCTGTTCAAAGGTATTTTGGAGCCGTCGGATGTCTATTTCGCTTATTACTGCCTGTAAAAGGCTCAGATGAAAGGACTCGTTCATGCCAAAATGGTCCGCGATGTATCGTGCGACTTCTAGAGGAAGCGTTTTGAAGCGCAAGGCCTCCCGGGTGAGATACAGCTGCATGCAGTTGTTCCGCGACCCGAGGGCGATTTCGCCCTTGGTCGGATTTCCAGAGTATACCTCATTGCGGTATTTGGCAGTGCATGTCTGTCTGATTTCACTGGCTTGATAGACAGAGAGACCTTTGATCTCTCGGATCATTTTCGAGCGGTCTTTGGTCGATTCTGGAAGCAACCTGCGCCAACTCTATTAGTATAGGTATTCTCATCCAGATATGACGATACAAAGAACTGACTCGCAGAGGAAGCTCGCCCGGGAACGCAAGAGCTTTGTATGGCTTTCGGATAACTTGAGCAGGCCTTGGGGGGTCCCCTTCCCCTTGGAGAGGCCAGAGAGCTTTCTGGAATCTAGCTTCAGGGCCGCTAGAAATCTTTCCAGCGAATGAATCTGCTTTGGGGAAAAGGCCAATAGCGAGACCTTGCCAGCGAAACTGTCTCTCAAGAATGGACGGTCGGCAATGAGCCACCTGGCCTCCACAGGTTGCAACTCGTCGTATGATTCTGTGCTGCCGGCGCCGTCCTTGCTGACGATGGGAAACACTGAGCGTTGTTGCAGCTTTTTCATCAAGTCCGCAATTCTCTTCTGAGTCAGATTTGCCAGTGCGCTGTTGATCTCGACAAAGATCTGGGCAATCTGCTCCAGACTGTGTGTTTGGTCAATGTTTGTCGCCTTCGTGATGAGTCTTTCGACCGCATCCGTTCCATCGACCGAAAGAAATTTGAAAAGCTGCTGGCTCCGTGGGTATTCAGTTCTCAAGTCGATATTGCGTCTCTCACACTCTGTGATGGTAAGCCAGCCGACGGCCTGATCGGACTTGCGACTTTTGGAGGATACGTAGACGAGGTCCTCGGTTTTGAAGGCATCGCTGAAATTGTTAGCGGATATCAGACACAACCAAACCACGTATCTTACCCGATATATTCCTCGTCCCCGTCATAACGATCTTGTATTTGTTCGTAAAGGTAGGAGAGTGTGTCAACATCTGGACGATTTTGACTGCTCATCGATTTTAGGCAGGAGAGATAGTACCGCGCATTCGTGCGCACAGCAATACCGAGACGGCTCAGGCGTTGCTTTTGCAAGTCGTTAACCGGCCTGTCAAGCTTAAGACTGGGTATTTGATCGCTCTGCAGCCGTTGATCAAGCTCTGGAAGGACAGAGTCTCGAAGCCTTGTCGGGCCAGTGGTAGTTTGCACAATAACTGCGGAAATTTCTTTCAGGAGGATTGTTGCAGAGGCGCTCATCTGAGCACTGTCCGGCTCCAGCCATGCTGAATATGTATGCCAATGCTCATTCAGAAGCCCCAGCACATCGGAGTGGTTGCATGTCTGGAAAATATACCTAAACTCGTCCGAAAGCCTGAAGGATTTGGAGCCCGGCTTGGACATACAGACAAGGCGTGGAACAGCTGAGAGATGAAGGCTATCGGCGAGAAAGGAGTGCCATGACTTTTCGTCGGGTCCAGAGGCTACGTAATTAGGATGCAATGTTGGGAACTTTTTCTTCAGCTGGTGAAATATCCGAGCGGCGTACGAGTTTCTGTCGTAGTGGCCTTGGAAGTACAGCTGAGTACCCTTACATCGTTTGTTGTCCAGCGTCGCGAACCATAGGTCAATATCTTCTGGCGGTCTATAGGCCGACCGGAAAAGAAGGTTGACCTGCGCTGCCAACTGGCTAGTCGACCACTTTTCAGGTTCGAAGGTTGGTGAGCAATGAGCTTCGCAAATACACTTGCACAGCTGAGTCCTTTCAACCGACTTGATGCCAAGGTTGCTTAGAAGTTTGTGCCTATTGACATTTGCTGCCACTTGAGGATGGACGATGGAAAACTTGTCCCCAACGGGGAAATCGTCGTGCTGAAGGTCGGCAATGAAGAAAACTGGGCCGGTCTTTGCTGAAACCCACGAGCCATCTGTAAGAGGAACCAAGGGCATGTTTCGTAAAATATTCATGTGCTTCTTGGCGATTGTGAATGGCACCAATGCATCTGCAAGGCTAGCATGCCAATCATGTGGGCGACTGTGGAATGATCCTGGGTCCGCCGTCATCATATCACTCAGATCGTTCAGAAACTGCTCGTCCGACAGAGTCGAGACGCCGATGATATGAAGAGCAGCTATCGCCCATTCTGAATATCGCGGAGACAAATATCGACCTGCGGTTCGCTGGTTCAAACTAAACGGAAGTCCATCTTTGCCAATGAATTTGCGCGGTACGCGAGCCAGTTCACACGGACAGTGCATGGACTGATCGAAGGATTCCACAACGGGTTTGGACTCGAGTGCATCGCGAATTCGTTGTTGCGCAGGTACGAAAAAGGTGCCGGTTCTCTCGTCCGGTAGATATCCAGGCCAAAGATACCTTTCGTCCCCTTTGTTGAAGACCTGCACGGCATGGAGGAACGCGTCGCTCAAGGCATCTCTAAGAGTCTGGTTCCACGTTGAGGAAGTGTCAATCTGGAGACGACTCGCTGTGAGTAGGAAGTCGCCCTGTAGGATGAACTAGCAGACTGATCAGCCTCTGACAGGGAGGACGAAAGAGTGGTAATACCTGTAGTCCGTAATCGCCGATCGGCAGGTATGCATATACGTTCCTCGACTTCTTGCCCGGTGTCGCTTCTTTCGAAGAATCCCAGACTGGAAACGCAAGTTGAAGTTCACTGGTGGAAAACCCTGGCCGCTTGCTTTCGCGAGGAAGAGCCTCGACTTTGTGCTTCATAACATAGTATGATAACTGCCCTGGGCCATGTCGGATCATGGTAGTAGGCTTTCCACCATCAACCGACACAGTTCGAACGAGCCTCGTCGCCCACGATTGCCCGTCTGATTGTTGGATACTCAACTCAATGACCTTAATGCGACGAAGGAACAGCAAGCGGTCCGGGTCAAATGCTTTCAAGTCCTGCAAAAGCTCGTCTCGATCATAATCCTTTGAGAGCTGGAGATAGAAGGATGTGTGTGTGGGAGGGGGATTGACAGGGAAATCGGCCCACATCGGAGCAATCATGCCCAGTTTCTCGTTCTTGTCGAATTTGAACCTGTAAGGACCTGATGCGACCCAAACCACGTCGGCAACCTTGAAGACGCTTTTGAAACCAATGCCTTTCTCGCCGATAAAGCCGCTTGCTTTGTTCTGGCCTGACTTAGTGCTGGCGCCAATTGCACAGATGGCCTTGACATTGGCGGCATTGAATCCAACCTCATTGCAGTCGACACGTAAACAACCGGGTGTATACGTGAATTTGACTTGCGGTTCCGAGGAATCGTAGACATTATCATCGGCATTCTGAAGAAGTTCCAATAGAAAGTGCACTGCATTGTCGTAGAGCTGACTCGAGATCCTAAGAGCAGACATCAGCAATGACACATCATACGAAAGCTTTTTGCTACTTACATTTCGATCAGGGTGTTTAATTGGGCTACATGAGTTGGGTTTGAACTGTCCAACCCACACTCGTCCCGAATGGACTCTATCAGATGTCTCGCATCTGTTTCTGAGTCCATGATGTTGGTAGTGAGCGCGTCGTTGTAACGGTTCTTTCTTGCTCATTGAGAGCATACGTTCATCGGCTCACTTGTAGATACAACAAACACAAGGAAGTTTCTGAGGGACGGCACAATCATTTTCAGTATAAGTTCTGGTTGGATCGAGAACGGCATTCAACAAGGTCTGACTGGCGGTGTAGATAACAGGGACAGCAAGGTCTTTCTTGCAGATGGCCTCGAACAGCAGCCAACAAGGCGCTGCCGCAATCGGACTGTCAAGTTCATTTCGAAATCCAGGGGGGGTACGAGTGGCGCTAAAATTCCTGCAGTACTATCATTGTGACAGCTTGATAGGGACTAAAAGGTCCTGAAATTCTGCCTGGACGACAGAGATCTAGGAACTTTTGTTGGAACTTTGAGCCAAAGGGCCGTCGACATTTGACGCGGGGCTAAAGCTAGCGAGGCTAAGCGAGACGTCCCGTTGCCAATAGTCGGACTTCAAGCACCAACACCGTCGACTTCAAGGTTTTCTGGAAACAAAATCCCAGTACTGAGTGTAGTAGTACTGAGCCCTTTGGCAGCCACTGTAAATTCTTCGAACCAGCGCCGCCAGGCGACTATCCTTTGCAGATGAGGCTGAGCACGGCGCCTTGCGAGCGAAGGATGCCAAAGGCTGCGGCCCACAAGGCTGTGGGTGGAGGATGGGCATAGGGCGGCATCATTCCTGTCCCGATTCGGAGCAAGCAGCCTCGCCCACCGCATAGGGCTGCCTTCGATACACTTTCCCGTGGAATACGCCCGTGGTGGACACGTGCCAGTAAGCTGGTTATATACTCTGTAGATATCCGTTCTAGTAGGCGCCTACTGCTTTACATTAGGCCTTCTCTATTCCATATTGGCCTAGCCAGGCGATACGCTATTTTCAGCTGTGAACTAATGGTTCTTCCGCGTCTATGTTTCACAAAACAAATGAGGATGGACACGTCACTCTCACATCTTTCCGGTGATAGTGGTGTGTCTTCATCCAACATCAGGTCAATGTTGGAGATGCCGATGAACAGCCGTCGTTCTTCCGCCGACTCGGCGGTTGAAAACTGAAAGCAGCCGCGCTCTCGGTAGAGTTGAGTGAAGGAAACGCGATGACGTCAAAAGCATCATCTTCGCGATGAAGTGCTTGATTCAAGCCAGACACATGTCAGGCAGGAACATAAGACTCCAAACTCTGACTGAAGGGCAGATCGATGTCTCTCAAATCCACCCTTTGAGTTACAAACCCGTTGTGAGTTTCAGACGGCGAGTCTAGACCTCAGCCCCGCGAAGACCCTGCAGCTAAGGATGATAAATCATGGGATTCAGCGTCACTGAAGAGAAGTCCACCGCAGAATTGAAACGACTACCTCCCCCGGCCCAACACTTTTCCACTGGCTTCAGAATGTGGCCTAGATTGTGCTCCTGCGGGGAACCTATCACACAGGCACAGTAGCGGCAGTCTCTCAGCCAGCCTTGAGCACGGTTGTGCCCCGTAGACATGTGAACGACTACATGTAAATGTTGGAAGTTCAGCTCCTGCACGAGGAGAACGTCAATGTTTCGTGTCAGACCATTTCACGCTGCATTGACTCACCAAACCCTACACCGATTTACGTAACCCCGCAGGTTCAGCTACATGCGCCTCAAAAGTATAGAAACGAATGCAACGCATCAGGCCTTTACCTGGACAGTTCAGGGTTTTTGACAAAGGTACAAGTATCGGTGGTACGCTCGATGTCCTAGCCGGCCCATCAAGCTCGAAAACAACCCGCGTCCATCACTTCATTGCAATCACAAACTTGTGCCACCACTCATCTCAACAGCTCTTAATTCCAACATGGGCTCTCCAAGAGCAGTGACCGTCACCCTCACTCGCACAGAAAAATCACCAGTCACTTCTACCCCCGAGAAGATCAACTGCGTGTTCAACTACATCTGGGAAGATGAACGCGACGTGGGAAGAGCGTATCTTTCCACCATCAACGGGTACACCTTTGGTGCTGCCCTCGACGATGGGTCAGGCACCAAGACCTTTGCAGGGGCTCCCGTCTGGGCAACCAATCAATTGATGGGCGGCATCAGTTTCGAGGTCACTAAATTCGTGTTGAAGGTTGGGGCGGCCGACAAGGACACGAAGGCTGCGATATGGGTGAAGCAGGACAATAAGGAAAAGTTGCTGTACAAGACATCCAACTATTCCTGAACGATTGAGGAAGGATAAGCATGAATACACGAGGAATGCCCTTAAGTTGATGAGGAAGGGAGAAACGAATGTCTCGTTGAAAGCTATCTAGCTAAAAAGATCCAACGTGCCAGTCAGGAGGCAGGACATGCTTTACTGGGCTGAGCACAGGGTCTAGTTACTAAAATGAAGCTTCACTGTTTCATCCCCGACCTGTTCATCCTTTCCTTTCTTGAGGCGTTCGCTCAGGGTTTCGCTTGAAGGATCAAAGAATGGTGCTTCGCCGAAGATGGCTGTTCGCTTGCCTTCTCTGAGCGACGTATCATAACCTCCAGGCAAAGCCCTGTGAGCAACGACTCGGTTGTCCCAGAACGCGACACTGCCTGGCTCCCATTTCCACCTGACGGTGAGGTCGTCGGCCGCATGAAGATGCTCGCGTAGGAAATTGAGTGTATGGATGGCTTCTTGACCCTTGAGCTCAGCAATGTGGACCACGAACATCGGATTATAAAAGAGCGACTTTAGATTGGTCACTGGGTGCGTGCGGACCTGTCTGTGGTATCAGCCACACGATGATAACCAATAGGTCGGAGTGGTTCTCTTACCAAGGGGTGCTCGCGTCTCTGCGGTGCACGGAATGGCTGATAGCCAGCGTTGACCGATGCCAGGAATTGGTGCTGTCGTTGGAACATTAGCCCTTTTCCTTCTTTGAGGCCGAGGACAAGTTCATACCTCTGAGCTATGAACTCCATGAAGGCTCTCGAAGAGCTTCTGAAATGACGGGCTCAGTTTATCAAACAATGCCGTCTGGCTGGTGAAGATGGTGTCGCCACCAAACTCGGGAGTTTTGACCATTCGTAACATGGTATATGCCGGTGGGTTGGCCTCATGAGAATGGTCCGCATGGTATTCGCCTGCAAAATCGCCATACGCTCGGATGTCGCTGTCAACCATGAGTCTTGTTGTTCGGAAACAGGCGTCTTCGGCCACTTACTTGTCGCGGCCGATGATGGTAACGTGACGGGGATCCTGCTGATTTGGATCTCGGTCTTGCTAGAGGGCGCGAGTATCAGAAACACCGAGCCAGATGCCAGAGGCCACTATCAGGAGCCTACTTACAATTCCATAATGCTTTGTCAGTTCGTGCTGTTGTTCCAGCGTGATATCCTGGTTCCGGAAGAACACTACGCCTCTCTGCGCCGTTATTAGCCCTTCAGCGTTTTCTCAATGACATGGGATCATCAACCTCGGCCACCAGCAAGGCAAGCTCATCCTTTTGTGCTTCATTGAGTTGACTGAGTTGTACCCCGATCAACTCGGTACCAATGTACGGAGTCAAATGTCGAACCTGCTTGGCTGCGGCCAACAGAGCCTTCTTCTCAGGGTCTGCGAAAAAAGCGCGATCTTTGGGAGGCTCAAAGACTTCAAGTTGAGGATCAGGCGCCCGGTAAGCGAACACCCGCTCCGTGATTCCGGTAAGTGTGGCGCTCATGGTTTTTTGTTGATTTGATCGCTTGCCCTTTCAGATTCCAGTAGGAAGTGACAAGGTAAATGCAAAGGACAAAGGCCAGCGAATAAGTACTTCATCCCCAAAATACCCCGAGGTACGTATTTGTCATGTCATCATATCTCCCCGCCAGCCTCGTATGGAGAGGAGCGTATCTGGAAGCATCCACCATGGGTAAATGCCTGCATGAAACGGATTTCCGCGGCAACCGACATGTCGCCATATCCGGATAAGATGAGCAAGGGTTCGAGGTGTTGTGCGAAGTCTCATTAGACGAAGGAGGGTGCTTCGCAATCGTTATCATTCTTGACGTGCTATCTCAAAGGCTTACGAAATGTGGTGTTCATGCGGGGGCCCACCTCCGACTGGGATGCTATTTGGCCTGAGGCACGGCAGGGACTACCAGGGCCTGATCCATCCTTGAACGTCCATCCGAACTCTGGGATTGAAGAACTGTGCCCGTATCTCTAACTAGGTGAGGCATCCCATGCGTTTGAAGCGTTGAGCTACTGCTACTGCGCCGTAGCTAATCCCAGGAGATCTATATCAAATGCATTGTGCTGCTTTGTACAACTCGTCATGGGCTGAGAGCGCAACTTGGCGCGAGATCGGCGACGCCATCTACTACCCTAGCCCCCATGCCCGTCGTGCTTAGAGGTATGTGAATGATCCAATCTTCATCTCTGTCGCAATCTTTCTCGGCAAGACGTGATTGCGCCTGGGCATGAAGGTATGGTCCAGTTACCAAATACTTATCATGCAGCGCCTACGATGTGGTATAAGAAGATTGGCAGAACCAGCCTGAGCGGAGTCGAAGGCACTTCCCACGCCCATTTTGTCCGATAGTCTCGCTTTGCCATCCATCGAAAGCATGTCTTCCATACCAGTGCCTCCACCGCGTCCTTCGCAAGATGCGGGCCTTGTGGCTGTTGAGGTCAAGGGCCCCGGTGCTGATGAGAATGACCTTAACTCATCTGAGCAAGATGAAGACAGCATCGATCTGCGCAAGGAAATATACGATACCAGTGCCATAGACCCTGTTTTGGCAAAGAAAATGGCACTGACAAACAATGCGATCGACGAAATTGGCATGACCCCTTGGCAGTGGAAGCTATTCTGTTTGAATGGGTTTGGATACGCGGTAGACTCGGTGGGAACTCTTTCTGGCTCAAGATGATCGAAGACTACTGACGTCCTCTCCTTTTCAGTTGTTGATTGTGTGCCAATCTATTGCCCAGCCAGCCGTTGCACAGGAGTTTGGCAATCCCAGCAAGCACATTGCTGGCGTCGCTCTGGCGTCCCAAATCGGACTGCTGGTCGGTGCTGCCGCTTGGGGTTTCAGTGCCGACATCATCGGTCGACGTACAGCATTCAACAGCAGTCTATTCATATGTGCACTGTTTGTGCTCATTGGCGGTGCCATGCCGAGTTACATTTCCTTCTGTGCTATGTAGGTTGGAAACTCGGCATCATATTGACGCCTCTCTAACCTTGGTACAGGGTAGCCATCTACTCGGCTGGTGCTGGTGGTAACTACATTCTGGATGCGACCAATTTGATCGAATTCCTCCCTGCAAGCCACTACTGGCTCGTGACCTTCATGGCCGTCTGGTGGGCGGTTGGCTACATGATCACTGGGTTTCTAGCCTGGGGATACATGAGTAACTTCTCTTGTGATCCCGATGCCACGGTAGCAGAGTGTACTTGGGGAGACAATTGGGGCTGGCGATACCTCCATTTCACTTGCGGCGCTGTTGTCCTTGTCGCTGCCGCTCTTCGCGTCCTGATCATCCGTATGCCGCAGACGCCGAAATGGTTGATCTCACAGAACCGTGACGCCGAGGTCGTGGCCAACCTTGCGAAGATTGCGCAAAAGCATAATCGACCCTTCTCATTGACAGTGGAGAGGTTGGAAAGTATCGGCCGCGTGCTGCACACCGAGAAGAGCGTGTTATCTGCCTTGCGGCTACGACAGCATTTCTCTCAGCTGTTCCAAACCAAACGTCTTGCATATTCGACAATCATGATCATCGCCAATTGGACTGTCATTGGGACGGTGTCACCACTGTTCGGCATTTTCTTGCCCTACTATTTGAAATCTCGAGGAGCAGATGTCGGGTCAAATAGTAACTGTGAGTTCTCGCAAAGCGTTCGTCGCGTTGTCGGAAGGAAAGTGTTCACTGACCATATACGCTCTTTTGCACCCTGACAGATACGGTCTGGCGCAACTACGCACTCAATCAGCTTTCTGGACTGTTCGGGCCTCTCATCGCCGCCGCGCTCGTCGAATCTCGCTACTTCGGACGACGAGGCACATTGGCCGTCGGCGCTGCTATCACGACAGCACTGCAGTTTGGATATACCCAGATCAAAACTCCCGCGCAGAACGTGGGCGTGTCTTGTGCCATTTCGGCAGCTAGCAATATCTACTATGGGACGATATATGCGTACACGCCCGAGATTCTCCCCGCGGCACACAGGGCGACGGGATATGCTATCTGCGTGGTCCTGAACAGAGTAGGTGGCATCGTGGGTGTCTTGGTCGGAAGTTATGCGAATGTCGAAACTACGGCGCCATTGTTCATTTGTGGCGCGTTGTTTGGGTTGTTGATCGTGTTGAGTCTCTTGTTGCCTTTTGAGACGCGTGGACGGAGGACAGTGTGAAGTAGAGCGATATGCAATCAGCTACCTGACTGAAGAGGCATCGCACCTCTCCAATATATGCACATCTTGCATCATGGCCAAGTGAGGACGGCAAGAGGTAGGGCTAGTAGATCCTCAGCAATGTTATACCTGAATCATCATTTCACTCGTCTGTATTACTAGGCGTTTGAACGAAGTGGGCGGAGATTGACCATTGCCACAGTTGACGAAGGAAGAAAACAATCCTAAGAAGCTCAGGTAGAACTCCGGGAACGCTCAGGGAGCGGAAGGTGAGCCGATGGTGAGCAAAGCGGCGAGTGGCTCATCAAAAAGAGAAGAGGGGCGAGAGTACCTCCTAGTAGGTAGCTCGGTAGGTACCTCTTCCTGTTCCTCCTAGACACTACGTTCACGCGAGGATCTGTCAATGACGAGGCTTGGGCGTGCTTTGCCAAAACCTTGTCAAGCTGGGCGGATGGAAGAGGGGACTAGGTTTCTTTCTCCTGTGAACCTCGGGAAAAGGAAATGTCCCCCTCCACCTTCCCCAGTCCTTGGCCTCGCCTCCAGGGATATCAATTCCTCGGAATAATGCTCTAGATCTCCGTCCATGCCGACTGCTGGAGAATATATCTCTGGAGACAAATTACCAGAATTGGGACTTAAGAAATTAGAGACAACCCTCTGACCCTGCAAGAAACAACCAAATCTAACATACCCAGCCCAGCTCAACATGTCTCGATCCCAAGCCCATGATGAACGCAACCAGGCGCTCCGTGGCGGCCTGAGCTCTCTTGAAGCTGCACTCAGTGTTTCGGTGCCTACCAAGGACACCGTCACGTCCGAGAGCACAAGGCTGGGTCAAGCAGTGAGGACGGAAGACGTCCCCGACAGCGACGGGGCCAAAATCCATTGGATTGGGGACAGTTCTGCTCCAAGCGTGATCCTATATTTCCATGGTATCTAAACAGCCCCAACATACCCTAGTATCTGCCTCCTCCTCCTTTTCCACGGCATTGCTTCGCGCAGCTGATGTTTGGACGTGGCATTAGGCGGAGGTCTCGGTCTTCCAGCCATGCCAGGGCATATTGCTTTCTGGGTGGATACGCAGCAAAGACTGGCCAAGGAAGGCAAAAAGTTCTCGATTGCCTTCGTGGAGTATGGTAAGAACAACATACCAATGCCATGAGCGAAACATGTCGATAATTGACCTGTCACCATGTAGGCCTATCGCCTCAACATCGGTTTCCGACACAGTATCGACAGGCTGTGCAGGCTCTCAAAGCTGTTCTGCAATCTGGCCGCAAGCCTTCAGATGTGAGAGGCTTCTTGTCCTTCATGAAAGGAATGTATGAGAATAGCCCTGTTAACAAGACCGACAGGTCATCATCGGGGGCGACTCTGCCGGCGGCAACTTGACCGTGGGAATCCTCTCTGCAGCACTGCACTCCCACGCCGGAATCCCAACCCTCAAACTCGACACTCCCCTGAAAGGCGCCCTGCTCGTCTCGCCCTGGGTCGACCTCTCCGTCGGCAGCAGCACATCCTGGATCGAAAACAAGGACAAGGACATCGTCTCCGCGGCCCTCGTCCCTGAACTCGTGAACAACCTCGTTGCCGAGGAGGCCCGCAACGAGTTTTCCGATCCAGCCCGCGCCGACTCGAAGTGGTGGACCGGGGCGCCCGTTAGCTCCGTTCTCGCGTTGGCCGGGACGCACGAGCTGTTTTACGACGACATCAGGAAATTCTGCCAGAAGCTGAAGGAGGCTGGGCTGGCTGTCGAAGTCGTCGAGTGTCCCCAGCAGGTGCATATTGATTGCATGCTGGATGCCCAGTCAGGCTTGGAGCACGGGACCATGTCTCATGCAATATGGGATTGGCTGAAGAAGGTGCTGTGAAGGATTCCTTGATTCAGAAGATGGCCAGGCTGAAAATCCCCGCGTTGGCAACCAGTCCCAATGAATACTTCTACTTCGTCTGTTCTAGTGACTGCATAATTCTTTTCTCTATCAACACCGACTGCATGCTGCGTGATATCTCACAAGCTTGTAGAAAATGGACCTTCAAGCCGCAGACCACTCAAGCAGACAGTCGAGATGACGAAGAAATGCTAGAACTACTACGCTTTTCACCATCGTTGAGATTCTATTTGCGAGCGTTCATACGCCCACAACAGCTCTCCAGCCACGTACTGATGTGGAACTTTCCCAACTCCCGGTATCATTTTGAGCGTCTCTGTACGGATTGAACATTCAAGCCCTCCCGCACAGCCATGGCGACAACGCAAGCTTCGAATTCTGTGGTTTCTTGAGGCAACGCGCACATCCCCCGGCCATATCCTGGCAACTTCCTCTCTGTGTGAAGAGCGTATCACAAGAAGGGTGTCCCCTGTCCCACACTGCTGCTCCTCTTTCCATGGAGATATAGAAGCCCAAATGGTCATTCATTCCCTTCTAAGATGTTGCTGCCCACAAGTCTGCGGGAACAAGTTCAGGCGGTAGGCTTGGTACCCCCAATTGGATGGTGGACATTCTGTTTTTGCAGAATCGGCTATTTATCGATGGGTGTTTGAAGAGTGGTCGTAATGGCTTGCTGTGAAATGATCATTGCTGCATAGATTTGCTCTTTGGGAAAAGTACGCACTACTTTGTAGCTTTATGTTTATGCAATCCAGAACAATCAGTCTCTCTTCCAACTTGACATCATGCTCCGTCGTGCGGCAGATAAAGGAGGTAACTGAGCTTCAGCTCTCGACCTGCCCTGGGTTTGAGGTGGCGTTCTGAAGAAGATCTGCTTTCTGAACCTGCTCTTCTTTCTGCCCGCTGTTCAAACACAGTATGACGGCTCATGAGACAAAACCACGAGGAACAACAGGGGCGTAGCGTCTGAGGAAAGCTTTTCATCTTTGATGACGAGGGAAGGCCAGGCCAGCTCCGAGGCTGGAGATCTTATGTTCATGAAAACGAGGGCATATCGAGCAAGTCAGGAGGAAAGCAGGTAGTCTTGGTACGGCGGTGGCAGTCACAGATGGAAGCATCGTCCTCCATATTATGATGGTGGTAGTTCTTGAGGGAGGAGGGATGCATCAACAGGCTCTCTAGATTGTCAGTGAGTATGAGGAGACGACTGCGCATTTGATAGGAGAGTACTCGTCCTCTTGCACGAGGTGCTTTGGTCCAGACCATAGAGCGAAAACAGAGGTCGACTGTGCCTCTCGGTGTGCTCCCAAGGTGTCTTGCGTCGGGCTTCTGATCATGAGAGATGTCAAAGAGGATCAAAAAGGCCAACAGAGAAGATCGAAGTGGCCATCTTCGTGCGTGTGTTTAAGGGATGCCAGAATGCCAGCAGACATGAACCCCCTCAGCCGCGTGCGGCTTGCTCCCCTGTGTGTCCCTTGCTCTCCTCGTCCCTGCCCACCCCTATTGCCTCAGCCGCGCCCCCGAGCCGCTTTTGCTCCCTCCAAGCATTCATCTGTCGTGTTAATGCGGCTGGTGAGCGTCAATCACGCCCGCAATCGGTCTAGCCCACGAAAATTCGTCACGTCCAACCCAAAATCCGAACCACTTACTGACGAACTTCTTCTTTCTTCCTTTCATCAACCCCCTCTTCCACCACCCATCTCTGTGGACGTCAACACCTTCATCTTCTTGCGTTTTCTTTATCTTCTCTTCTTCTGGGGGCTGACAAGCACACAACGCTGAGACAGGACGCAGCGGTGGTCGTGCAGGCCACCCTGCATCTTCGTCTCACCGTTGTGTGCTTGTCAGCCCTCACCGACGTGATCAAGTGTCGACAGAGCATTTTATGCTCAACAACAAAATGTAATGTCTGCAGAACATGCCCCTGAGATGAAAGCCTTGACTGACCATGCGCAGAGTATATAAATAGAGGGACGCTGTCCGGTAAGTCTTTGTGCCGTCTCCTGTGTTTCTTCCCTTGTCTCCCTACCTTTGAGTACACACCATCCTGGACGACGTGGAAAGAGGGGGGAAAGACCACATCGTGCTTTTAGGAATGCACGGTCATGAGACAATGCCAGTTTCTCGGAGCTCGATTCGCTTCACAGCAAACAAACGTGTCACCCACCATGTCTGGATTCTGCGATCTTCACAATGACAGAGTCATAACACTCTGCATGCCGGCTTGCTGAACAAGCAAACTGGAAGGCGTATACTGTGTTTCACCGTGCGGAAGGCCCCTGGGTTCGACCACAAAGCACTCCAAAGCCTCCTGGGGTGACATGCACCGTTGAGATCGCTCCCCGTGTGATATCTTCCAGGAGCTCGACCTTCATTCACCCTGTCGCCAGCTGTCATGTGTCACCGCCTCAGCATTCACCTCACAGCGCGATGAATCCTTGGACACACATGTCATCGGACAACAATGACTGAGCTCGGCCTGCGGTGAAGTGACAAGTTGTCGTCACTGACGTCCAGCTGCCCGAGCATGTGCAGTTCTTCTGGGGGGGTCTAGGGTATATAAACCCCCCTTCCTCCCTCTGGATTTTTCTGTTCTGTCATCCTCTCAGCATCTGGTTGTTGTTCTTTCTTTGACCCTGTTCATCGCCCTTCTGAGACTCTTGTCCAACACAAAAGACGCATCACAAGGCATCATTTGACCAAAAGCACTTCCCTGGCTCATCAAGAAATCATTATTTGTGCGGCAGTTTGGCAATCTGGCAGCTTTCCACGTCGTCCAGTTGGTCTTGGCATCAGAAGTTATAAAAAGCGGCCACTGACCTTTCACACCTTCAGTCTCTTCTTTTCTCTCTCACAAAGGTTGCTCTTCTGATCCTTCAGAGTAGGCGCTTTCTTCCTCTTCGTTGCTGTTGGCCTGGGTCTCCCGTCATCACCTTGAACCTCTCATCACGGTCATCTCACCTCCGCCGTCGACATCACATCGCTCTTTGAGCAGTCTTGTTCTCAGGCAGCAGCAAGAGACCTGATCGTTCCTGGTGTACAGACCAGAGAGACTTCACTGCACATTGTTGCAAGAAATCTCTACTTCTCGACTCTTCTCCTCACCTTGCCTCTCGACCTGTTCACTTCTTTTCACTTTTCACACCTCAAACCTCACCAGCCGACCTCACCTTCTCCGACCCGACCTTTACTCCCTCATTCCTCCTTTGAACAGATCGACATGGCCTCTTACTCTGGCCGTGACATGCCGCTTGCGGCCTCTGTCACATCTCCCATCATCGAGCAAGCGCAGACCAGACTGAACCAGTCTGAGCGCAACTACTCCAGAACCCAGCAAGATCTCCAGAATGCCATGCGCATCCGAGCAACAACACCGATGTCAGCGGCCGAGACCAATGCCAAAGACACCGAGATCGCGTCATTGCGGCGCAAGCTGAGTGCTCAGGAGGCGGAGATGACGAAGCTGCGGGAGACAATCGAGAAACAGCGGATGACCATCAAGACGCAGAGCGAGGCCATCTCCAACCCCAAGCAACATTATGCCACACCAACGCCTAACCGTTTCGGAGGCAACCAGCAGTATGGCCCATACCCGAATCTTCAGCCACCTCCACCTCCCCCACCACCGATCTTCGCCACGGGAAATGCCATCACATTCACACAGCCTCGTCCTGCCATGCCTGGACTTCTCCAACAGCAGCCTGGAAACACACCTTCTCCTTTCGATGACAACATGGCGCAGCAATTCTCTGCTCTCTCAGTCAATCAAGCTCAAGGTCCACAGATGCAGCACCCACAACCTACCCCATTCCGACAGTCTGGCCACGTCAATGAGTTCGGTTCGCCTGAGCCAACAAGACCATACAATACCAACCTGGCCATCAAGTCCACTCCCATGGGGCCTAACAAAGGCAACAGTGGAACTCCAGCTTTGGGGTCGGCAGCCAGGATGCACACTCGAGGGATGCCCAGCACTGCTCTGCAGCCACCACAAATGCCAGCTTTCCCCAACCCCATCTCCATGGCCACCGGGCCACATCTCGTGGTTCCTGCTGCGGTTGCTCAGATGTTTGCCGATGTGCTCCACATGGCAGAAAAATATGCATACTCTCATGTCAACACACCCAGCACCCAGAAGGACAACGGCATGCCACAAGAGGTCAAGGACAGACTGATGAGAGCTGCATCCACCACTTCGGCGTTCCAGTTCATGCAGACACCATTTACCCGCTATCTGCTGGTCTACAAGATCATTGTCCAATTCATGATCAAGACCATTCTCAAGCATGACTGCTTCACCGGATTCGACCCAGAGGCGGACCGAGTCATCGAAAACTGCAAGAATCAAATGTACCAGAGTGAGTGCTTGATGCCCTTTCATTTAGACACCTGAACAGTACTGACATGAGCTTGCAGGTACCCCCGCCCAGGTCAAGTACCAACTGCTCACCACCATGGCGGCTCAGGTCCAGAAGCTCAAGACCAATCCCAACTTCCAGAACTTTGTCAACAACATTGCCCGTACGCGTGGCAACGAGATCTGGAGAGTCCTCAAGCCGATGATGCACTCCAAGACGTCGCGGGACTGGGATGACTTGTACGAATTGATGATCAAGGCACACCAACTTGCCCAAATGATGTTCTCTGGCTCGGAAGAATACAAGTTTGACTTTCCAGCAATGGGCCAGCAATATCGCAAAGACTGGATGGAGTCAAGGGATGTTTTCAAGAACGTTCACACTCCTGAACAGCTGGAAGCCATGGGAGCCACAGTCAGGCTCGGAATCACACCACTCATCAGTGTGCGAACCAGCACTCCAGAGGGACTTGTGAAGTCAAGCACCATTATGCAGGCATTTGTGTTGATCAAGGCAGACAAAGGGAACTGAGAGGGGACTTGGTGTGTGGTGGAGGGGATGGACACTTTGCTGAATGTGAGGGCTCGTAGAAATCGATTTTCACTTTGGGGAATCAAACATGCCAAGACCATGGCAAATGTATGGAGCTTCCATAGAAATGGGATGGTAGAGAGATGCACTCAGTCCCAAGACTGAATCAGTAATGATATTGATCATTTGACCAAGTTTCACTCTGTTACCTCCAGTGTGCTCGCCCTGTCAACGTGCTTGTCACTCTTCTTTCACCAGGGCGTCCCCTCCTTGTGCACCCAATCACCCGCAATACGATGTGACATGGCGCCCTCCCAGTGCACATCATCCCCCCCACATCCGGTTGGACAGTCAGCTCCCGTCAGCCACAACGACAGATGAGGTTGAAAATAGCAGCGGGAGCCCGTCGTCGTCAATAAAGAGGCTGAAAATCCGGGGAACGCCCGCTGTATGGGTGTGGTTGCGATGACCGGCCTCTACCCTCACAAACCACGTCGTATTGAAGTACGTGTACACGATACGTGGCCATGGGAACAAAAATAGATTGTGGTAGGCAAACCTCCTCTCTGTCTGGACAGCGGCGACATCACACTGAACACTCTGAGAAATAGCCGCACGTTGCCGCTCGAGTGGGAATATGACCAGCCAGGCTATATATCGCGACGCCTCCGAGCCTCCATCTCCCCTTGACCTCAACCCATCACCACCACCACCAGCACCACTACGACGAAGCCTATCCTACCCTACGTGAAACGCCAACCTCTCTATCCTCCTACGTACCCGGCATCATGCGCAGCTACACCCTCCTTTCCCTCGGTGCCCTGGCATCTGCGGCAACATTCGACGTCAACGTCGGCCAAAATGGCTTCACATATTCTCCCGACACTGTCAAGGCTGCGGTCGGCGACACGGTGAACTTCCACTTCTACCCGGGTGACCACACCGTCACACAATCCCCCTTCGACAGCCCATGCCAACCAGTTTCGGGCAATGCCATCAACTCTGGCGTCATCAACTCGAACTCGGGCCAGGCGAGCACGATGTTCTCCATGAGAGTGAACTCCACCGACCCATTATGGCTGTACTGTGGCCAGGTCGGGCACTGTGCCGCAGGAATGGCCATGGTCATTAACCCGCCGTAAGACAAGATCTCATTCCCCCCCGACGCTGCTGCTGCTGACCGCTGTACAGATCGAATGGCAACACTCTTGCCGCCTACCAAAAAGCCGCCAGCGGCCAGTCGGGCCAAATCCCGTCCAGCGTCTTCGGGGGCGTCATCGTCGCCAACGTGGACAACGCCGGCGCCAGCTCCAACGCCAGCAGCAGCTCTTCCGGCTCATCCTCGAGCTCCAGCGCCTCGGGCTCCTCGTCTGCCACCAACTCCGCGACTACGACCGCGACCACCACGACTGCTGCAGCCTCGACGACCAACACCGCCGCCTCGGCCCAGTCGACAAGCAACGCCGCTTCCTCGAGCTTTGGTGTCATGACTCTGGAGTGGTCCCTTGTGGGCACCCTGCTGGCTCCCGCCGTAGCATACCTGTTCTCGTGAACGGCGTCGTTACAAACGGGAGAGGGCAGAGCAACGTCTGATTTTATGTTGAGTCAGAGACACGCCCCCCTCGGCGCTCGGTGCTTTTCAACGACAATAGACGCTTGATGGCACAATTGACTGGACAGAAGAGCGCATTGCTCGCAACACAAAAGCGCAAAAGTTCACAGGAAGATGCTCGCCGAGGGCCGGGGATCATTTGGCCGCAAAGAGTTTGCGGCCCTAGCCAGATTGTTGTTATTTTGTACCGATCACGATAATCAATTAGACCATGCATGTACAACCCAACGTTTTCGTTCATGTAATTCCATTTTCTCCTCCGTGTTTCCAGCCTCGCAGCGAAAGAGTCGGCGGGGTGAGGAAAACGAAGAAATCGATGCCGTCCACATCCGTACCTTGCGATCTCTGCATTTCGCATTTTGCCTTTTTCCCCATTTTGCTTGTCTATTCTTAGATCCTCCACACCACCACCACCCGCCGCATCCGCGTTTACGAGTCCACGAACTCTCACGAGGCACTTGGTCCAACGCCCACCAATCCTGTCCCCGCGCTTACCCCCTTTTCCCGCGGCGATCGCCCGGTAAGGCTGAGATATGCTTGTACCGTCACCGCAGCAAAGGATACAACATCCGAACCCGGACAACGACGTGCAAAGGAAAGGCTCTCTGGTGCATTAGACTGGCAAGCTGGGGCAATGACCGTTCAATAGAGTGGTTTTGCCGTGGTCGCACGGAGTTGGGCATTGAGCAGCTCATGTACCCTACGCCCCCAATTAGCTTGATACCGACAGGATCACACCCTATCAAGGGATGTTCTATGCTCAGGAGCCCCGATGGTGTGCGGTGCTAGGCTGGAGAGACTTCGTTGGGGGTTATTAGATATGACAGTGGATACAATGGTCGGCTTCGCGCACGCGGGTCAGTATTAGATACGCATGTGAAATGTAGATGATGCCACCTCTAGGGCTGGACAGTATGATGGTTTCGTTTCATTCTGTTCTGGCGATAAGAGGCTGTCGTGTTTTCAGTGTCTCGGACAGTCGTGCTGTCGAATACTTTCCTCATATCCGTACCAACCTTGGCATAAAATGGCATCAATCACCAACCATCTCATCCTCAACGGAGGGGCACCGTGCTGTCTCATCAACCCGCGCTCACCTTCATGATCAACACCACCATCATCACACACAAGACCCTTCTCCTGGCCGTTATTTCACAGAGTGTACCGATAAAACGGGCTCCGGTCCCCCAGATCCAGCAGCTCTTGCTCGGTGTACCTGGCCTTGATGGCCTCCTCGCCCTCGCGGGCCAGCAGGTCGTCCCGCCTCCTGTTCTCGCGCTGGTACGCGACCCGGAGCACAAACGCGGCGACGATGCCCAGGACGCAGATGCCCAGACTGACGCCGAAGCCGGTCGGGTACTTGGGCGCCTGGGCCGAGAAGTAGATGTTGCTGCCGCAGATGCCGCCCATGTTGCCGACGCTGATCAGCAGCGCCATGCCTGTGTGAGGGGGGTGGACTGTTAGCTTTGTACTTGATCGGCCACTCAGGGTCAAGAGGGGGTGGTGACCCAGTCGGGGGTTAGATGGAAAGAACTCTTTGCTGGGGCAGAAACGGGTAACTCACCGACTGCGCGCTTGGAGGATGGGGCGAGATTGTTGGCGATTAAGGTCACGATGCAGGTAAAGGGGCAGTAGAGCCCTGTGGCCACGAGGAAGAGGAAGAAGTAGGACACGCCGGAGTACTTGGGGTGCGGGATGGCCAGCTGCGCGATGAAGCCGACAACCCCGATCGCAAAGCCGCCCATGATGAACGGGGTCCGCTGCTGGGCGTGGTCGGCCCAGAAGGCCACGATCACGGTGGCGATCATCCCCACCACGTAGATGGGGATGGTCATGAGCTGCGCATTGGCGGAACTGTAGCCCATCTGCTTGATGACCGAGGGCACCGTCGCCGTGAAGCCATAGGTGCCGATGCTGCACGCCCAGAACGGGATGACGGCGCACCAGATCCTCCAGTCCGCGAACCCGGCCTTGATGTACGGCCAGCTCATCTTGTCCACGTTGGTGACCCTGCCCTGGCCCGAGCCGGTGTGCAGGGCAATCCGGTTGACGATGAACTCCCGCTCTTCCTTGGTCAGGAACCGTGCCGTCTCGGGCTTGTCGGGCAGGAGGAAGTACAAGGTGAAAGATATGGCAATGGGCGCGAGTCCTTCGAGGATGAAGATCCATTTCCAGCCCGCGAGGCCGGCGATGCCGTCCATCTTCTCGATCGCAAAAGCCAGGAGCCCTGAGAATGCGCCAGATAGAGAGGCAGCTGCGTAGAAAACAGCCATGCGGCGCTGGATTTCGTAGCGTCGATACCAGATGGTGAGTACTGAAGCAAACGGCAAGATCAGCATTGTCCTTCCAATCAAGCGTTTAGGTATCGGCGTCCGTCTGTCAGGTCCCTGCTGTCTGGACTTGATTGCAGGCTTCGCATGGAGGTGGAGGTTGACTCACAGTACGTCGCGGCGGGAAAGAACCCAGCTTCTGTTAGACCAAGGAAGAAGCGAGCAGTCACAAGGCCCTCGTAGCTAGTAACAATACCCATCAAGGTCATGACAAGACCCCACAGAAAGCAAAGGATGGAGATCCAGATCGATGGCCGGAGCATCTTCAGGACGATGTTAGAAGGAACCTGCGTGTTGTGTCAGGATATTGCAACGTATACCGGCGCTTGCTAAAGGTCCATACCTCGAAAAGTGCATATGGCACGAAGAACACCGTCAGCGCAGTATTGTAGCGCATCCCGTAGAGCTCGAGGTCTTCGTACATGCCTGCGATCTTGGCGTTGCCGATGTTGCTGCGGTCGATGTATGCGAGACTGCGCATGGTTAGGGTACGACAATCCAGGTTGACCTGGTACTCACAGATACAAGACACCGAGCAGTGGAATGAGTCTGTAGTCGACTTTCCTCAAGATCCTTTGGACTTCCTTCTGGTCGTACTGGGGCTCGACCTGGTCGGCATCGTAGCCCGCGTCCACGGTACGTAGGCCGCCCGTGCCATCGACATGGCCAGCGGTTTCTATCCCAATCTCCTTCTCGTCGGCGCCGTATTCGACCCTCTGGGTATGCTGCTTTTCCGTCATTTTTGTCGCGGGGCCTTTTTGCGGCGGAGAAGTTCACAAAGAACACGGGGAGAAGCAGACATTATGCCAGTTCGCCTCAAGACGCCGCTGGTTATGAGCCTGACGTGCGACGAGCATATTGGCATGCAGCTCGAAGGCTTGGGGGTGCGATGTCCACCGGAGACTCCAGCTTGAGGTCTCCATGCCCCTTTCGGTAGCAGCGGGTGATCAACCACCACCGGGCGCAAACCACGAGGTCTTCTAGAAACCGGGCCCATTCCTCACCAGAAGACCAATGAACCTGTTTCTGGGGCTGGCAGACCCTAACTGCCGATCTACTCTTGACGATGGGAACGGTCCCTTGGCGAATGCAACGTGGAGATCACAAGTATGGACATGCCCAGCTTTGGTTTTTTCTTCCACCGGGGCAGACACTTGGCGGCGCTCATTCCACCAGAGATGCGTGACGGACTTGGCTGTTGGAGGTGTGCGGAGGGGGGATCCCACTTTGTATGATCTAGCAAGAGGCGCCAGGTGCAGAGGGGATGTTCGGAGGGTTCTTCAAGGAGTGTAGTTGTGTGACCGATTACCTCCTCCGTTATGCTTGGCCTCCTATTTAGGGTCAGCCTGGTGGGGCTGGCAGAATAGATGTGGGGTACGGCACACCATCATACCAGCTCGCTCCGTGGAAACATGGCTGAAGGAAGTCGACGATGAAACGAACAGTACCACGCCCACGATTCGAGTGATATCAGGATGCTCTGATCTATCTGGAAAGCGGGGTTGACTGGTCGCTGTTGACATTGTGAGACTTGGGACAATGCAGACTTCAAAACAAGAGCGAAGGGGGAATGTGAGAGCATTGATAAGGCCAAGACTACATCACCAGCGGGGATGGAATGAGGGCCTTGACATGGTGATCAAAGTAGGCAGATGCTGCAGTTGCGGAAGAAACACGGAAGACGCCTTGTGGTTCATTTGTTTTGGATTGTCGAAAGCACCGGCCATGGGTTTGCACAGGTACTTTTTCTCATTCAGTCGCATTCGGTAATGCCGGCCGGCAAGTCGAAGCAGCGAACGAGCTCTCATCTAGGATCATCCCGAGCCGACCTATCGCTTCTTTCCATGGACTCCCCAATGCACGAAGAAAGCCCCCTTCGGATCTGCTCACCGTCCCCCATCAATCACATCCATCTGGAAGAGTAAAGAACACAATGAGCATTTTCATCAGCCACCCTTTATGCCGCCGTGATGGCTTTCTGTCTCCGAGCAGCTCGCTGTCTGGTGGTCAATCTCGTTCCCTTGGCAACACCCAACTCTTCAGCCTTGGACACGGCCTCCTCAGCTTCCGTCAAGATCAATTCAATGTGGCACGGGTTGGACATGTAGGGGTTGATACGGCCGTGGGCACGGTATGTACGACGTCGCTGCTTTGGCGCTTGGTTGACTTGGATGTGTTTGACGATCAGTTTTGAAGTGTCGAGACCCTTGGTGTCGGCATTGGCTTCGGCATTCTTGAGAAGGCCCAACAGGAACTCGGCGGACTTGACAGGCCAGCGCGCTTTCGAGACACCGAATTGTTTGCCTGTGAGAGGGTAGATGTTAGCAAGCTGCAATTGGGATTTGCGTAAAGACCGCAGCGCGGTAAACTGGCGTTCCGTCTGGGCTGATCCTGATTCTCTGGCAAGAATTTCCACACCAAGCTCTCCATACAGCGCGCTTGCAGAAGATTCTCGCAGGAATGATCGTCCTTTCCCTCCGTCCAAGACTTCTGATATTTTCCATACCTTGTGCGCTCCGTCCAGTGCTACCCGCATATCTTCTCATTGGCACAGCCTCCTTGAGCTGCTTGACATTCTCGAGGTATTGAAGGGCACGCTCGAGTTTCCATCCGTTGATAGCTTGAGCAGTCTCCCGGGTGTTTTTGAAACTGACTCGCAGGTAACTGCCACGGCTTCGAGCAGAGCGGGCGCTGGGAATGCGGTCGGCGGGGGCGTAGCGGACCTGTTGGGGGCAAGTCAGTGATCGGCATGAATTGAATCAAGGGATTCATTCGAAGGGTAAAGGCACATACCATCTTGACGGGTGTGGGAGCAATGAGATGGTCCTAGTCGTTGTTGTCAATTCGATCTCAAAATGAATGCCGCAATGGGGAAATTTTGGTTGTGGGAAACGCCAAGACTGCGATTCTGACCTCGCCATAATTCTGTGCTAGGCAACTATTCCGAGTAATCACGTGTCGCATGTCTTGGCTGTCATAAAGCTAAACTCTTTTCAATTTTGCAACAATTACATTCCCTTAGTGATTTCCTCCAAGCTCCCAGCCTCAATGTCTTGATCTCTGATCGAGGTTCGTACTGCTTCCGCTGCTTCTTGATACCCCCGTGTCCGGACAACCAGCAGCCCAGTCGATACCCAACTCCAGCTTGTCTTCTAGACACTATGCAATTTGAGCCAACACCATGCTGTTTCTCGATCCCTCCTTGCGCTTGTTGCCACTACTGCTAATTCCTCTCGGCGCGAGGATCATAATCACCGCCTTCTGTCTCTTCTGTTCCTCCTCGAGCCAGTGGGATGCGTCCATCGTGCCAGTCATCTTCCTCTGAGATCTCCTCGTCCTCAACCGCGCTAGCCATGATCTCTGCCTTTGTCTTCGGCTTCTTCTGATTTGGCACAGGCCTTTCGTCTCCGATCATCAGACTTTCTGCCGCAGGTTCTACTGCATCATACCACTCCTCCGTTCCATTCTCCGAATTGTCTCTGTCTTCGTCTTCTTCGTCTGTGGACACCAGCGCTGCCCCAGCTAACTGGCTGCTTTTACTCTTGCTTGGAGTTGACTGAGGTTCGAAAATTGCTCCGGCAACGACATCTTCATATCCAGGATCTCCAGGCTTGTAAAGTTTGCCGTCAATGACTTTGGAGCCCGTTGGCCGTCCTCGTCTAGATCCACCCAACTCGGGATCCGGGAAGTCGGAGGTGTATTTCGAGGCGAAGGTGTCGAGCGTGAATTGCTGGCCATTGAGGATTTTGAGATGTGTCCTCCAAAGCTCCAAAGTGTCCCTGTCCCGGAGCCTATCATATTTGCCGACTTCAAGTCCGTTGATCGTTTGTAGATCTAATGCTTCGGCTCGTGTGTCGGCCCAGTACCAGAGCAAGGAGCCCTCGTTGACCTCATCCAATCTTTCATCTGCTTGTGTGGCGTAGGCGCGACCCTCTTCGATACCTTTCAAGTCGTAATCAAGGGATGGTCTGATGTCACCCTTCCTGCCGTTGGCAGACTTGTGTTGCAGCAAACCCGTCCAGAGCTGCACGGCAGCAGCTTCGCACAGTCTGCCGAGAACTTGGTCGTGCGATATCTCATATCGATGGTGAGGTGCGTGGAGGGGGTACCAGGGACCGTAGATTGCTGAACCGACGGGACGGAAAACCGTTTTGACCTCGTCTTGGGGCACGGATTCAGCATCACCAAGCGTTGAGTCTGGATTTGTGGCTTGGAGCTTGTAATGACGCCTTCTATCGATGGTGTAGCCTTTGCCCACAAGCGTTATATAGGACCGCGTCGATAGCAACGGCGAGTCTGCAGAAACATGCTCCGATTTGATCTCGTCAAGATGGAGTCTGATTGATTCAACAACTAGCACATCACTGCATCCTTTCCCTTTTTCTCGTGGGGCGATTCTGACGGCATCGCCAACCGTAATTAACTCGGACCCTATGTAGATCCCTTTGCAACGAATGGTTGCGTCAGGCCAGTCACCCTTGAAATACCATTTTTCCAGCAGTGAGAGACTGGTCATGCAAGTCATAGCGTGTTCAATCGATGCGTGCCATTTCGTCCTCGGGATTCCGCGGAGCAGCATCTGCCAGTGACTCAAAGGTCGAATGTTCCGCAACGGAAGGTACCGGTATTGTTTGGACATTGTTTTATCCTCCTCATTATTGGGATCTGGAAACGTTTCCACTCGGAAGCCTCCGGTGTTGAGACTGGTCTGCTTCGATGGAAGGTCTTGAATATCCGGAAAGTCGACAGGTCCATCGGTTGCAATAGCAGACGGCACAGTCGCAACGACCCCACCTCTCCAGTCAGGTGAGCCATGGAAGCATTTTTGCTCAAAAGAGTAGAACTTGTATTCCTGTGTCTTTTCGTCGAGCATGAGGTAGTGATTGTGAAGAAAGTTTGGACAGAATAAAACAAGTTCTCCGACTCGGGGCACAAAGGCATGTTGATGTTCGATCAAAGTCAGACTCCTTTGAACGTAGTCTACGCCAGGCCAATCCTGAACATTTTGCGTCGTCCAAGAGTGCTCAGCTCTCCAATCGATAGAATTGGGTTCCCAGATGTCGTCTTCGATTCCCGTTGTGCCCCCCTTGACGGCCTCCAGTCTCTTTATTTGGTCTTTGAACACATCTTCCGTGCCTTCTGCGTCCTGTGCATACGGAGCCCCGGCAGCTTTAATGTGACGCTGCGGACGAGTCGAAATTGCCCCGGTAGCGCGGCTGGCAATGGAAGTTGACCTCGAGGAGGACTCACTTTCAAGGGGAGTAAAAGTCTTTCTCTTCTCCCTTGCAAATAGGAGCTGGTTATCCACAGGGTGCCGTATTCGACGTTTGATCAGCTCCGCTTTGTAATGGCCGCAGAGTATGCATTCACAGGTGCCCTTCATTCCCGACATCAACCAAAGGAAGTGCGGCTGAAATCGGGCAATGGAGTCATAGTACTTGCCAGACCGATGACCAAAGAGTCGCTTATAGACTACGCCTGTATTGCCGTGCTGATCTGTTTCGAACACGGAAAATCCAAGGGGGAGTTTGTCGAGATAGTGGTCCAAACCTATACCCAAAGTCAGAAGGGTTCGAATGTCCATTTCATTAATGGTTCGGTAGCAAGCCGAACTGAATTGCCCGACAAAGCGACACTGTGAGGCCGGCATTACTAACCTGGTCGTTGGATCCCCAGCTTCTCTGACCATGCTTTTGCCAGATTGATCAAGTGCCGTTCCTCAGAACTAGGCCGATAGGGTTTGGGAGGCCAGGTTCGTTGGTCGCCATCACTGTAGGGCTTGATTGGGAGGACTTGCCAGTGCCCTTTTTTCCCGATTATCTCCCAGTGGGGATGATCGCGGGACTCGTCTTTTCCTGACATCGGGAGTCTAGATCTGCGAGAATGATAGGATAGAAGGGTAGATAAGAGACCATCATGAGTGAAGCGTGTTGAGGTTGCGGAGCTGCGTTGGAAGATTAATCTTTTATGGAAGTCAACAGTGAATTGGGACTTTATTTTAGGCGCCAGGCTTGCCTCACCCGGATTCAGAAATACCTCTGATTTTTGAGAAATCTTGCTATCAGAAAGGCCCTGAAGGAGTCTGAAACCAGAATTAAAGGTTCTATTAGGTTGAAGCACGGGAACATACTCATCCACCCAAGTTTGTATTACAGATTATTAGAAGTTACAAGTACATAAGCATCGTTCATTACTTCCCTCCCTGCGCTCCTGGTATCAAAGTCCGCTCCAGGCTGATCTGGAACTTCCGTCTCCCTTTCGGCACAAAACGACTGAGTCCGTCGTTGTCCATATCGTAGTATATTTGCCACTGTCGTGTTGCGGGATCTTCGACAGCCACGAACGCTTCGGTTTCATCAAAGGTTATACCCTCTTCGTCTTCTGTCCAATCCCACGGTCCAACATGATGCTCGATGCTGGCTGATTTGTTGCCATATTTCAACTCCATCGTGTTCTTGTCCACATATATCCAGTTCAACAGAGGAGGATCATCTCGAACTTGGCTGACAAGACCAATGGGGACGGGGACTCTCTGGAAAAAGCCGTCAGTCCGACAGCCACATCGCAGGTCTCAATGTCGGCCGGGATCGCTTACCTCGTTGTCGGGATATTCGATATAGAACGCTTCCACGACATACCCTTCCTTACACGGATTCAAAGCTTCATGCGGCCCTATCCACACGCAGTCATCTCTCAAAACAAGTCTTTTCTCGTGGATTTCACGTGTCCGCGAGCTCTGGGCTTCACAGTAGACATCGATGTAGAACTTTTGCATGCGCCTTGCATCCTTCTCACGCTCCTTGTGCTTCTTCTGGCCATGGATGGCTTGAGCCACACCTGTCACGGTAGGAATCGAGGTGAGGATGAGGAGGCCGATGACCATTTTCAGGAGAGTGGCGCGGCTTCAGGTTGGCAATAAGAGGCTTCTGCTGGGCTCTGTGTCATCTGCCTGATGTTTATAGATCATTTCGATCTTTGTTTCAGATCATATTGGAGCAAAGAAGGTGTTGGGAGAACTGTGAGAATGTCGCAATGGGGGGGCAGCTGCAAATGCGTCAAACATGCCGCGCCACCTGCATTCCGCGCGACCTTCACTTCGTATTCCGGTTCCAACCCCCGCCGGTGATATGCGCTGGTCAATTTGAAATGAATGTGTTTCTCGTTTCCCGATATGATATCGTTGTGGACCAGCCCTTCCCTCCTGGCTGAATTAAATGGTAAGAACACCTGTAGTGTCGCTGACTGGTCTAAGGATGGGCTGAGATGCCTGATGAATCGCACCGCTCTCTGCTTCGATGAGCGACTCTGACGGGGCTCGGGTGCAGAATGACTGGTCTACCTGCAAGCCCTCACCTAGCACACAATTTCCCCATCTCATCTATCGAAATCGCGCCTCCCACTTTTGAGCAGCACTATTCGGGCTTCGGTGTCCAATTTTCAAGGCCCAGAATCTCATGGCGGTTTTCTACCACCAATGCTCGTGTCTACGACTGGGTTCAGAACGCCTATGACCTTGAAATCAGACCCATCGGCGGGCAGGCTGGGCTATACCATGTCGACAGTGCAGAATCTGCGCTCGTCCCGTGGCCTGCCCGATGCGCCGCCTTGAAATCTAGGGAGCAAAGAGAAGTTCGAGTGCGGTGCTATGGCACTTGTCGGCAGGATGATGGAACGGCCTCGCAAGAGGCAACAGAAGTTTCGCATTGGTCAGACTGGATCGTGGTCGAGGCTGCTCTACTTAGCAGCCATGACTGGTCTGCCAGCATGATCACAATCAAGGATCCAATTTTGCCCAACGAAGACGGATCGGCTCGTCCCTTGATCTTTCGAAAACGATTCTTCTTACCGTCCGACAGGAAGATCAAGAAGGCTCGATTTTATGCCACCAGCCACGGGGTCTACTATGCGAGCCTCAACAATAAGGCTATAGGCGACGAATGTATGGCACCGGGCTGGCAAAGCTACAAGAAGCGTCTTCACTACCAAGTACATGATATCGGATCCCTCCTTTTTCATGGCGTAGAAAACCTTCTTGTGGTTAATGTGGGAGCTGGGTGGTTCGCGTCTGCTTTGTCATGGGTTTGTCGGAGGTTCGTCTACGGAACCGAGCTTGGTATCATGGCGCAACTAGAAGTGCAGTTTGATGGAACTGATGAACCGTTCACCGTCTGTACAGATTCGTCCTGGTCAGTCACCTCCTCGGCCATTCTGAGTAGCGAGATCTACAACGGAGAGGTCTATGATCAGCAACGAGCGATCGATATTACTCAGGAAAACGCGCAGCTCTCTCAGAACCCTTGGCATGAGGCCAGAGTCTCCAATACCGTCGTCGCACCCTTGACCTCGCCAAATGGGCCACCGGTGAGAGTAACGGAACGCCTGCGACCGAAATCATTTTCCAGATCTCCATCTGGTAAGACCATTATAGATTTCGGACAAAATATTGCGGGCCGACTATGCATCAGGCGTCTGCTAAAACCTGCGGGCCACAAGGTCACATTCCGTCATGCAGAAGTAATGGAAAATGGTGAGCTGGGAACCGCGCCGTTACGAACAGCACAGGCGAAAGATACCGTGATATGCGCAGGGGAAATTCTGACGGATTGGTGCCCCAAATTCACATTTCATGGTTTTCGGTACGTCGAAGTGACAGGGTGGTCTGAGCAGGACATGGAGATGCCCTTGACCAAGGACAGCCTCTTTGCAGAAGTGTTGCACTCCGATATGCGAAGGACAGGTTGGTTCTCCTGCTCTAACGATGAGGTAAACCAATTTCACCAGAACACAGTGTGGAGTCTGAGAGGCAACTTCCTTAGCATCCCGAGTGAATGTCCTTCCAGAGACGAGAGGCTGGGATGGACAGGTGACTTAAATCTTTTTGCACCTACGGCTACCTTTCTCTACGATGCTTGCGGGATACTGGGAGACTGGCTGCAAGACTTATACGCCGATCAAATGGACGAGCATGAGGGATGGAAGAAAGGCATGGTGCCGCTCTATGTACCAAATTGTCTACTGGGACTTGGTCCTGAAGATGACGGATGGCATCACATGCCGAATGGCGTTTGGGGTGATGCAGCAGTCATGGTACCATTTCAGCTCTACTTGATGACCGGTGACAAGCATATTCTATTGCGCCAATACGAGAGCATGACTCAGTGGCTTGAAAGTGGTGTTCGACGCGGCGAAGACGGTCTTTGGGATCGCTATCAATGGCAATTCGGCGACTGGCTGGACCCTTCGGCACCGCCCAATGATTCGGGAAGAGGTCGGACGGATGGTACTTTTGTCGCCGACTGTTTCCTGATTGAGTCGACCAGGAGGATGGCCTTCATCGCCAAACATCTCCAAAAATTGGACGACTTTGTTCACTTCAGCACGGTTCACCTCCAGCTATTGACGGCTTTTCGAACGAAATATGTGACACCGGCGGGCCTTCTGGCCCCTGACACAGCCACAGCCAATGCACTTGCCATCGCCTTTGAGCTGCTGCCATCACCTGAGAAGTCTCATACCGCTTCAGAAGAGCATACAACAGCCGCGCGCCTCTCTCGTGCCCTGCGTTTTGACGACTTCTGCATTTCGACCGGTTTCGTCGGCACTGCCTTTCTGCTGTCCAGTCTCACTAAGACCCATCAGGACACTCTCGCGTACCAGATGCTTCTATCCCGGTCCATCCCTTCGGTCCTTTACCCCGTGCGCATGGGGGCAACGACAATATGGGAGCGTTGGAACAGTCTAAAGCCTGACGGACACATCAACGAAGCCAGCATGACAAGTTTCAACCATCACGCCCTGGGTGCTGTCTCAAGTTGGCTGCACGAGTGCGTTGGCGGGATCAAAGCCGACGAGCCTGGCTGGAAAACTATCGTGATTGAGCCGTGCATTAACAGAATGCTCTCGTATGCAGAGGTGACGTACGAGTCTGTTTATGGACGCATAGAATGCCGGTGGAAGCTTGATGGTGATACCTTGAGCATCGACGTTGAGGTACCCCCAAATACCCACGCCCGTATCGTCTTGCCCGACGCGCGCGACAGACGAGCTCAGGGTTTGGAAGTTAATGACTGCTGGGTGGGATCAGGACGGTACCATTTTAAAAGCGAGTACAAACGAGCGGATCAGCCAGTAAAAGCCATACTCCCGCCTTGGGGAAGGTCGAGTTTCTGAGTTCTAACGACTTGGTCAATGGTCGATCATTTCTGAGTCTAGCAGGCGCCCTTCTCCCCTCGGTTCTCGTTGACATACCCAAGCCGCCCAATGCAACGGATGCATACAGCGTTGCACAATCGACGTCTGGTGGGTAACTAGGTAGATCAATGGCCCTCTGTACGTATACTCGCTCGTCTCCTTGTCAGCACAATTAGAGCCTCTCTCCAGGTATACCGGCACAAGTAGGACTGATAGACAGAACGAGGACTGTTCAATAGACTCGCAGCGTAAACCGATAATCTTTGACGTTTTACGGAGCATTTTCAGCGCCAGTACAGCCACAAATGCAGAATGGGAGGCGGTGTTCTCGGACCGGAAGATAGATAATCCGGACTCTTGGCATCAAACCCAAATTGTTGCCCTTCTTCGAAGCTTTTAGTACTTTGATCAGTACGGAGCACAACAAGTCTAGAAATCCGCCACAAAAGACATCTGTTCGTCCGTTCGATTCATCGCGACAACTTCGTCATATCCTGCACAGAGATAGGTGCTTCGTAACCAGTTGTCCGTGTCATGGATGCTCTGAAACTGCTATCCCGGTCCACTGGCCTGAAATCAAAAATTTCTAGACCAACGCCACAAAATATCCCCTCTGCATCAGGACAAGCTCCCGGCCAAGATGTGTCACAGTCTAGCGCAGGTCGGAAACGGAAGAGAGAAGCACAGGAACCAGATATTGATGGTGCTCAATCGACAAAGCCTGACCTGCTGTCCGAGCAGGAAATCCGCCAACTTCACAAGAAGCACAAAATCAAGATTGTGGATTTGAACCGGTTCCGAGCCATGGGCAAGTCGTCAGAATCAAGAAAGACGCAGAAAGAACAATCGCGCTTATTTCCTCAGCCGCTCACATCCTTCGATCAACTGCGTACGAACTATGAGATTAACGCGACTCTGGCACGAAACATATCAGATCAGGCATATTTTGAACCGACCGAGGTTCAGATTGCGACGCTGCCCTTGCTACTGAAGAGCTTACATGAAGAACGAGAGGCTGAACCCAATCTCTTGACCATCGCACCAACGGGAAGTGGGAAAACTCTCGCTTTCCTTATTCCACTGATCGAGAAGATGTCGAGAGCTCATCGACACGCTGGCCCCACGATCGACAGACATATTCGTGCCATCATTCTGGCACCCACGAAAGAATTGGTCTTCCAGATAGTTAATGAGGGAAGGAAGCTGGTAACGAAGATGGGCGTGACCATTACAGCAGTAAAGAAAGGCATGAGACTCTTCGAGGGACTAGCACCATCAGATGAGGAGGAATCTGGAGAGGACGGAGAAGTCGAAGGCCATGAGAAAGAAGGCGTGTCTTCTCAGACTTCCACTCTCGTCAAAGCTGACATTTTGGTCTCGACACCGCTCAGCCTGGTACATCTTCTCTGTCCGTCTTGGGAAGCAGACGAAGGCTCAACTCCACAACCGCTGCCCAACGTTGAAAGCCTGATATTTGATGAGGCAGATGTCCTCCTTGATCCGCTCTTTCGATCTCAGACGCTTGCTGTTTGGTACGCCTGCACGTCGCCTTCCTTGAGGGTGAGCATGTGGTCAGCAACCATTGGATCAAATGTCGAGGCGCTTGCCGTACAGACCATCTCGGACCGCCAAAGAGATCTCAAACTCTCTCGAAGTCAGTGCCCAGGACTAATTCGGACCATCATTGGTCTGAAAGACACGAGCTTACCAACAATCTCACATCGGCTGGTATACACTGCAACAGAATCCGGAAAGCTTCTCGGTATGCGGCAGTTACTTCACCCATCGCGGTCAATTTCAACCACGAAACGTCAAGACAACGACACTGCGCCGCTCCGGCCGCCGTTCCTGGTCTTCACACAGACGGTAGATCGAGCCCAAGCACTATACACCGAACTTCAATACGATATTCCTGCCCAGGCAGGTGGCTCGTCCCGAGTGGCAGTACTACATGCTTCTCTATCTCAAAGAGCGCGGTCATCCATCATGCAGGATTTCCGACAAGGGAAGATCTGGGTCTTGATCACCACGGATCTTCTATCGCGTGGTGTAGATTTCCGGGGAGTAAACGTGGTGGTGAACTATGATATCCCGACCACGGTTGCCGGATATGTCCATCGCGCAGGAAGGACAGGGAGAGGAGGGAGAGAAGGGGGTGTCTGTGTCAGCTTCTACACCAAAGAGGACATTCAATACGTGAAAGGCATAGCAAACGTGATTTCTGCCAGTCAGAAGGTTCAAGGAAACTCGGACAGTTCCACGAAAGACCCTCATGACACAGACAGCAAGGGAATAGGTTCATCCGCGACGTCGGAGATCCAGCCTTGGTTACTCCACGCGCTTCCTAGCGTCTCCAAGTCAGCAAGGAGGGACCTCAAATTGCACGGTGTGAAGGCGCGTCGAGCCATTCATGCCGACGATGACGAGAAAACCAAACGGATGAAGCGGAAAGCGAAGATCGGGACGCAGAGCGGTTACGAGAGAAGGGAAACGAACCGCAAGCGTGGTGCTCTTGAAGGGAGCCTACGAGCAAAAAGGAAGGCGCACCAGCAACAGGAGATTGCAGAATGGGAAGGCTTTGAGTGAAGTTGGCGCTGATGCATTGGGCAATTACAGCACCTCCCCCGGTTCGTTCAGAGCAGTTTCCCATTCCGACAGGAATCGACTCGAGATCATCTGTAAGAGATGGCACGGCCCGGTATCCGGATTACACACTGTCGTTTGCGCGTCACGTTGCATCCGGTGGACTTCTTCGTCGTCAAGATTCGCCCGACGGATGGTCGATGGATGTCGAGTCGCGCCTGGATGGGTTCTGTCGCCTTGTTAGGCGGGACCGCGAGGCAGGTTCACGTTTTGCAAGCCGGTGGCGATCAACCGGTCGGAGATGCGGCTACAGAGCCGACGTTGACGGCGACGACATAATCTGGAGGCATGCTGGAAGCGCAAACGACATATGGAGGTCATTCTCATGGCGTGCAGTACGGAGTACTCAATCACCCAATGTACAGGGCGTCTCGAAACCGGCCTACCCCTAAAGACACATAGCAACTTTATCTGATCAGAAGCCAAGCTTTTAAGTGGGTCTAACTTACCCTATAAGCTCTAGTGCAATAATCGCCATTAGCGAATCGTTAGTGACCGTACGTTACCGTAGTCGCTACGAAACGGTTATTCTATTTCAATAATTCCCCCAAAAACAATAGCAGAATGCCAGACAGAGTTGCTCACCACGTATTAAAAGCAGCAAGCGAAGCACAGTTTCGAGACCATTCTGTGGTCACCGCACCGGCCCGCACATCCGCAATGTCCTTACTTGTAGGCACGCCATGGCCGCAGCTCGTGATAATACAACGATGCCGCGCTAAGGGACTTTTCACAGGCTGTGCATCAAAACATTCACAGATGGAAAGATGTCCAAAGAATAATTAGAGTAAAAGCATTTCATCTGTTTTAAACCAAACACGGAGCAACAGGGGGCGGCCTTGCCAGACATCTCATCCCTAAACGTTAACCTCAATAATACCACCGTCGACGGATATCATCAACATTACTCGCTTCCCCAATGCTGGAAAGTCCCGTAGCACCAGCCTGCATTTCCGTCAATTCCAGCTGTCTTAGGTTATAGCACACCATTTTAGTGTGTGGATGCTCCGGTCCGAGCGAGCTTTCGAGCCCAGCTTGTGCTTCCTGATACATTCGCCGGGCAACATCGAAATTGCCTTGCTCAACTTTTAAGAGCCCGCAATTGTTGATCACCCCCCAGACAAAGTAGTGATCTTGACCCAGAGCTCTCCTGATCCCGAGTGAAGCTTGTTCGTAACGTTCTTCAGCTTCCAACAGTCTACCCTGCTCGCAGTAGACATTAGCCAAATTGTTCACTGTGCCAAGGGTTTCAATATGATCTGGTCCCAGCGAATGTGTGAATCGAGACACTGTATCTTGGTACACACTCTCAGCTTTGGACAGCTCTTGCTGTAGACACAATAGGGTTCCCATGTTGACTAAGGTCTGTAGGGTCGACGTGTGGTCCACTCCTAGCGCCTTCTCGTACCCAGCCAGCGCCCGTTGATACATCTTCTCCGCCGCGTCTAGTCTACCTTGGTCACAATAGAGAACGCCGAGATTGTTGACGGTGCTGAGGGTCGACGTGTGGTCCACTCCCAGCGCCTTCTCCTCCCCAGCCAGCGCCCGTTGATACATCTTCTCCGCCGCGCCTAGCTTGCCTTGGTCACTATAGAGAATGCCGAGATTGTGGACGGTGTTGAGGGTCGACGTGTGGTCCACTCCTAGCGCCTTCTCCTTCCCAGCCAGCGCCCGTTGATACATCTTCTCCGCCGCGCCTAGCTTGCCTTGGTCACGATAGAGAAGTCCGAGATTGT